GACGGGGGGAGCATCAGGCCCTGAGAGTCGAGGTTCTCGCCAAACTGGTCCTCACGGGCAGGGTCGAGGGATGTCCAGAAGACAGTACCGTTGACTCCTATGCCAAGGATGCTCTCAAGTGGCTGTTGTGCATCATCTGCAGAGGTGCAGAGAGCGATGTTGAAGATGCGCTCTTGGTGGTTCTCAAATACCTGGCGATAATGTCCGTTCTCCTGACGAATGATACGAAAACCACCCTTTTTAACAAGAGCATAGACAATGAAGTTCTTGCTGGCAGCAACAAGAGATCGGTCAATCTGATCAAAGTCTTTCTTCAAACGAGCAATGTCCATAAAGAGCTCGTTGCTGAAGTAGAGATTGCGGGGCGGCATTTGGTTGACCTGGATGGAAGCAAAGGCACGCATGGGGAATCTGTAGACTATTACCGTCTGGTCATCACCCTTAGCAAGGCTTTCTTCGGCTTCGGCAGTTTCCCAGTTCTCAGCGACATTGTCTTCAGCAATCTCTGTAGCGACATCCTTCAAAGCAGCCGCGAGTGGCTTTGAGAGACTCGCTTCCATCTCCTTGGCCTTGTTGGGGTCTTCGAAATCTTCCTTGATCTCAGTAGCAATCTCCGTCATAACCTCTTGGACTTCTTGAACCTCTAGATTCTCTCCCTTTGCCTCCTCGGGCAACGGTGTAACTGACTTGCTCTCAGCTTCGGCAAGCGCATCCTCAACCTGCTGCCCTACTTGCTCGCCCAAGTCATTCACGGCTTCAGCTACAGACTCATGTACATGGGCTGGAGCGTCCTCGTCGGCCGGTGGGAGAGGCGCTTCCGGAGCGTTCTTCTTGAGGATCTCGATCTTGGGGGCGGGCGGCTTAGGGCCTTGCTGGACAGGAGTACGGTTACGCGGGCTTGCAGCTTCGAGTTGGTCAAATGGATTGACGTAGGTGAACTTTGGAGCGAGCGATGAAGCTTCATTGCTGTTGGAGCCAAAAGCCTTTGTGGATGAGGCAGATGTTCCTGGTGCAGGGGTGGCGGGAGAAGCAGATACCTGCTCAACCTCAGCGTCGGCGAAATCTTGCACGACGTCGTCCACAACCGTTTCAGGCTTGTTAGACGCGACAGGCGGCGAGAACGCGGCTGAGACAGGCCGAGATGAGCGGCCGCTTGACTGGGCTGGCTTGGGATGGTTGAGCAGGCGGAGGAGCAGGTCCTGTGGGTTCTGCTGCTGCGAAGGCACAGGCGCCGGCATAGCCTGAGCTTGAGAAGAAGCGCTCTGGGATGACGTCCTACCGCCACCCATCATGCTTGCCATCAAATCAGACGTCTGCGCCAGCGACTGCTGCGAAACGCGTCTTGAGTGTGCAGAGCCAGACTGTGAGTTGAAGCGCAGTAGGTTGAGAAGGTTGGTTGACTGCTGCTGCGGCGTCTGGTGCGACACATGGCTTTGTTCGGGTGCAGGCGTACTCGCCATGGATGTGTTGGGTGACATAACGGCAGAATGGTGATGAGGCTGTGGGCCACTCGGTAAGGGAGAGAAGATAGGCGACGAGACAGAAGGCGGCTGATAACCGTGCTGCTGCGATTGCTGTTGCTGTTGCTGCTGATTGCTAGAGGCGCCACCTTGGAGCCGGGCAAACAGCTCCTGCAGGTCGGCCATAGTGAGGGATGAAAGGGCAGATCTAGTCTGTTATTAGTAAAGGTGGCAAACGCACGCATCTCACTGCTGGCGATGAGAGGCTGACACTGTGAGCGACGTACGTTACTCAATACCCAAAATTTGCGTGCGCGGCCGAAGCCTGAATCCCGTATAAGCTGAACTGAGAGAACAGTACTGTGTAAGAAGAAAACTACTTGAGAATAGACAGAAAATGCAAGTGACGAGCTGCGATGAAGCGCAGTTGTCAATTGACGGTGCAAGAAGGAAGCTCGACAAGTTTGGAGGTGACTTGGTTGGCGCCGACTGCTCGAAGCTACTACGCTAGCGCAATTGGGACGGCCGCGGCGGAGCTCCGGGACCGGGTGGCACGTCACCACGTCACGACAACAGACGGCCTAGTCGCGCCTCTGACTTTCACTCTGCAGTGCCAAGCCTGGACACATCATATCTCCCATGTAGCCGCCTCTCCATCCGGCCTTCCTATCTTGCAATTATAGGTCACCGTTTGCCCAATCTTCCTGCACCACCATCAATCGCCTCTCACCCCACAAAGCTAAGTGGAGGAAGTGAAGGTATCTCTTGTTCGGCTATGTAGGTTTCCTAGGGACTTGGGAAGCCATCTGATTCTTACTTTTAATTTTACTATACACTTTCCAGCTTTACCTCACTATCTGGATTATACACTATTCAAGGATTTGCCGAAAGAACTGGCACCCTGTATAAATTATAAACACAAAAAAACTGCTTCATCTGAGGCAGGTACCGAAAGGTTTCTGGCAACCCATGATGCTCATGCACGAGATAACGCTGAAGGTGCACTGTCCATTCCTGCTACAGCATCCGCCAAAACGCGAGCCCTTGCACGTATAGCCAGTGTTTCCTCCACAGCGTCCATTCGGTGACGTCTTGAGGGGGGTGGATGTAGCGACAGGGGCTGACGATGTGCGGATGCTGGTCGCTGGGCGAGTAGACGTAGTCATACTGCGTGTTGAGCTAGTTGCAGGGACACTGGGAATCGGGGTAGATGCCGAAGATGCGCATCGACCAAGAAGAGGGTTGCAGCCGGTTCCACAGTGGTCAGCGCTCGAGCCGCACCAGCCATATCTATGCAAGCTTGGTCAGCTACATGGTCTCGGTGAAAAAAAGAAAGAGATAGACTTACTGCGAGCAACACTCGCCCTCAAAGTAGCCGGCACATGTGTAGCCTTTTTCACCACCACACGAACCATCTTGGGACACCCCGTTGGAGGGGCTGGGGGTTGGAAGAACGGACCCAGTGCTGGAAGCTGGCCGAGTAGACCCACTGACGGTTGAAGACGCGGGGCTGACAGGCGCCGAAGATCCAGCGACTGAGCATTTGCCAAATTTAGGGTCACAGCCTGTTCCACAGTGATCCGCAGTGTTTCCACAGAAGCCATACTGGGAGCAGCACTCTCCTTGAGCAAATCCTGTTAGATTCGTTAGCGAGCGTCAGACCCTTTCATATTTGCCAATCTTACTGAGACATGTGTAGCCCACCTTGGAGCCGCAAGAACTGTCAGGAGACACGGCCGTAGGAGTGACGACAGCGCCGCTAGATGTGGCGCTGGCGGCTCCCGAGGCAGTAGAAGAAGCAGGTGGTGTGAACACAGACGATGAAGCTGGTCGGCTGGTGGGAGTGCGGTACCAGTTTGCCTCTGGGTCGCCCAAGCATTCACCCAATGTGACAAGCCTGTATCCCTTTTGTGTCATCAAATCGAGCATGTAGCCTGTGAGATTCTGTGCCGTCTGTTGGTGGATATCATGTGCAATAGCCTGGAAATTGTCTTCGGCTGGATTACTCGGGTTGATCGCAGCACCGACTCTGTTTTTGGAATTCTGAATCAAATCAGGTGTTACGTTGTTATAGTCTAATGGCTATTAGCAAGGCTGATGTTGATAAGAGTAGGTATGGAGTATCTCTAACCATCAGTGCTAATTGACAAGTCAGCGCGTGATTTCAATATCATGTTTCAGGGTGCTTACTCAAGATCAAAGTAGGAAACAACATATCCCAGGTCCGTAAGATCCTTCTGGCACCCTGATCCAGCAGTGCAAGATGAGTATGGTGGACGCATATATGTCGGGAATTTACCAATGATGTTTGTGAGAGCCATCTAGAAGTACAAAGTCAGTTGAGTAATCGATTTCGTCTTGTGCCATCACTCACTTCATTCCTGACCATTTGGTCGTATCGCTGCTCCTTTGTAATGGCACTAAGATCCTGATGAGACCAAGTATGGCTGGCAACTTGATGTCCCTCAGCGATCATACGAGATATGATAGATGGCCATTGCGTGCTCTTGTCATCAATTGCACCTTTATTAATGTTGATACCAGTGACGAAGAACGTCGCTTTGGCATTGTAGGCTGCGAACTGGTCGAGTACACCGCTGGTGTAGATATATGGACCGTCATCGTAAGTAATTGCAATAGTGTTTGGGACGATGCAATCGTAGATGCCTTCGCCACCATATGGCTGGTTGCCAAGCTTCGTACGAGGAGTGTTGCGGGTGCTACCTCCAGTAGGAACTTGGTTGGCATCACAGGCAGGACCATACTGGAAGCGGCAATCTGGTGCTGCGCAGTAGTCCGCTAATCAGACATATAACATTAGCCTGTTATCCATATCAACCAGACACTCGGAGTCCTTACATCCTTGTCCGCAATAACCTGCTGTGGAGCAGCAATACCCTTCAGCACAGCTTGCATTACCATGTTCAGCTCCACATCGACCATCAGCGCCGCCTTGACGCTTGCTGAGAGCCTTTTCAGGACCAGCAACCCTGGGAGCCCGACTGTCGAGGATGTTCCTACTCCTTAGTTTACCAATGTCTTTCGACCCAGATCCAACTATCTTTGGGGTATGACCACCACCATGAGCAGCCACAAGAGGCGCCAGCAGCAGCGCTGCGGACAACTCTGTGAAACGCATGATCCGAATTGATTTAAAGCGACCGACCGTCTCAAACTCAAGCGCGGCAAGGAGAGAACAAGCGAGTGTGTGGGTGAATGATCGACCGATATTATGTATGATGCAAAAAAGGCGATACTTAAACGAGTGATAGACCCCTTGGACGGAACAAAGAGGGTGGTGGAAGGGTAACCAAGAAGCAAAGGTTACCGCATGACCGAGTACTTGTGATATATATCCATTTGCGCACAGCCAAGAATGGACAGGCTTTACCCAGGGTTCGGGGGATAAAAATCAATATCGATGCCGATTCGGCGTGTAGCGTGCTTGGCTGTGGATGGCTCGGCCCCCAGCGTGTGTCAGATGTTGCAATGGCTGACCTGAGGCACAGATAACGTTGATTAAAGTCATGAAGTCACTACATGCGGGTACGTCTGGTTACACAGTCAGTTGACATGTGCCAGATGTCTTTTGTTACAGTGAAGTTTGCAACTACGTTTGTAGACAGTTGAGTTAAGAGATACAGTAAGCCCTCTATTGCCAGAACTGTAGGTATTGCGAGGATACGTCGTTATCAATATTATTTGCGGTGCTATTACAAAGTATGATTGTCCTTTAAAGGTTTAGGGGCACTATGGCTTTCCCTCAGCCAAGAAGATGCCCCTGGCTTATTTCCTGATGGAGGCGCGGATCTTGCTAGCGTCCGCGCTTCGCGTAAGCAAGAAACATTAATGATCCCAATTTTGGAGTTCCTAGTTCGGACCAGATGATATGTAAGATGCCTGCTCCTCTCTCACACCGTGCATGCATGGATGCGCATGCAGAATTCACGGCTCTTCTACTGCCGGATGATCTTTTTCTTGGTAGTGAGATCATCGGCGCTTTGTTTTCAAAATTACCGGACTGTTTTCTCCTGTATGGCACTTTTCCTGCCATGCTGCCCATTGGTACGTTCGTTCTAATGGCTGGGCAGAATGTTATTCAAAGTTCCATCATTGCCGATAAAACCGTTGACCGCCGTCGTTTCAAATGGCGATACGGACGCCTGACGGACGTGTCTTGCCCCAATACCGAGGAACCACAATGAACATTGTGACAGCTTATTAGAATACAGGATTGTTGCCAAAAAGTCTTTTCTACGAGCTGTTTGTGTGTGTTCCCTGATATTTGGCTGGTGTGGGCAGTGTTGATGGAAATGAGGTAACTTTGTTCTGCGTACTACGGACCCGATACCGATGCAAGCTGCCCGAGGCCCCAGCGCTAACTTTTGTTGCTCGGATCGGCAAGGTGGAAGAAACAAACAAAAATAGGATCACAAGGAACTTTGGCACGCGAGCGACCCTTGGCCCGGATTGTTGAGATATTAGGGACCGTTGTACATAGGGCCACGGCAGTTGTGTATTCATGATACGGCGCGCAAATTAAGATATCTAGCCACGCACTCGGTGCAGATCATTCTGACATTTTTTCCTCTTTCGGCATATCATCCATCTAACCAAGGCTTAGATCACGTCCGATTCCACAGTCGCTTTGCTTTGGGGAGTGGTGCTGTAGAGCGAGCATATGTGGAAAAAGAGATACTTTGTACTGATTCAAGGAAAACCTCTAGGGCTGTTCTCTCGACTCGGGATTGCATTGATGAAGTCCCCTTAACCTTAACGTGATAAGGTGTAGCGCACAGACCAGATGCTTACCGTGGTGCAAAAAAAGGAGCTCACTAACTCACCACCTAGGGGACTATGGGAAGTCCATCATAGATGCAAAAAAATCAAATGGACTCGCGGGGAATCGAACCCCGGACCACTCCCAGGCTTACTCTTGCGCTTTTGAAGGCGGAAGAACTGATGCTAAGGGAGTATTATACCACTAAACCACAAGCCCGATGTCAAGTTTGTTGCTTGATTTGATGGAAGCACAAAAGATTTGGTAATCCATATTATGAAAACTATGATTGGAACGACGGCGAGGGTGAAGGAGGATTTCAGATCGGCGTGGATCGGTACCAGTGGGGTTCTTTGGGGTGGAGAGGGTACACTAGACATGCTTCTAGACCCTTGACGTAGGTATCGGGCCTACACACTTTTTCTGGTATGGCTTTCTGCACTTTGAGAACTTCACGCGCAGAACTTCAGAACTGGTGTTCCGTGGTATGCAATCTGGTCGTCATTTTGTATTGCGGCAAAGCGATACTCTTCACAGATCAACCAGGAAATTCCCAGCAGCATTCAACTCGCAGTATCAAATCAGCCATGTCATGAGTTCCTTCCACCTACTAAGAGAAGACTCTGGGTGCATCCATAGCAATTCAACGCCCTACCAGTATCACCCATTATGCAACAAAAGCGGTTGGATTGCCAGAATTGTTGCTATGGCATTGTAGACTACGAGCATTGCTTGAGATCCCAATGCCCATACTCATGCATGTACTTGACCCTTTGGAGTTACTGAGTCTGCGGTAGTGGCATAGTGGGCAGTCAATTATTATGATAGATCAAGACACACTTTGTGCTACCAGACGACAAAATGTGAGCCTTTGACACAGGCAGATGCAGCCTCTTGCTTGAGCAGCCTCATCCAACACACCCACGATTGCGTCTGACGGATGGGTGCATCGACCCGCTCGGCCCTTTTCGGCGGCGATAGTATTATTCGCATATCATGCCACCACGTGTGCGATGGGTTGCACGATCTATCTCTGCCCGGTTAGCTGCATGAACAGCCGGAGATCTGCACGAGGCCTGTCAAGCGATGTTGCCCTCTCCAATGACGTCGAGCTGGACTTCGAGAAGTCGCCCCAATCACGCGGGGATCTAGCCCTCAGCAGGCCGTGGCGCGGACCGAAGACAGTCGCTCCGGGCCCTTTCCGCACGCAAACCATAATAAAAACGGTCCCTCATTCCAACGAGCATCCCGACCCACACACTGGGAAGGAGCAAACGACGAGCTAGACCGCATTTCGCTTAGACTAGCGCAAACACAACCGCGGGCACATATTTTCTCTGCCCTGGTGGTGCCCCTCGGTTCTTCCTACAACGATCCAAACTCATCAATTGGTGCCAGTACGATTCAAACGACCCTTTGAATCACTTACCAGAAGACACCGTCTTTCAACGTCACTCCCTCCATTACTCGTACGACACTTCCAGTAAGAGCAATGCCCGCACCATGTGCCATGCGACTGCGAAGTAATATCTGACAAGCATAGGTCTCTTCCTCGAACTCAAATATGGAATACCAAGCACCCGCTCCTGCTGCTGGCGCCGGCGGCCGTGGCTGCTACAACTGTAAGTTGAATATTACCAACGTTACCAAACGGCACCCTCGCCACTGTGACCCCGCAATGGTCGACTTAGCGAGCCCTGGATTTTCTTGTACACCGAATGGGCAAGATACCAGTCGCTTTCTTGAGCAACAAACTCAGTCACCATTTCTGTCCTTTGAGCCGTCATTTGCACGTTGATACGCTGTACGCGCCTTTTGCTAACAATGTGCAGGTGGCGATGCGTCTCACCGCGCTGCCGAGTGCCCTACCAAGGGCACCCCAACCTGCTATAACTGTGGCGAGAAGGGTCACGTTAGCCGTGAGTGCAGTTCTCCTCAGGCTGAGAAGACTTGCTATCGCTGCGGCGGCACTGGACACATCTCTCGTGAGTGCACCAAGGACGGCGGTGCCCCAATGGGAGGCCGTGGTGGCGGCAGCCAGGAGTGCTACAAGTGCGGCCAGGTCGGTCACATTGCCCGCAACTGCTCCCAGGGAGGCGGCTACGGCAACGGTGGCTTTGGAGGAGGTCGTGGTGGCTACGGCGGCGGTGCCGGTGGTTACGGTGGTGCTCGCCAGACCACCTGCTATTCGTGCGGCGGTTTCGGTCACATGAGCCGTGACTGCACCCAGGGCCAGAAGTGCTACAACTGTAAGTGGATACGGCCCACAAAGAGTGACTGTCACTGACTTTGTTTAGGTGGCGAGGTTGGTCATCTGTCTCGTGACTGCCCCCAGGAGACATCTTCTGAGCGTGTGTGCTACCGCTGCAAGCAGCCTGGCCACGTCCAGAGCGCCTGCCCCAACTAGAGTGGTTCGAGGTACCGTCGATGTTTTGATCTAGAATGAGTTTCGATGCACCAGCCTGCCTTCATGCAACTGTGACGGCAGGTCGGGATTAGGGTAGCAGAGATTGCGCCCAGGCTGTGACGAATCATCGACATGATTACGATTTCCTTTCTTGTATATTTTCATTCTGCGGCTCGCTGCCGTTTTTCGACGCTTCACGAAAAGCATATCGTCGCCCGGGCATGATTGGACGGCCTTTTCCTGAGTTGGCAGTTCTGTCAAGAGAGTTGGTTATCGGAAAAGTCTTGATCCAGGAAGAGCGTTTGGTGGGAGATACAAAAGTGGGTGGATAGGAGAGCGGATCCTTACGCGAGCAATGAATGGAGCAGTGCGTGGTCTGCACGTGGACTGTGACTGTAGGAGAGCGACGTCTCTTTTGGCGGATGGCTAGTCTTTGGGTTGTGGCTGAGCAGCCAAAGACTCTGACTGAGGTTGAATAAAGACACGAGAAAAGTCCCCACGATTGGGTGGGCTCCTCAACTTATACCCGCGCCAATCTCGTGCACCGTGATGGACGTGCGCTAAGCCAGGTTAACGTGTGTACAGGATAGTTGACATGCAGTACTCAAGGAATGTGTGGGGGGCACGGAGCTACAACGGGCAAACTGGGTAGCCTATGCGAGGGAGAGAGTGGTTGGAATGGGAATGGGAAATGGCGTGATGTGGTGCATGGTTAGGGTTCGCGGTAAGCTGTATATTGGAGAGCTTGCGATTGAGATATCGGCAACATGCGATTATGTCATATTTCATCTCTTAGTAGCAATGGCCTAATGGTATTCTTACGCCCATGCTTGTGGTTGTGCACTATCTGCGTTGACGTTCGCCAAGCCCAGGTACGCCCGCGTATGTTCGTTTACATCCCACCCAAGCCCAAACAACATATGTTCAACCAACGGCGCCCACGACTCGACACACCACCATCGACGCGTCAATCGCAGCAACACGCGTGCTCGGTACCACCACTCACTCCCTAACAAAATGGCGCCCCCGAAGAAGCGCGAAAATCGCGAAAATAATTACTATAACGTCGGCGTGCAAGGAAGGCACGTAAATGCACTTTGCGATTTTGCGCGCGCATACTAACATTGCGCAGAAAGACGGGTATCACTTTGGCAGATAAGGGTGTTTACGACGAACATGGTCTCGAACCGATTTCTGGCATTTTCTCGTCTCCCGAGAAGTCTCCACCCAAGCGCAGTGGAAACGCGACAGGATCAGAATCGATGGAGTTGCAGGAAAGTGCGTTTGTTCCACAGCGCTCGTCCAGGGCCATATTGCGCGTGCAAAATAGTGTGTTCTGACACTGCAACCAGGCTCCATCCCAGACTTTACCACATCCAACCAACTCCTGCGCAGCAATCGAACAAACCTCCCTCCGCCTCGATCACGCTCGCCCAAAAAGACTCACCTTGGTTCTTCGCCGCGACGACAATCTTCCATGGTGCCAAGAGGAAGTTCGGCCGCCCCTTCTAGTCCCATTCGTGCTTCATCACATCCGATTGCAAGGCGGCTTGATTTCGAGCAAGACGAGTCCAGCCTGGAAGAAACCCCGGCGCTGAGTGGATCAGGTGCGCGACGCGGAAAACGTTCAGATGTGTACGATATCCCCGAGGATGGTGAAGAATCCCCACTTCCAGAACCGAGTGCGATGATGGAAGAGAGCATGGTCCAGCAAGAACTCATGGCAAATGAGGAATCCGCCATTTTTGCAGAAGAGAGTTTTGTTGCACAGATTGGAGAAGAATCAATGGCTGATGTGGAGGCTGTCGAGGAGGCTGTTGAGGAATTGGTTGACGAGGAAGAGTCGGAAATTGTCACAGAACCTGTTAAACAGCCAGGCAAGAGGGGCAGAAAGCGCAAAAGCGACGCTGTGGATGACCCAGAGAAGCCACGGAAGCGCGGACCTGGGGCACAGGCATCAGAGTCCCTCAAGGGCAAGAAGAATGGGCCTGCATCTACTGTCCAGCGACGGAGATCTCAACGTGTCTCTGATATCAGTGAACTAGAAGCCAGTACTAGCGAACTACCTGCCGACACTACCTTGGACGAATCTGAGCAAATCGACGAAGCACCAGTGGCACCGAAACGTCGAGGGCGCCCGCCGCGCGCACAGCCTGTTGCAGAGAAGGAGAATACAGTGGTATCAAAACCGGCAAAGAATGCTGCTGCGAAAGAGAAAAATGAAGGAACGTTCAAAAAGCCTGGCAAACCTCCTGGCAGACCCAAAGCCAACACCGAGCCTAAGAACAAACCACCAGCCGCCGAACCTAAGACCAAACCAGCGCCAAAGACAAAGGAGAGCTCAAAAGCGAAACCAAAAGAGAAGACGTCTTTGGTTGATGATGCCGCTGGCAAACTTGTGGACGTATACGGAAATCCCCTGAGCAAGCAAGATATCGATCAGATGTCAACTACGTCAGCCGGCTCAAGATTTGGACGAGGACGCCATCTCTCCGTCTTCCGGGAGATAGATCCAGAAAATGTTGCTCGTGTTGGACGAACAGGCAGGCATCGGGTTGCACCAATTGATTTCTGGAAGAATGATCACATTTCTTACGACGTTGACGGTAGCATGACATCGATTGTGAAGAGCGCTGCAGTAGAAGAAACACGGAGACAGAACAGGAAGTACGGACCCAAGAGCAAGAAGAAGAGGCTCACAATGGTTGAAGAAGAAGAGATTGAGCTGGATCCTTGGGAGGAGAAGGATGGCAGGCTCGTGGGCAACTACAAAGGCTACGATCCAGTTATTAACAGTACCTCTGATGAGATTATTGAAGACGGCAAGTCCAACTCTGTGCAAGCACAATGAGTCTTTTTGCTGACTTTTGATCACAGATATTGCATGGGCGGAGAAGGGGATCCAACCGCGAGAAGTCGGCGACGGCGGATTCAAATTCGCAAAGATTGGCTCGAGCGGCTCCTTTTTCAATTGGGGACTTATTGAGCTGGGCCCCGACCAGATGAAGCGCACAAAGAACTCGCGATTTATGCACATGGTCTTCAATGTGCAATCGGGTACCGTCGAGGTCCGTGTTCACGAGAACGAATTCACGATCCACAAACATGGCATCTGGCAAGTGCCTCGAGGTACGTTTTGACTTTATCTTCTTCCTTTCTCAATCGTTCCCCACACACCGTTCCTTTTCAGTAGTTCTGTTCCGTTTGTTGTTGTTTTTTGCTTTTTTTCTGTTTTCCCGCCCTTTGCGCGTTCACTCTCTTTCTGCACAACGCGCCGTCACTTTATTCTCGACGCTAGAGCAAACGTGATGCACATTGGGCCACTTCTTTTTTCCTTCGCACTTACGCGCTCTCTCTCTCCTGCCCTGCAACGTCACACGGTCCCCAGGAACACATAACAGCAGCGAGCGGACCCATCATGTGGGGGCCAAGCGAGAGGGCGCCTATTCTCGTCACATGCGGAGCTACTGCCGTTGTGTGCGTGGTGCATGGGGGCGTGGGTACCTCACTTGCATGCTGCGTTTTACCCTTTGTACAGCCCCCAGTTGGAGAACGCGAGTAGCGTTGTGTGCCCTTGGCTTGGCTGGACCTTTTCCTCCGATTCGACTGCTGGCTGCTGCGCAAACGAAAGTACCTGTCGTTTGAGGCGGCTACCGCGCGCGTTGTGTGGGCTCTCTCTCCTCAACAACGCAACGAACAGAGAACGCCTTTGGCTGTTATTGTTTCTTTGCTTTGCAGCTGCCCCCACCCCAGTTTTTTTCGCAGCCCCGTTTTCGTTCTCGCCTCCCCTTTTTCCATCACTCCCGTTGTTGTTGATGTTTTGCGCTCTTGACGCGCTTGCCGGTCACAATATACCGCGTTTCGCGCGTTGATTGGCCCCGCTGGTTTTCCATTTCTGTACATCACATGAGGTATTTTTTTTCTCAAGACTGTTGGCTAATTTGTTCTCTTTGTTGCATTTAGGGAATACGTATAGTATCAGGAATATTGGGTCTGGAACAGCCCGAGTTTTCTTCGCGCAGGCGAAGGAGAAGGTTGTGGATGTTGAGGAGTAGTAGATTTGAGGAGGGTCTTTCTTTTTGGTACTAAGGGTTTGGTAAGCATAGTATGGTATGGGTATGACATGGGATGGCATCAGCATGGTATGGCTGGGTTCAATTCACTTCATCGTAGCAGTAGCATGACTTGTTCTGTGGGATTCTTTACATGTCAACTTCTTCTTCGTCTTTCGTCTTGCCCATGCGATGCATCAGCGGGGTGTATCGAGAGAACGAGACTCGTAGCATTCCAACTGTCATGCATGCATATTTCACTTTCATAGCATCAACATGCCCCTTTGCCCTCCTTGGCTGCTTTGCAGGACTTCCTACATCTCTTTCTTCATCCTCCTTGCTGCAGAATATGCAAGCCTCCTTGATGCTATTCAAACAGTCATGCATGCATACCTGCATTACCTCTACATCCTCATGCGCTTTTCTTTTCTTTTTCTTGTCTGTATGTATGTATGTATGTATGTATGTATGTACGTATCGAAGCATGCATGCATATTCTACACTCCCCCTTTACTCTCTTCACCCTCATCTGTTTCGTTGTTCTAGACACTTCTTTCCGACGCGCCCGAGTGGACCATAAACACTATTTCCCCTCCACTTTGTATCCATCCATGGCTTTTTGCGTGATTTTGGGTGGGTCGTTAAGAGTATGAGATTGTAGAGAAGGTTGACGATGTGGATTTCCGTCCTAGTTTCTCGGTGTAATATGTGTACATATAGTGTTTACCTGTGCTACTGGGACATGGGGGGCATGGGTTGTGTTAGTACAAGTATAGAATGGTCTGGATTCCTAACGCGTTTGGGTATGTTTGGATTTAGGTACTTGGAGATTATAGAGATGGAAAAGACGATGAGTGATAAGAAGGTGATGTTGTTGGGGTATTCTTTAGTATATGGTGATGGTATACTTTTGTTTTGAAGAGATGATGTTCGAAGTGTTGAATATTACATTACATCCACTGAGCAAGTTCATGCTCGTATGGTCTGAAGTCCAATCATGTATCTGACTAAAACGATGAGTGCATCTCTACTCTGCTGCATCGCGATCACCGTACCTTGTTGCGATACGAGGGTGTTGGGGTTGAAGCAAGTGTGACCGAGATGGGGGGTAGAGGCAAGTGTAATCGAGCTAGACTAGAAGCAAGGGTATTTGAGATGTGGAGAATATGTAGTTGATACGTGGCCGTGGATATGAATGCCTAATGTCGCATTTGATCATGTACGAGTATTCGGCTTGCAGGGTTTGAGATTGTGGTGTTGAGTTGTTTGTTTGTTGGGACTATAGTTGAGGATTTGTAGTGGCTAGGAGAGTGGGTAGAACAGGATGGGAGTGAGTCGTGGTGTAAACGTGTAGTTTGATATTCTCTATGCTACTTTTTATTCAGGAAGGTTATCAATATGGGAAATCGTTTCTTCCATTATCCGAATTTGCAATATGGGGAAAAACACTACGAGAAAAAGGTCCAGAAATCAGAAATTGCAATTAGACACTCAATCATCTCACAAGAGACGAGGACTGCAAACGCTCAGTCACGCTCTTCTCTCTCTCTCTCTCCTCAATATCCAAGCGGTGTACACCTCTAAGGCGGTGTAACCCAGCCTCAACGCCTCTCTCAGATACCAAGCTGATACTACATGCAGCCACAATATACGTCCCAGCTTCTAGCAAAGACCTCGCATGACATGCACAAGCGGCAACTAGCAGCAGCGACATCAACGTGACAAAAAATGGACATTTCCGGTAGCGAGGGTATCGTTTCCAGCTTAGTGGAGAGCATGCAGAGAAACACATGGAAAGTCCAAGTAAGTAAAAGTAGGTCGTCTAGTCTAGGCGGTGAGAAGCGGTGTAGATAGATAGGCCAGGTGGGCGGGGCCCTGCATCACGCAGACCTACATGAACGTTCCTGGCGTAGTTTCTCTTCCGGTGAAGATGGAGACTAACAGAGCGACGGCGCTGAAAAGGGAAGCGACGCTTGTGGGCTTAGCAGAGTAGAGAGATTTTGCAGTGCCTCCAAGATAGATTACGGAGCGAGAGCCAGGCGACCGGGGCGTCTTGAGGCGGAATCTTAGGGGAATTGTCAGACTAACATGGCCTTGTCGTGGCTTGAAAGTAGTGCGGCTTTTGTGGCGCTGCGTGACACCGCCTCCATGGAACAACTGGGCACTACGACAAACATAGAGGACAAGTGGTGGGTCGATGAAACTACAATAACGTTAAAAAACGATAGGCTTGGTCTGTTGTTGGTCGAGCTGGAGTGATGTGGGTAGCCTTGATCATCAGACTGGAGGATAGTATTCGGATTGTTGTCGCCTGTTAGTTTCAACGAGCGAAATGGCCAGTTTCCGCCTGGATCCTGAGGCCGCACAGCCCTAAAAATACTCCCCTAAACACACGTGCCGGCCGCTGTCTCATCATGTCGTTCGTTACAAGGGTAACCCCCTCTGACGACGGTCCGACAATTATGGCAGTCGTGGATTTCCTAGTCTAGACCTATCGACGCCGTTGACGACATGTTTCGTTGTGTACGGGGAATGCCGGCATTGGTATCCGAGGTAGTAGATGCATGAATCGCGGTGTTGGTGCGCGAATTTGGGGGCATGAACGGATTCGGTCAGTTAAGCGGTTAACTTCCTGATTAAGTTCCGATGAACTGGCAGCGAACTACTCGATCGGCGATATTTGGGCAAGCGTGGTCCTTGAAGCTATTGATAGTCTAGCGCAGAGGGCGTGGGACCAGTGTAGCATGTAAGGCACAAAGACTGTTTCGGCTGCAATACGCCGGGCAGGGTCTGGGAGAAATTCAGTGCAGAACTCATTGCATTGTGCCGAACGAGTCGTGGTTTTTGATGCAAGTGGCACACCGGGGGTGTTGCGAGGCGCGCGCGACTCGATATGCCATTGTTGGATGGGTTTTATCGACCAAAAAGCATGCACGCACTGCAACGCTTCAGGTCATGTTCCAGGGTAGGCGGCAACGGCGATGCAACGGTGTGCTTTTGGGGGCACCCAGGCAGTGGGTGAACGGGCATGGCGTGGACAACAGGGCTGGGTGCAGGCCAAAATTTGCCCGTTGCAGTGCCGAAATTGAACGGATGACGGGTGCATGTTTCCTGAGACGAGCTTCTGCTTGAGCGCTAGCGTGAGCGCGAAGAAAGGGCAGGCGATGGGGAGAGGAGAGACGAGGAGAGCAAACGTGTGGGTGGGGAGGGCATCTGGAACCATGGTTCATGACTGGTGGGCATGGTGGTGGTTGCGACATGGAACGGCTTTGGATGCCCCTTGGTGGGTTTGGGTTCGAGGCAGCGATCAGCGGTCCCGGGCGATCAGAAAGTCGCGTGCTGGATCCATCCATCCACCGGCGAGCGGGACCATGGCCGCGAAGCCAAAAGCAAGGCAGGGAAGAAGAAAAAGGAGGATTGCAGGCACAGGCACGAGGACGGTGTGTGTGTGTGTGTGTGGGTGCAAGGGGCCAGGTGATGGTCATGTGACGGATGCGAGGAAAAAAAAAGGTGCGGTAGGCTGGACGGGAACGCCCTGGCTAGCGAGGCAAGGACAGCCATGGCGGGGCTGGAGGAGAAGAGGCGGTGGTGAGGCTGGGCGTGCAGTGAAAGGGTGTCGTCATGTGCAGCGGTGGCATGAGTCGCGGTTGGCGAACAGGTGGGAAATTCAAGGATACCTAGATAGGAAGGCTTCTCGAAGGCCTAGGGAAGAGAAGCCGTGTCATGGTCGTGTCATGGTCGTGGATGGGTGGTTGGTGGCCTGGCCTGCTTACTTACTTGGAGAGAGTAAGTAGAGTACGTCTGTCTGGACAATGCACAGCGTGCACGTCCACGCATAGATATAGCAGGCGTACATGCTCATGCCCATGCCCATGCCCATACCCATATCCATACCCAGACGGCTGCTGCGACGATACACTACCACTTCACCATGCACCCAAACTCGGCCCCGCCAAGCATCCAGATGACGGCGGCGGGCGTTTACACAGGCTGGCAGCTGGTGGTTCGGATCATGCGAACAGTGCTGGGCGCATGCAGGGCCAAGCCGGGGGAAATAGTTTTATCAGCGAGTAGCGTCGAGGGCGTCCAGAGGCCACGACGGCCTATGGACAGCACCGAAGCAAAAGCCGTCGCAAGTTGTACATAGGTAGGCCGTCTTCTAGCGTCATGGTGCATGCATTGACGGTGGGATTGGTGTGGGCGTGTGCGTTTGGTTATGCCTGAGGTTGTGACGACGACGGCTGGGGGAGCGGGCGACGGGTATGCCGTGCAAGGGGGGTTGGGGACACACACTTGTCATGCTAGCGGCCTTCTAGAATAAAAGAACCCCCAAGCCCGGCCACAAAGTGCATGGCCTGACGCCCGGGGCACAAACTCTGCGTTGGGCCTGTCCGCTAGCCTGTTTCAAGCCCGTTCACGGCCGCCGACCGTGGGCGAGGGCGGGAACCGACGGTCCATGGCATCCATCAGCCTTGTGCCTCACTGGGCCCTGGCAGCTTTGGCCATGGCATGGGAGGGGGTCGGGGGGGGGGGTAAGACGAGGAAGCGAGGAGGAACAGGGGATACGAAGAAGAAAGGGGGACGAGGAAGAAAGAAGCAGCCGCCGTCGCCGTCGCCGTCGCCGAAGAACAAGAACAAGAAGAAGAAGACTAAAAGGAAACAAAACAGGTACGGTCTGATGGGACATGGGATGACGAGCAAGTCGTCACCCAAGGCCACTCAGGCTTGGGAGGGAGGGCCGACTCATTTTTGCTATCGATAAGCCAGCCCTACACGGGTCAAACATGGCAGGGCCGCGCAAGACCAGCCGTGCAATCTTTGCTTTTGCGGGGCTGAACACCCTCAAGCCAGCCTGCAAGAACCATGACACACACACCCACCTACACACGCATCCTCCAGCACACCACTCTCCCATCCACTCTCCCTCCCAGAATAGCCTAACCCCTAGCCACCATATGCAAGGACAGCGAACCGTTCATGCAACCCGCACTTGTTCTCTTGCTGCTTGCTGACCTCGCCCAATCAATAGCCCCTCACATGTCTCCAGTGGTAACAGCCCTGTCTGCAGTCCACTGGCCAACGCACTCGACACCCTCCTCCCAATTTCCTAGCTGCAACACCCCCCCTCCCGGACCCCCCCAAACACGTCTGAAAGCCTACGACACATGCTCACACACACACACACACACACACACTTTCTGATATTGGCGTCGGAAAATTTTTCTTCAACCATGGCGTCGCCTCTAGAGTAAACTGCCCTTGCTGCGCGCAAACCCACCACACCCCTGCTTCATTGGAAGCGGTGACAGCGCAGCTACCCCCCCTCTACACACTCACACACACACACACACAAACCCCTCCCACGCCCCCCCTTCGGCGTCGGCCACGTAGACGCTGCTTGACCGACTTCTTGAGACTTGCATCGCCCGCTGTTACGTCATCGGGACCGCTTAGTTTGGGGCCCAAGACCAGCAAGGGCCATTCTGGGGTAGACGAGAAACGAACCTTACCAGGTCTTGTCTCTTCAGTGTGTGTGAGTGTTATGTGTCCATGTTCACCGCCACATCTTTGTTTGCCCCCCTCCCTGCTTTGCAAGCAAGGGAAATGCTTGACGACATACAGTTGGCCGGGGTGGACGTGTCAAGAAGGAAAAAAAAACCTGATCGCTTGAGTGATTTGGGGATGTCATTGAACTTTGTTGAGTTGAACATGGTACTTCCCAATTGTTTGGGGGGGGGGGAGGTCTGAAGTGTTCTACGACTGATTGTTTTCCATTCCGTTACGTGCTGCTATGCGAAACCAATATGATTGTTTCTCAAAACAAGTTGTGCCCGTTGCAAAGAAACATAATAGTTATATAACATTTTGCAGCATGTGTATATATATATGTAAGAACGGAAAAACAAAAAAAAGTCTAGTTACATAAAAATGCCCATGAAACAGAAACGCAAACCAAAACGTGAGACGTTGTAAACCCACCCATGATCCATAAAAACTACGCTATGGCAAATGTTCTAAACCCCACTTCCCAAGAAAAATGCCTATGCCGCAGAAACGAACACTTCCCATAGTAGAAAGGGAAAGGAGGGGAGGGGGGGGGGGAAAACCAGATGCAATCGTGTAAGTCGCGATGAATGGGGGAAAGAAACAAAAAGAAGAGAAAAAAAACAACGACAAGGGAAACCATGGCTAAACAGAGCAAAGTAAGAGAAGATGCATGATTGGAAGAGAGAAAAAAAGGATATGATAATAGTAGAAAAGAAACGAAAAAAGTGTGTGTATGTGAACAAGACACACACCAAAGTATAAAAAAAAACAGAACCCACGCTAAATGCCAAAAAATGAACATCATGATCTTCGCATAAAACGGGGGAGAAGGGGGTGTTTGGGGGAAGGAAGAAAGGAAGGAAGCAGCCAACCTACATCCCTTCTTCTTCTTCCCCCAATCCCCCAGTCCAGCCCAGTCCAGCCATCCATCTAGTAACAACGAAAAAAAAGCAAAGCCAAACCAACCCACCCCCTCATAACTCAGAAAGCAAAAAGCGTGCGCGAGCAAGCGCGCAAACGAGGTGGGTATTGATGACGCCGCCGCCGCCCCTTCCTTCCTTTCCCTTCCCCTCCCTTCCCTCCCTTCCAATGCCCCAGAAACACCTGCCCTCCAAAGGAAAAAAAAAACTCCCTGGAAAACAAAAAAAACAGACTTTCTAGACAAAACTCCTATTGCCCGCACCCTATCCTTCATATACCCACAGCTTTGCCTTCATTATTACGGTCCCGGCCCGAAAAATGCTTTCGTATGTCTCTGTTCCCCCTTCTCTCTCCCTTTCCCCCCCTTCTTTCCAATTCGCGAGGCGTAAGATGAAAACAAAAAGAGGCGTGTATACATATAATAAACCATCCATAAAAAAACCAAAAAACCAAAAAACCAAAAAAAAATTCAAAGTCTATAATGCCATGCAAGTGCCCATTTTTCCTCTCTCTCTCTCGAGGGCGCGAGGGGGAGGGGGTGTGAAAAGAAGGGGTGGGTGGGTAAAAGGAAACGAGTGATGAAGGTCTTAAGATCTATAAAACTGAGAGAGAGAAAGAAGATTCGTTGAGCGTGAATGTATATGTTAAAAAAAAGTGTGTGAGACCCGAGTTGATGCTGAGTAAAAACGCTTCAATTCGAACAAAGTGAGGTTGTGTGGTTTTTTTTTCTTGGTAAGGACAAGGGGAAGGAAGATCATGGCACAGTGGAGGTGGGGCGCTCGTAGGGGGAGGCGAGGGAGCGGCGGTCCGAGGTGCTGTCTTCGGGGTCGCGTTTGAGGCTGTGGATGCTGCCTGTGTTGCTGTGTTGGGACATTCGATCTGGGCTGCGCATCGTGTGGGGTTGTGGTTGTTGCTGCATGTCCGAGGGATCTGATCGTGGGGGTGGTGCAGAGGTAGCTGCTGCTGGGGCCGAGGAAGCGGTTTCTTCTTCTTGCTGGCGGCGCCGTTGGTAATGTTCCATGTAGCTGAGGCTCTCGCCCTCTCGTTTCAGTGACCCCGCCATGTCCGGGACGGGTGCGGTTCGGGCTCCGCTGACTAAATCTTCTTCGGATCGCGGTTGGATCTGTGGGAGAGGTTGGCCGAGTTGTGGTGGCACGCTCGCGCGTGAACGAGCGTCTGCACGTCGGCGGCTGAAGGAGGTGTTCCGCCTGCGTCCGACACCGACGACACCGCCTCCACCACTGCCACCGGCGCTGGAGCCACTGTCTGTGCGGTGGTGGTAGCCGTGTATCGGGCCTTGGGCCATGGGCGCCGGCGGTGCTTGGTGAAGCTGAGGTGGCATCGGCGGTGGGTTTGGCATCAACTGAGCTGCGTTTGCGGGAGTAAAGCCATGGGGTGCAGACGCGGGTATGACAGGCACCTGCGATGGCGAGCTCATGCCTGTTCCCGTTGCAGATGGGTGGAGCTGAAACACTGGCGCGTTGGCGCGCGCACTCATCTCCTGCTCCCCCAACTGCCAGTGCATGGATTCGGCTGAACGCCAGGGAATACCCATCTCGGTAGCAACCTTCTGCCACATTTGGTCCTTGAATCTATTTCCCAAAAAAAGTCAGTATTTGTTTTTTTCGCCCTTGTTGTGTCGCACGTGTGTGTGAGATGTCTTTTGTGTGTGTGGCCAGCCTGACCGAACAAACCAAAACATTCACCGCCAGCCATTTGGGGAGGGGCGGCCGTCCAAAATAAATTAAAATCTAGCCGTTTTTTCTCTCTTTCTAATGTACGTACCGGGCGTAGAGTCGTGCTAACTTGTTCTTCTTCTCCTCATCCCAGATAGCTCGCTTCTCCAGGTAATTTTGGTAACGCAGACGGCACGAGATGGAACTCCGTCCGGGAAGTCGTTTTGCAATGTCATCCCACTTCATGCCTTGGCCTCGCAGTTCTATTGTTAGATTGTCTTCTTCAGGAGTCCATTTGGATTGTTTCTTAGCGGGGCTCTCGTCGGGGAGTGGCGTTTGGGATGCCTGGCGCTTCAGTGTTGATGGAGGAGAAACATTAGTAGCTGCTGGGCCGCCGTGGGCGGGTGTGGGTCCATGGGGTCCTGAGTAGAGTTGGCGGAATTGAGGAAGCGGCGCAGACTCGTTCCGTCGGTGAAGCTCTGCAATGGCGGGCAGAACGGGTCCTCCTAGCATTGGCGCGGATCCTTTGGGGGCTGATGTTGGTGCCTGTGGGGGGTAGGCAGCCATGGGAGCATAGTGTTGGGGTGCAGTGGCATAGCCCGGCGATCCAGTTGCATACGCGGGCGATGCTCTTTGCGCCGGTGACTGTGTGTAGGCTGAGGGTGCGGTTGTGTATCCCCGTGTAGCTCCGGTTGAGTGAGATGCATTAGAAACTGAGCTCTTCTTGCTGGCCGGTGACTCGGAGCCCCGGGCGCGGGGCTCGAGGAGGAGATTGATATCCAGGATGAACGAAAAGGACCAGCGTTACGCCAGCCCATAAGCTAATGTTAGGTTTACGTTGTACGTCTCCGGGCTCCACCAAATGATTCTAAAGATTGCCGACGATGACGACAACAAGTAGTAGGTTCCTGGTAGTGTTTTGCGGTTGTATGTATGCGTGTGTTGGTAGGAGGAGCAAAGCAAAGTAGATGCAAAGAGCCAACCAAGGTAATGACGGAGGACTATGCACAAGATTGCGTAGTGTTGCTAAGGTGAGGTGACGTTGATGGGTAAACACAACAACAAGGAGGGGGGTGGGCGGGAGATGAACAGGAGAGGACAGGCGTGAGGAGAGGAGTGAGGTTCGGATAGACTAAATGTGCCGAAGAGGGAACCAGTTAACCAGTTGTGAGGTACAGTGGATGATTGACACTCTAAGTGGTCGATCGAGTCGAGCTATTTGGGAGATGGGTCGGGGCCGGGGAGCAGGGGGTGAAACAGGCCAACCACTTGGTCTGATGAGTGACGGTCGTGCTGAGCCACTGACTTTTGCAGGTCGAGCAGGTCGGGGAGGATAGCGTTGGAGGGATGGTGGATGCGGTCTGGTAGGAGCGAAGTAGGGTCTGAGGGTCTGAGGTACTTTGTCGAACATGGATGTGCGAGTAGAGAGAGTTAGCGTGCAACTGTAATGCTAATAACAGGCATCCCTGCAAGGCCCTGGCTGGCGCCGCATCATCGTCCGTGGTAGGGATAGGGATTCCGGGGGCTTGGGATCAGGATGTACCCTTTGCGTCTGTGACTTGACTGACTACCTGTGCGCTTGACGCCTTGTCGACTCGTGCTGGCGGCGCGCCACATTAACGACCCACAGACCACGACGACACCAGAGCTGATCTGATCTAAGGAAGCATGTCTGCCGGAGATTTTAGCGAGCGCCCAAGAAGAAAAAGGACAGACGCTCCCCCTCAGGCCCAAATTGCGGATTGCGGCTAGCAGCTAGAGCAGCTAGCTTGACACAAGAAGCACGACACCCGTTCTCGCTGGCAGAGGCGCTAGGATGACGTGTCTTGCGTGGTGGGAGGAGTAGTAGTTTAGTTGTCTGTCTTTTGACGTCTTACCTTGTTGTTGTTACTACTCTATACCCTTCTCTCTCCTTCTTTCGCCCTGGCTCTGGCTCTGGCGCTGGCGCTGGCTCCGGCCTCTGCGTGTGTGTGTATGTGCTCGCCCTGTCTTGGGTCTCGGGCGTGCGTCTTGGGTCTTTGCATTTGCATTTGCTTGCCTTGCCTGCGTGGTGGGTGAGCCGCCGTTGACGAACGAACCAGCCCGTCCGTCGTCGCCCACTCCACTCGGCGGCAGTGATGGCCTTCGTATCTGGCACGCCTCGGACGGCCGGTGCTGGGTCTCATTTGCTGCCCTCTCGTTTCGTCAGGCCTCAATGCGCGTGCCCAAGACAGGGCTGGCGGGCGGCGGCGAGGGCGGCGAGGGCGGCGTTTGCAGAGAGCATATAGCAGGGGTGTTGGTGCGGTGCTGCTCCTCTTTTTTCTGCTCTCACAGTCACGGCCACGATCGTCGACAAAGATGACAGTATCCGGGGCGTGTTTCCTGCAGCGCTGCCCTCTGCTGGCCAAGGCAGCGAATCAAGGCGACACACAAGCGGTGAACAGCCTCAGGGATTCGCGCAGACGGTTCGGGTTCGGACGAGGTCAAGCGCCATGACATGGAAGATCTGCAGCATGCTCGCCCTGCTCCGGCTATCTCTGACGCCAGACGCGTCGCTACCGAAGCCTTGCGAACGGCTGACTTCATTGTAGCGGTGCATACATGGTGATGTGTTCACGCCCGAGGGCTGCCAACGGCCACTGTGGCTCCACGCCCTGCAATATCTGCCTCGACGGCTCCGGTCAAGCCCCCCCACTGTGGGCTGTGAGCGCCCGGCGATGCACTAGAAGCATGCCATGGCATGCACAGAGGAGCGGTGAACTGCGGTGAACTGCCGGCCATGCCATGGGCGTGACGTCTAGCTTGGATGGAGCCGTCGTTGCTTCGGCCTGACCCGTATTCGACCTGGCCTTGCCGGTTGTGTGCTGTGTGCTGTCCTGCTCGGTCTCGTGCCCAGGACGGAGCCACGTTGTGCTGCCCTGCCCTGTACTGTACTATACGATGACATCTATCCCATCAATCCCGCCTTGCCAGTGCAGTCCAGTGCAAACATGCGACGGCGACAACGACGACGACGAGGCGCCGCACTGCCAGGTCATATCTGCGTGCGCCGCCCCCAGAACACGTCCGCCCACCATGCCCCATTGCATCACTACCTCACTGCCAGGCCAAGGGTTCGGATGATGCGCATTAAGCGGTGAGGCCTGTCTGTCTGGAGCCGTGCATGCACATACGTTGTTGGTTTGCTATTCACGGATGGCCACTGTGAGGTTGGCGGAGACAGATAGAGCACGCCCCCTCTCTCCTCTCGGCCACGGCCACGGCCACGGCCACTTGGGGACGGGCTTAGACGTGCATTAGCCATGAACAGCGTCCCCGTGCGTCCGTGAACGCTCGAGTCAAAGGGGAAAAAAGGGCTTTTCATCGGCGACATACTTGAAGCACCCGCTTCTTCCCTCCGGCGGATGCTGCAATACCTGTCTGCACCGGTCCGGCATGCCATAATCAGATTCTCACACAAAAGCCCATCATAGTCTGGGCCTGCCATGCTCTCTAATAACCCGCTGTCCCTGTTGGTTTGTGTCTACGCTTGTACATACTTGACAAGTAACCATCTAAGCATGTCTGGACATATACGCCTGGCTCTGCCGTGTCACAGCCGCCATGTCTTGTCTGGCTGGCCACTTTCTTGGCTCGATGCGGATGCACACGTAAATCTGTCGGCGCAGCACAATCCTAACCTCCTCTGTCTATATACATGTACTTGGATGGAAACACAAGTATACTTGGACAACTTGGGCATGGCATACAGGGGAGCGGTGAGCCGAGTGCAAGCGCCGGCTGCTTTCTTCACCACTGCATTTATCACGTAGTATATGTATCAATGTAAGTACTACATAAAAGACGCCGACACCTCTACCCTCGACGGCCGTCCGTCCCTAAAACAGTGCCGGTGCAATATGATTCTGCCTTGGCTGGACAAGCCATGGTTTCGGGCAGGCAATCAGAGCCGACGAGCATTGGCGCGCGTTCCTCGACTGCACAGCAGCGCCTCTTGGACCGAGTGACCCGCGCAGAGATATTGCCAACGCATGGCGCGGGATCGTCGCTGCAGCTCCCACGGTGACAAGAGCAATGATATGAGCGCGTGGGGTCGGCGTGGGCAACGGGCGTTCGTCATGTGTTCAGAGACATTCACTCGAGTTGGAGTCGCGGGCCTTGGCGCTCGCTTCACATGCCCAATCCGGCGGCCCTGCACACCCCCAGCCCTATCCAATGCCCTCTTTTCTGCACTACTCCAACTCACGCACCCTCAGCCCGCATAGCCAGCGGGTCACCTGTCAGGACCAGACAAGTCATCCATTCCCCCACTGGCTTCGCTCGCTGCCAGCCTGCCAGCACGCCAGCACTGCGGTTGCTGCTGCTGCTGCTGCTGCTGCTGCTGCTGCTTGCTGTCGCATAACCGCTTTTAGCCTCGCCCGCCACACCATTGGCGCTCCCCTCACTCCTCATCTCGCTCTACTAACTCCTGCACTCTCGCCGCCTGCCTAGCTTGCTCTCGCTGGCCATCATGTCTCTTCAAAGCGCGGCAGACGTGCCGCTTCTCATTAGCTCCCCCAACTCGTCCTCTGAGCGTCGCATCTCCCCCTCGTGGACAATTGCCCATCTCAAGACACGCCTCGAGCCCATCACCGGCATTCCCGCAGCCTGTCAGCAGCTGTCCCTACGTGTGGCATCACAGGACCCCGTTGCTCTCGTTGCTGCAGACGAAGAGAATATCCAGCTTGCTGCCTTCCCGCTGCAGCCGTATGCCGAGATCACCGTAAGTGCTTCTTCTCCTTCTTATTGCATAGCTACTGCTAGCCTTGTCCTTGACCCGTTTGATATGCTGTCCTCTCGCCGTCTGCCACATCTCCTTGCCCTTCCTCCCCCCCCGGCTTGGCTCCCTACTCCCCTTGAAACTGCTCTACTTACTCGGTACGTGCATGTACTGTGTCTTCTCTCTTCCTATTCGCTGCTGCGTGTGGCCGCATATCCTGTCCTGCCCCGCAATGCACAGTCTATCTTTGTCAGCCTGGCAGTCGCGGGAAAATCCATCCTTCGGCTCCTCCGCCGTCGTCTGCCCACTTGTGAGCACGGAGCCGTTGGGATGTGCTGAGCAGTGCGTCTCCTGACTCCAATTGCGCAGCTCTTGTTCTCTTGCCTATTTGCTCTCCTTTTCTTTTGCTCGGCGCTTCGGTCCCATTTGACACTTCATCTTGGCTCACGACACAACCTCTGCACTGACCGTTCGGCTCCATAGTTCTTCTGACAGGCCTCTGCGAACAAATCAGTGCGCGTACATGGCCTCTCGTGTTGACATGCAATCTCTAGGTTGTAGATACGCGTCCACCCGCTGCACGTACAGACTTCAATGACCTGTCCGCCGTTGACAAGTATGAGATGCCGCCGGCAGAGTACGAGCATCGGACCGATAGTGTTCTTGCATGGAAGAAGGCTCAAAAGCTTGGGCGATTTGATCCAAACGCTCCCAGCATAGAACAACAAAAGATCCGCGCCTCAGAGCGTGAAGTAGAAGAGAGAGGTAAGCGTAACCGTCTCCTTTGCACGTCTCGGGCCACGTACTCGTACGACAGTGGTGGCTGTGTTCTTAAAAAAGCAATTCTGGGACCAATTGACAATTGCGGGTATTGCTCTGGTTCAACCTACTCCTACACCATTCCTCCACGCGTAATGTACATGCCTCAAACGGTTCCCAAAGCCGCGGCTACACATTTCCGACTCCAAGGCCTCGCCACAGACATCATGTCAGCAGGTTTCATTTAGTCATGAGGCATCGACAAGGAAGTAAGCATGTCAGACAAACACTTTCTAGACCTGATGCCGTCTCACCGAACCGGTCGTACAAAATATACTCTTTTCAGCAGCCTGCATGAGACCCTGGGCCCCCTTTGGCCAGGGGCCTAATACCATCTGCGACGGGCGTCTGGACACATCCAATCGACAATAGTAAACTGGCAATCGAGTATTGCAGGTTTCGGTTGCCTCGGGGGATCGTTTATATCTCTCGCTTTATCACTCTCGCCTCGCTTCCCGTCCCGCTGGGAGCTAAGGATCGGAACGAGGCTCCCCGAAACTCAAAAGCAATGATAAATCTGCCTGTCACCACACTCATGCTCAAAACTTCCTTGGCTTGATACTTGGTCGCCACAAGCCACGCCTGCAACGAGGAATTGAATGCCTGCAGCAACATGGTGATGGTGCTTGGCGGGTGGCAGGGCCTGTATCAATTGTCGCGCGCTACAGCCTTGAGGCTTGTATTGGAGCGAGGATATCGCTTGTGCGTCTAGACAATCAACGCCGCAGCGCATCGCGGCTGGAACATGCCGCCGGTTCCGCTTGTGCATTGTCAGTTCGTGACCATATCCCCCGTTTAGGTCTCAGCGCCCCTCACAACGGGCGCTTCACATGTGGCAACTCTGTGTGTGTGTGTGTGCCAAAGGAAGCAGATTGGTGGCTTGGGACCCGCGCGACACAAAAAGTTCAATCACTCCGGAATCATCTCGCTCGATTATCGTCGCTTCCATTCGCTCCTTTGTACACAAGGTTGAGGTTCAAACTGAGTTCGGCTCCGCTCAATAGCAAGGGGGTCGCCACTTTTATTTTCGCTACTCATGGGCAAATCCGGACATACACTTTACTGACTGACCCACACCAATACTCGAAGAGCGATCACTGACAGATCTCCCTAGGTCTATCTGTATCGAGTCGCGTCCGTCTACTACCCGAGTCGGATGCACGCCGCGGCACAGTGTCATACATTGGGTTGATCCCAGAGATCCCAGGCATAGGTGTCTGGGTGGGGGTCACTCTTGACGAGCCGACGGGGAAGAATGATGGTTCCGTCAAGAGCAAGCGATACTTTGAGTGTGGTCCTAACTATGGTGTGTTTGTACGGCCTGAGCGATGCGAAGCTGGCGATTTCCCGCCTCTTGACATGGGTGATGAGGATCTTGAGGAGTTGTGAGGTCATGCATTCTGCTCAAGGCCTACCACATACAACATATGCAAAACCTTTGATGCTTGCAGCAAACCAATATCACACATGTATTATCCCCGGACGTTGTACATTGAGATCCACCAACCTACATCTACTTGAAATCTTGGAATCAAAAACATGACAAAACATCGGAACACAAAGACCTTGGCACTACCTCCCCCCTGTGAACCACACAACCCCCCCAGCCCATCCAACACACTTTGCTACAACGGCAAAACCCACTCGCCCTCATTCCTCGGCTTAGCAAGACTACTCTGCTCCCTCTTGACAAACCGCCCATACCTCTTGTCCCCCTTCAGTCCCCCATTCTCCCTATCCCACATCACCCTTCCCCTCAACACCGTATATCGCGGCCACTGCGTCATCACCCTCCCCTCAAACGGCGTATAATCCACATCATGATGCAACATTTCATTCTTTAGCTCAAACGGCTCCATCTTCCCCTCCGGATACCACACCACGACATCAGCATCCGACACGCCCTCCCTCAACGCGCCCTTCCGTGGGTAAAGTCCATAAAGCTTGGCCGGGTTCGCCGCTGTCAATTCCACGAATTTTGGGAGGTCAAGGCGATCCGCGCCGAGTGTGAGTGCGAGTCTTGTTTCGATGCCTGGGCAGCCGTTGGGGATGTATTTAAAATGGCCCAAGGGGTACTCGGGCGAAATGCTAGTTTTCTTGCCGGAAACGGAGTCGTTGTAGCGAAAGGGACAGTGGTCCGATGATAGTATTGTAAACGTTCCGTTTGCCAGTCCGTCCCAGATGGCGTCGCAGTCTGCTTCGCTGGCACGAGGTGGGGGGGAGCAAACGCATTTTGCGCCTTCGAAACCAGGGGCGGCGAGGGATTGAGAGGTGAGGAATAGGTATTGTGGACAGGTTTCTGCGTAGATTGGTAGACCGCGGTCCTGCGCGGTTTTGATGTGAGATGTTGCGGTGGGGGTGGAGACGTGGACGATTAGGATGGGGGTGTCCATGAATTCGGAGAGGGAGATTGCACGGTAGGTGGCTTCTGTCTCTGCCATGGGGGGATGTGATGAGCCGTGGTATTTTGGGGCGAAGAGCTGGCGCTTTTCGAGTTGCGCAGTCATCCAGTCGATGACTTGGCCGTTTTCGGCGTGGATCATGGTAGTGATGGAGTGTTTGCGGGCGTGGAGGAGGATGTCGAGGATTTGGCCGTCGTGGAGTTGGAGGGCTTCGTAGGTCATGTAAATTTTTAGGGAGGAGATGCCTTCGGTGCGGAGGGTTGGGAATTCTGATAAGGCTTTTTCTGAGGGGTTGCCGACGATGATGTGGAAGGAGTAGTCGATATAGCAGTTGTCTTTTGCTCGTTCGTGAGTTGCGGCTAGGGTGTCGAGAAGACTGTCTTCTGTCTTTTTTTGAGGCGCAAATGTTATCATGGTTGTTGTGCCTCCGCATACGGCTGATCGGCTGCCTGTCTCATAGTTATCTGCTGTTGATCCCTGGCCGAATAATGGAGGTTCTTGGAGATGGACATGTGCATCTACACCTCCTGGCATCACATATCCGCCCTCAGCATCTATTGTCTTTGTTGCTTTGGCATCTCCTAGGCCCCCTCTTGGGACTACCTTTGCGATCTTCTCATCCTTGATGGCGATATCCAACTCTTGGATATCTGTTTCCGAAACCACTACTCCATTGATGATGAGTAAATCATATTCGGCTGCCATTGTGTCTCGGCCTTTCTCAATCCTTTGAATCGAATAACAAGAGAAGTAGAGCGAACAAAATCATTCGAAGATACATGTCGTCGGCTATCGTGGTAGTTGTAGGAAAGCTAGTCCAAGATAGTGAGGTGCATATCTCAACCCCTCACCCACATCTGCCCCACCTTTGCTCCTCCACACCTTATCAGCGGCTGAACACGTAGAGTTGGAGTAAGTAAGCATAATGTGCGGAGCTCTGTACAGTCATATAATTCTGTCATACCCAGTAAACACACGTTTTTCGGCTCGATGTGCGTTGAAGAGCGTTGGACCACTGTTTATATACTACCGCCTTTGAAGCCATAACATCATTGAAGCACCAAAGCTTGCATAAAGTCGTCAAAATGACTTCAAGTTCTCTCAAGATCAACGGAGACAGACTGAACAGTACTCTACAAGATACTTGTACACAATATGGTGCTCTTGCAGCCCCTTCAACGGGCATGTGCCGTCTCACTCTCACCCCAGAAGATCAAGCCGCACGAGACTGGCTAGTGGCAGAATGCAAGAGCCTGGGATGCGAAATCAAAGTTGATCAAATGGGAAATATTTTTGCAATTCGTGGAGGTACAGCTAAGGACAAGAAGCCAATTGGTATGGGCAGTCATATGGATACACAACCTGCAGGCGGGAGGTACTAGCACACTCTACCACATCAACGACCAAGTCTAAGAAACCTACTGAACGAACCTCAGATATGACGGCATCCTAGGCGTCCAAGCCGCCCTCGAAGTTCTCCGTACCCTCCACGAAAACAACATCTCAACCCACTGTCCCCTGGCCTTGATAAACTGGACCAACGAAGAAGGCGCCCGTTTCCCCGGCGCAATGATGTCCTCTGGCGTCTGGAGCCAGCACTCCAGCACCCCCCTCTCCACCTGCTGGTCTATCCTCGACACCGACGGTATAACCATGAAAGACGCTCTCCAGAGCATAAATTATCTCGGCGAAACTCCCTGCTCCCACCTCGACAACTCCCTCCACTGCCACTTCGAACTCCACATCGAGCAAGGCCCACTTCTCGAGCGCGCCCAAAAAACCGTCGGCGTCGTCGAAACTGTCCAGGGAATGCAGTGGTACGCCGTCCGCGTGCTGGGGAAAGAAGGACACTCAGGTACCACCCCCATGCCTGACCGCTCAGATGCGCTGGTGACGGCTTCGCGCCTCATCACCGCCGTCCGCGACACAGCACTACACACGGAACTCGGCGTTGCGACCGTCGGCGTTATAAAAAGCGATACCGCATCTCAGGCTACTATTCCCGCAGGCGTGGCTTTTATAATCGATATAAGATGTTCCACTGATGCCTTAGTGGCACAGCTTTCCAACGCTATTTTCGCCGCGTTCGATAAAATCATGACCGAGGAAACGAATGGCACGAGCTACAAGGTACAGCGGACGTGGGGGCTTCCAGAATCAAAGTTTCATCCGCATTGCATCGAGGCTGTGCGGGGCGCGGCGGTCAAGCTTGTGGGTGAAGACCAGGTCATGAGTATGATGAGTAGAGCGGGCCACGATAGTGCGTGGACGAGTCGCGTGGTACCTACGAGTATGATTTTTGTGCCGAGTAGAGATGGGATTAGTCATAATCCTGAGGAGTATACGAGTCCCGAGCATTGTGCGTTGGGGGCGCAAGTGCTGCTTGATGCGGTGTTGGCGTATGATGAGATGGTTGCAAAGGGGGTTTGTTAGAGGAAAGGATAAAAAAATGGGGTTAGCAAGTGAGGGAGGGATATGAGGAGAAGAAGAAGAAGAAGAAGAAGAAGAAGAAGAAGAAGAAGAAGAAGAAGAAGAAGAAGAAGAAGAAGAAGAAGAAGAAGAAGAAGAAGAAGAAGAAGAAGAAGGTATTCCCATTTCAAATGGCATATATGTGGTATGTAAAAATGGTCCAAGCAATATGGAGTTGAAGAAGTTTTATGTACAAAAAATCTCTCCCCGTTGTGTAAAAGTCTCAATTCACCAAACCACCGCAATCTCCCCGTCTCTTTCGTTCACAATCGTGTGTATTCAAGTTTCCTAACCGGAGTAGACAGCGGGGCCAGGGCTGACGTACTTGAAGCTCGAGTCGTAGATAGCCTTTGTGAAGAGCGGGTCGCTGAGCTTGTAGGCACCGGGGAAGCTGACACCAGAGGGCGTAGCACTGCCTCCTCCAGTAACCTTGACCTGGAAGCAGCTGACGTAGGGCTGAGGGCTTCCAACGCCGGCGTGTAGGGCAATAGCCTCAGCGCGGACAAGGTAGTCACCAGAGGCAATGTTCTTGGGAACAGTGAAGGAGCGCTTGCCGCAGTTTGCGTTGAGGATCTCAGTTCCCCATGAGGCGGTGGTACCAGTGTATCCGTCCTCGGCGACCTTGAAGAAAGAGCCGGAGCTGGCGGTTTTGGCATCGCTGACCTTGGCCATGTAGATAAGAACCGGGCCGTAGTGGTTGCCGCCGATGGCAGGCTGCGAGCATGAGCGCGCGCCGGGCTGAGCGTGCATCTCAACAGTCAGGGAAGTACCGGCTGAGTTTGATGTTAGCCAATATCTATTGCATAGTACCAAGGGCAGAATCGAGATGGTGTTGTTCTCCTCTTCTTGGAGTGGAGGTTTGGGGATATTGAGACTTACCAGCAACTTCACAGACACCGGATGAGGCAGCGGGACCACGACCACAGAACATGTCGGATGAAGACAAGCTGTTGATGGGGCTGTTATCCTTGACAGTACGCGTGCAGCTGGTCGCCTTGTCCGTGCTTCCAACCCACAGTTGCTGCCATGTCGAGTGGGCAGAGGCGGTGGTCGCAGCAGCGAGGAAGATGGTGGAGTACTTCATGATTGCGATGGAGAGTTGATGTGAGAGTGTTTGAAAGTGATCGTCTGTGTCGTGCTGTTCAACTTCAAGGCAGAAGGCTGCTCTTATTTATTCCTCATGCTGCTGAACGCCCCATCTTGCTGGCTGACACCGAGCAATCTAACAGCAACGGTTTTGTCCCGGGCCGTCATACCAGTAGCACTACTCCACCAAGTATCTCGCCAATCCCTGATTCTGCGTGACTTATGGCTCTAATCCATTGTTTGTCACACATGTAGATTGCGTCGCTCCAACCAAGCTTTCTTGGCACCTGTCAGGAAGCGCGTGCTCATCAGCACTCAATTTACACCCATGTTTACTATTCGCCGATGCAGCACTCCACGCCCCGGAATCTGCCTGATTGGGCACGGCATTCGTTTTTGGGTCGGGTGTTGCATCAACCGGCGTCGTTTCGGATGCAGTGGTGCCCCGCAATATGAGGCTGGATTTATTAGGCATGGTCATTTGGACGACACCGTTGTGGCTATGGAAGACACCGGGTAAGCGATGTAATCTGATTTTTCATTGATGCCAGGACACCCAAGCCTTGGAGGCTCTATGCGCAGTCTTCTTCTGTCAACTTGTTGTAGTCGACAAAACGGAGCGTGTCGATTGGGTAAGTCAATATCCTAGACATGCGGCGCGCACTAGACCCACCTCATCCATATTCGAAACATATCAAAGCCACTATAGCACCATTGGTCGCCTCTGTGTTATCCACGCCTAGACGAGATCTTCCGGCTTCGAGGCCGACACGCCGGTCTGCGAACAAGTCAAAGATGCAAAAGAACGTCATTAACGGAGGCTTTCATTTCTAGTGCGACCGGATTAGATTGGATATTTTCGCATTCCTACCTGCTGCTGCAACCCCTTAGTCGTGTCCCGGGTTTCATTGGCGCCTCTTCCGTACAACAGTGGCGACGGCGGCGCCAATCTATCGTGCTGCACGATCGAGGCGAAACGTGACCTTGTCTATGCTCTCTATGCCTTTGCAGTCTTGCCAAAGTAGTTGGCAAGTGTGTTTTTCTGTGTTGGCTTCTCCTTCCTAGTGGCAGGTTCCGTCTTCTTCGTACGCTCTCCCACGCCCATCAATTTCTTGAACTCTTCCCACTCTTGCTTCCCCACAATACCACCACTAGCCTCTTTATGTCCTCTTGCAAAGCTCTCTCCCAGTCTTGCTCTCAGGTCTTTGTCACCAGCAACAATGCCCTCAAGCTTCTTGATAATGTCTATCTTCTCCTCTCCTTCCCTCGCCCGCGCACATTTAGCAACCCGACACGAGAAATTGACTCTGTCTGGAAGATAGCCCTCGTTCGCACACATCACAATCTCTAGCTTGTTTGACTTTAAAGTACCCGACCAGCGGGTTGCGATGACGGGATGAATCTGCGCAGCCGAGGATATCGACAGTAGGGCAATAGTAGCGTCCGCGGAGAACATGGGCGGTGTATGCGTACAGCGCTCGGTTTCACGTCGTACCTCCAAAGACACGTTACGAAGTTTCTCGTCTCTGACAATTGAGCCAGGACTTTCTGCAGAGAGCACTGCGGCCCACGCATCCTCGACATTATAAGCTGCCGACCGTCTCGGCGCATTGACTAAGGCTACGGCGTCGTTGATCGCCTTCTTCGTGTGTTGTTTGAAAGTGGCCGTCATATCTGGAAATGGTAGCTCCCACTTAATGGTACCTCCTAGGTCGCCGTGGGTTCCCAGTGCTGCAAGCCAGGAGATCTTGCCATTCAAGTCCGCATGCAATGGCAGGCAGATGTTGTATGTCAAGAGGGCACTCGTTGCAACAGGAGGACAATCATGAGCCGTGACATACTCGGCACCTTCTGGGAAACCCCCTTCATCTGCAAAGTGGTGATCTATAACGAGACATGTATGTGGGGAGTCAATCAGTGGCGGACTCTTTCTGCTGCCTTGATCCAGGACAAAGATATACACTGGTGATCTAGCGATAAGAGCTTCCTTTGTACTTTCATCATGGACGTTAGAGCCTTTTGGAGGAAAGTACACCGATATATGATCAGATGATAAACCAAGAGTAGTGAGTGTATGGTACAATATAGCACCCGAAGAAAGGCCGTCTGCGTCCTTGTCTGGTATTATGATAGTTGGCTTCTGAGCAATAGCACTGTCGATCATGAGTAAATCATTGTGAGACTTTTAAAAAATTGCGGCCTACCACTCTTTGATAATCGTCCGCGCACGTTCGATTTGTTCGTGTCTGGCGGGCCAAACTATCTCACCATTTTCATCCTGTCTCGATTGAGCAAGGTGATAAGCAGGTATCTCAACCTTTGGTCTCTTCGACTTGGGGGGTGATGTTTCTTTTTCATGTTTACGCTTCGAGGGGCTCATTGTGAATGCGGACGCCTGAAGCCGTCGGGCTTGTGGTGCCATGAAGATAGATGTAGACAGACGTAGCTGATAAGAAACCCGAGGCAATTTATTAGACAATCTCACTAATCGCTGAGCGAGCACTCTCATTATTTAGTGGTATAATACACGACAAGCTGAGATGCGACGCTGAAAAGTACCTCGTAGTCGATGACGTCGTTGACGCACTAGTCTATTCTTAGCCCAACCACCTAGTATTTGGACATATACTTGGGCGCATTGTGTAGAATTGTTAAATGTTGAAGCTCTGTCAGCTTAAGGTAGAGGTAGCTTGGCACTGCTCTTCGCGAGTGTTTGCCCGTCGAAGCCTACCCCAACGAGCTCAAATTCCACAGTCAATCCCGCATTCTTCTCAACGAATTGTTTGTTCAGAATATGATCCAATGCATATGCTTTACCCAGCATTCTTCCGTCCGTATAAATGAAGAAGTGCGAGAAAGGCCCTGTGATTTTGCTACAGGGAATTTTGTTGTCTTTCCAATTGGCTCTTCCATGATCCTTGAAGCTCCAAACCAGCTGCATGCGCTCACAATCTCCTTCACCTCGATTTTCAAGCTGCATTTGGTCGATAGAGAATGAAGAAGACGTTTGAAAAGTAGAAATAGGCATAATCCTGACACTCATGATGTTCAGCAACTGCGTAGTCTTGCCTCGAGCAGTGCCGATTGAGCCTTTCAAATGAACCCCAAGCTCTTGGATGCGAGAGCCAGGCACCAAAGACTTCAGTGAGCATACTGTTCGCTGAACTCCTTTCCCGGATGTGATGGTAATAAAATGAACAGAACCTGGGGTTCGAATGTAAAAGCTGACAATACTATGGTCAGCCGGCAATGACGCATTGTCACTGTATATCTCAGCTTGTAAAGATCCATCTGCGGGCATGTCGAGTTTGAATAGTGGAAGCCAGACTTCTGTCGTGTCATCACTATTTGACTGATTTTGCATGGCCTCGATTACCAAGCGGGGAGTACTTGAGCTGTTGTCTAGACGGTGCCAAAGCTGAATAGCTTGATGTCTGTCTCCGAAAATAGCCGGACGTGGAAGAATGGACTGACTACCTAGTTGTGCATGGGTGCTACAGCCGCCGAATAGATCGTTTGATGCGTCATCATGCGTAGCAAAAGCACGGGTGAAGTCAGTGTAGAAGAAGTTTTCAGAACCAGCCACACGCTCTTTCGCATTCTTGAGGATTGCAAAAGCCTCATTAGGCCGATGACGCGACAAACAATCGCCGCAAGAGCAGTCCATGTCACGCGGAAATGAGGTTCCTTGCCAGACTGTACGTTCAGCGTCACGCCCTTTTCCAGGAAAATGCTCAAAGGACCACGCTGGGGCAAATATGCCTGCTGAAAGCCCTAGGTCGGCGAGCTTCGCCACAGCAACACCAGTGTTCGTGCCCCCTCCCCCATATTCTGGATAAGTAATACGTGGGTGAGTGAAACTCGATTTGTTCTGCGCCCACACATCAATGCCAAAGAAAATGTTTTTGGGCGAAATTTTGCTTGACAGGGCAAGCTGTAGCGAATTTTCAGCTTCAGTATCTTTCCAGCAGTAGTTTGTGAGTATGCTTCCACAGGCCGATGCGAACTTGATGTTGGACGTGTTCAGTGCATTTTGGTACGATATCTTGTTCGAAATAGTGAGAGCATCATACCTAAAACACTGTTATACTGTCCTAATGACTTGAAAGACGGAGTTTGTGCCTACCATATAAGCCTCATTGCACCGCCCATTTCGGCTCTCAGCTGGCAAAGAAAGGCTTTAAGGACTTCAGGGCCCCAAACATCATTCGAAAATCGTTTTTCAATGTTCACAAGCCAGCCGTCGAAGCCATAATGCCCAGCAATTCTTGCTAAAGTTTTTGCCAAAGGAAAACTCATGTTTTGACCGTCACGTGTGTGCTGTAGGAGACACTCAGAGCCCTCAGTCTGTGGCTCAACTAGGAGTGTACCTAGAACTTCGACGCCGTTGCGATGAAGCGTATTCGTCCACGTTGGTGGAGGTATACATACAAGCTTGTGTGAGAAGTAGATGAATACATCGACAAATTGAAGATATTCACAGGAATAGAGCTCCACGTCAACACCAGTCGCCTGCACGCTCTCATAATCATGGTAGTTTCCGGAGTAATCATGGATCAAGAGAACATCTGCTTTACCGGGGTCATCGTTTGTGCTCCTATCCTCTGTTCGTATGCGTGGCGTGTTGGCTCTTTGAAAAGAGTCGCAGTCATCTTCTGTCCATGCCTCTAGTTGATCAAACGTGTCGAAGTAAGCGAAGCCCTTGAGTCGATCTAGATCGCGTTGTTTGCGTCTCTCCTCAGGCGTTGGCCCTGTGTCTGGTGCGGGGAACAAATGGCGATATCCATCACGAATTGGCCGGAGGATATCTTTCCACCCCAGCAAGTAGGCCATTGCAGCGCAACGCCGGAGGTGGTCGTTCTGCTCTTGGTTATTTTTGGGCTCTCCAGATGTGTGAGAGCTAGCTTGGATCACTCGTGCAGGGATCTATTGATGGTTCGAATCATAGCAGCTGTGTCAGATTCCAGCTGTATCCAAGGCAAACAACGCTGGCAGTCCACGTTCTGACTGAATTGCTGTAGTAGAGGTCTCTTGGGTCTATGTTATTGATAAGGCAAAAATGGCCGTAGATGTACCGTGGAAGGGTGCGCGTTGGGTATGCGAACCACTGCGGGAGCGGCGACGATCGGAGGTGACGTTCCTGGCAGGGGTCGGGCTTGGCAGGCAAGGGCTACGTAGCTCCATCCGTCCTTACGTACAGAGAGCTGTCGGAACGTGTCTTTTTATGTGAGAAAGTGCGAATCTCCACACTCACACCACCTCTTGTCGCCAAACATTTGTTGCTTTCCTAGAAGCGCCCAGCGACACGCCCGCCGCCATGATGAATCTTTTCCGACTTTTGGGTACGCAGAATGGAGAGCGAGGGCCGTCGCGACCAAGACGGCGCCCGCTGGAAGATCATGGCATTGCTGACTTTGCGCAGGGGATTTGTCCCACTTACTCTCCATCTTGATTCTGCTGCACAAGATGAAATCGTCGAGTGTACGCTGAATCATCTACTGTCCCGCGCAAAGATTCGAGCTAACGTGTTCTTAGAGCGCCTCTGGTATCTCTTTCAAGTCGCAATTCCTTTACCTGATCGTCTATCTTACGCGTTACGTCGACCTGTTATGGACCTTTTACGAGCCCAAATCCCTCTACCTGACCGTGTTCAAAACCATCTTCATCAGCACGTCCGCCTACACCGTCTACCTGATGCTCAATGATTACAAGCCGACCCACGACCCGAATTTAGATACGTTTAAAGTTCAGTATCTACTGGGAGCTAGCGCTGTACTGGCCGTCTTGTTTCCATACAAGTACACGTTTTCCGAGGTATGGCATGTCCAAGTACCGCCAAGGAGTTGTGTTAACCAAGCATACAGATTCTCTGGGCTTTCTCCATCTGGCTAGAGTCTGTCGCGATTCTACCGCAGCTTTTTATGCTTCAGCGGACGGGCGAGGCGGAGACAATTACAACGCACTATCTTTTTGCACTCGGCGCGTACAGAGCGCTGTACATTCCCAACTGGATCTACCGCTACTTCTTTGAAGTACCGAAGTTCTACGACCCCATTGCCGTGATTGCGGGTATTATCCAGACCATTCTGTACTCTGATTTCTTCTACATTTACTACACAAAGTAAGTAGTTTGGTTTTTGTTGATGAATGGTCAGATGACTAACCAGCGGTTACCAGGGTCATCCAAGGCAAGAAGTTCAACTTGCCCGTATAGACGGACGACGAGCGCTGCTCTCTTTCTGCTGCCGGCGGCCGAATACGGCGTCACTTTGGCTTCCTGTACTGGTATATCTACTTAGGGAGGCGTTTTCTGGGCATTTTGGTGAATGGACGAGGATGCAATTGGGTTGGGAAAGGTGCACGGGAGTTGCCTAGACGGATGTTGTGCACGTTGGGTGACGTAAGGAAACGGGCTATATGGAGCTCGCATCAAGATACCAATGACTGTGTGTATTGAGACTTGGCAATGAAACATGTTGATCTACTGTCTACTGTGTACTATGTAGCTGGTCAAGGCACGTGATATGTGAGACTGCCAAGTCCGACTCGCTGCACACTGCGGACGAATATGTAAGCTAATACATTGTTATGAGCATTCTCATATCCCGACATGCTCACCGTTGTTAGAAGTGGACGAAACGCGCATGTATCAGAGTAATGTCGCGTCACAAAGTCTGATTGACAAGGCTGAAGCACGTGAGGCAGTGCATACCTGTATGCATGCAAGCGCCATTCAGCGACGGCGGCAGGAGGGCTCGTCCATCAACCGACCCTAGCCCGCCGCCAGCAACTCAGCACGATTTCATCTCACTGGCAACCTGCCCGCCCTGTTTTGCCCTCATACCACGTATTAATATTCTCACTCGCTGTTTTACATTCACCACACGTCTTTCACCGGCTGCATATTCGTCACTATTGTTGCCTAGTGATAAGAACGCAGAGCGTCTAGTGCCTCGACTGCCATCTTTCTGTAGACCGCTGCTCTGCATCTCAAGCGACTCGTGAAGGCGACTCGACGCCCTCAAATAGCATAGCGCGCGTGCGCGCCTGGCAATCGACTCTGTCCTCATCTTGAAGACGCAACAATGTTTTGTCTGCGAAGCTGGATACCAGTGCTTTTCTTCTTGTAAGTAAGGCGTCTTACCGCCCCCTCTCGACGGCGGCGCTGTGCACATACTGACTGTCGTGGCCAGACTGCGAACTCATGCGTCTCCCGTCTACCTTGTCCTCTTCATATCGGCTACGTACTTCCTGAACCGACCGTGTGTGTATTGCTCGCTACTCCTTTTCATTCTTGTCGTTGCGCTCTTCGACTTCCACACGCCATGGTTTGATGCGCCGCTGTCGGACAGCGCGGAACTGGCGCTCAATGGCACCGCGTCAGAAACAGCTGGAGTACTGGCACAGGCTGCGAACCACACAGCACAGGTCGTGGTCAAGGCTGCGGTGGAAGGAGTCAAGGGAAAGATTGGACTGGGCCAGGCGAGCGACGCGCAGAGTTACGAATGGGTCAAGGGATTGCTGGGGAAGAAGGAATGGCGGATTCAATGTCTCGATGTGCTCATCCGAGTCTGAGCAAAGAGAAGTACAGCACGTGGCAGCCTACGTGTGGAAATGCAAGTATTTGTGCGGCGTTTTGTGGTCAGACAGCTTGGTTGGCGTGGAAAAGACATCACTGCATGACTAGGCGTGGAACTGAAGCATTTGCATGGCGTAACAGGGATTGCCACGATACAAAAACACCATTTACTACCATTTTCCTGAGTCGCGTCTGCACATGATGTATGAATGAATGCAGCATAGGAGAGCAGAGGGTGACAATGGCGAGGGTTCACCTGCCTGGCCAGGGGTGGTGGCGGAGGACATTATCTGGAATGCCTCCACCCACCCGTACCAGCGCAGTCAATGACGCGCATGTCACATGTCGAGATAATAGCTACTCTCGCACTCGCCATAGCGATGGATGCGTACTAGCAGACGCATCTCAAGCACCCCGCGCTAAACACGCCGCCGCAGGGATCGTCTCGAGAGGTGGGGCATCCGACATGCCGCACGCCTACCTTCCCCTCTCAGTCCTCATGCGTCGTCTTGTGCCATTGAAACCCGCTCTTGAGTAATCTTGCCCCTCGTTTTGCCCTCCAAACTGGCTGCCCTCTCTACCTCTGCGAGACTCTGCTCTCGACATCTGGTTCGTGCCCGGCTCGACACCAAACACACTTCGCGTCTGCTGCTTACGGGCCCACTTTCATCTCTTACTTCGCCCTACCTTTGCTCAGCCCACCTTGAGCGCTCCAGAAGCTTTTCATCAGCAATCAAACAGCTCTACCCTAACCCTCGTACCCAATTGAGACCACGTCCCCGGTCTGCAGTAGCATTCAGCATCCAAAAGAGGCTGTGTCAAAGCGAGGTTACCAGCAGTTTCGCAAACATGGCTTCAGATCGCGATGTCCTCCCAGCATGGTCAGTAAATTGCATTGCGTTCTGCCCATTATCAGGGAGAAGAGAAGCTGACAATTGTTTGATAGGGCCAAGCCATCGCACTATGACCTCTCCCTCTACGACCTCGAATTTGGCGGCAAGTTTGGTTATCACGGAACCGTCAAGATCAACACAAAGATTACCAAGGATGACGGCTTCAGCACCCTCGTTCTCAACGCACACCAGCTCAAGCTCAAGAGCGCTGAGTTGAAGGCTGGCGACAAGACATACCCTGCCAAAGACTTCAGCTACGATGAGAAGAGGCAGCAGGTTACGCTGAACTTTGGCGACAGTATCACCTACACTGGCGAGACTGTGCTGGAGATCCAGTTCCAGGGCGCTGTCAATAACGTCATGGCTGGTTTCTACCGCTCCAAGTACAAGCCCAAGGGCGAAGTTCCTGCGTCTGTAGCTAAGGACGACGAGTTTCACTACATGTTTAGCACCCAGTTCGAAGCTTGCGACGCCCGCCGTGCCTTCCCTTGTTTCGACGAACCCAACCTCAAGGCTACGTTTGACGTCGAGCTTGAAGTTCCCAAGGACCAGGTTGCGCTCAGCAACATGCCCGAGAAGGAAATCAAGCCTAGCAAGCGGGACGGTTTCCACACTGTTGCGTTTGAGAGGTCACCCATTATGTCGACATACCTCTTGGCGTGGGCTATTGGTGACTTTGAGTACGTCGAGGCTTTCACCGAGCGCAAGTACAACGGCAAGAACATCCCAGTCAGGGTCTACACGACTCGCGGCCTGAAGGAGCAGGGACGTTTCGCCTTGGACAACTGCCACAAGATTGTGGACCACTTTTCCGAAATCTTCCAAATTGATTATCCTCTTCCCAAGGTCGACCTGCTAGCTGTTCATGAGTTTGTAAGTAAAACCGCGGAGTGCACCGAACATTGCGTTGACTCTTCAGCCAATTATACGTGCAGTCTCTCCCCCATAGTTGCGTAAAGCTGACCTTTGTTTTCTAGTCACACGGAGCCATGGAGAACTGGGGTCTCATCACCTACAGGTAGGTCTTAGAAATCCGTATGACTTGGATATAGTATTAATACAGCTTCAGAACTACCGCAGTACTTTTCGACCCTGCGACGTCTGCAGACAGCTACCGAAACCGTGTAGCCTATGTTGTAGCTCACGAGCTTGCCCACCAGTGGTTCGGCAACCTTGTCACCATGGACTGGTGGAGCGAGCTATGGCTCAACGAGGGTTTTGCTACCTGGGTCGGATGGCTCGCTATTGACCACCTTTATCCAGGTATGACCTCTTCATGAAGTTTTAGAATTTACGCTAACGAAGAGTTTAGAGTGGAATGTCTGGGGACAGTTTGTCGTACGTCACAAATCTCGAGGTATCTACTCTACTAGCTTGCTGACAATTTTCCCAGACTGATTCCGTGCAACAAGCTTTCGCTCTTGACGCTCTGCGCACCTCTCACCCCATCGAAGTACCTGTATACGACGGCCTAGAGGTTGACCAGATTTTCGATCATATTTCTTACCTGAAGGGATCTTCCGTCATTCGCATGCTGAGTGCTCATCTTGGTGAGAAGGTCTTCTTGCAAGGTGTTGCCGACTACCTCAAGGCCCACCAGTACTCCAACGCAACCACCAACGATCTATGGTCTGCCCTGAGCAAGGCCTCTGGCCAGGATGTCAACAGCTTCATGGACCACTGGGTCCGCAGGATAGGTTTCCCTGTCGTCACTGTCGCCGAAGAGCCTGGCCAAATCGGACTTCGCCAGCAACGCTTCCTTCTCGCCGGTAACGTTAAGCCGGAAGAGGACCAAACTACTTGGTGGATCCCGTTGGGTCTTCACACTGGTGACTCACCCTCTACGGCGTCCGTTCACGGAACCACTGCCTTGACGCAAAAGGAAGACACCGTCCGGGATGTCAGCCAGGGTTTCTACCAGCTCAATAAGAACCTTACTGGCTTCTACAGAACTAACTACCCTCCGGACCGCCTGAAGAAGCTTGGAGAAGCCCGCGATCAGCTCACTGTACAAGACAAGATTGGTCTTGTTGGTGATGCATATGCCAATGCTGTAGCTGGATACGGCTCTACTGCTGGCCTTCTCGCACTAGCAGAGCGCTTCCAGGATGAATCCGACTACCTTGTTTGGTCCCAAATTCTTACCAACATCGGTAACGTCCGAAGCGTGTTCTCTGGTAGCGAGGATATCAGTGAAGCTTTGAGGAAGTACCACCTCAAGCTCATTACACCGGCTGTCGAGAAGGTTGGATGGGAGTTCAAGGATGGTGAGAGCTACCTTGTCGGTCAGCTGCGCGCTAGCCTTCTCCTATCTGCCGGTATCGTTGGCCACCAGGCTACTGTTGACGAGGCGCTGAAGAGATTCGACGCGTACGTCTCTGGTGGAGACAAGAAAGCCATTCACCCTTCGCTCCGCCGCGCCGTCTTTTCCACGGCTATTAAGAACCGTGGTGAGCCAGCGTTCAAGGCTGTGCAGAACGAATACCTCAACACAACATCCATTGATGGCAAGGAAATCTGCCTGGGCTCTCTTGGTCGTGTGCAAACACCTGAGCTTGCGAAACAAGTCATGGACTTTGTCTTCTCGGACGCCGTAGCTATGCAAGACAAGCACTCGCCAACCATTGCTCTTGCGAACAACTCAAAGGTACGCGTGCAAGTATGGCACTACATCCGCGACAACTGGGATTCCAAGGTTCATCCAGCACTCTCTGGAAACCCTGTCGTTCTAGAGCGCTTCCTGAGATTTGGTCTCAACAAGTTTACCGATGCTGCTGTCGCGGACGACATTCAGAAGTTTTTCTCCGACAAGGATACCAGAGGTTACAACAAGGGTCTTGAGGTTGTGGATGACACGATCCGCAGTTATGCTGCCTATGCTGCACGAGACGAGAAGGTCGTGCGGGAGTGGCTGAGTGCAAACGGCTACCTGGGTTGACTAGATGCGAAGCTGTAGATTGGTTGATTCTTGAAGTGATAACCTCGACCTGAAATTTGTACAAGAGGTGTAGTATGTAGATGAATCTAAAAAGAAGATTTGGTCTAGAGCGAGATTGAAACTTGATATATCGCTAATGCTACCTTCCTGATTGTTAGACGGACGTAGTCGATCACCGTCACCTCGGCTCATCCAGCCGGCTTATCTTATCAGACACTGATACGGCTTGCGTCGTACCCCGTTCTTGCTTCCTTCACATGCAGGCACATGTCGTGCGACGTATCATCGCGTGGACACGATGACTAAAAGAATGCAAATGCTTTTGGGGATACCTACCTATCGAGTGCCCGATAGCCCGCATATCCTTCAGTCCAATTGTGGCTTGTCCAAGGCTTAGCGCTTGTTTCCCCAGAACATGATTATGTTTAAATCTAAGGCGGCTCTTGGTAGTGCTTGGAAGCTTAAAACTGCTACAACTAGGTAAGATGGAAAGCCCTGAGATGCCTGTAGAACACATTGACGTCCTGGTGGTAGGCGGGGGGCCAGCTGGTATGTAGACAGCCCTCCGTTTTGATGCCAACGTCTCTAAGGTTCTCAACCAGGCCTCATTACCGCGTATCAACTTGCACGCAATCTTGACCGTTCAAAATACCGAATCAAAATTATTGAGAAGCATGTCAAGTCATCACAAGACCAGTATGGCCGTGCCATCACCCTCTTCCCCCGCAGCTCAGAGATGCTCGAGCAGCTCGGCCTTGCGGACTCTCTCGCCCAGCAATGCTTCGCCTGCCGTAAGACGGCCAATTACGACCAACATGGCAATGAAATTAAGGGCAGAGGCTGGGCATTTATGCAAAACATGAAAGATACAAAGTGGGACTTTGCCCTAGTACTGCGGCAAAAGTACCAAGAAGATGTATTCCGGACCGCAATGAAGAAAGAAGGCGTCGAACTACAAGCACCGTATACACTGGTCGATATCCAGGTACCACAAGATGTCAAGCCCTGCGGATACAGAATTCTAGCCACGATTGAGCACAGCGAAACAAAAGACCAAAGCATGTTAAAATGCCGCTACCTAATCGGTGCCGACGGCGGCAAATCCTTTGTCCGTCGCACCCTCAACATCCCTTTTGACGGCACCTCCACCGAAGACAAATGGATCCGCATCGACGGCGTCCTCGAAACCAACCACCCCAAACCCCGTACCTACTGCGCCATCGAAAGCCCTACGCATGGAAATGTCCTGTGGGCGCCACACGCATCGGCTTCACTTTTACGAGCGAGCGCCAAAAAGCGTACGATGAATTCACCCAGGACGCCGCTGAAAAGAAAGCCATCGAAGCCGTAAAACCTTTTTCCATCCGCTTCAAACAGGTGGACTGGTGGACTATCTATGTAGTAGGCCAACGCATCGCTCGCTCCTTCTTCGTACACGACTGTATCTTTCTAGTGGGTGATGCATGTCACACTCATAGCAGCGGAGCAGCTCAAGGCATGAACACTGGGATCCACGATGCCGTCAACCTAGCTTGGAAGTTATCACTTGTGCTGAAAGGCGTAGCGTATCCGCATATTCTGAACTCGTATGAGGCAGAGCGTCTACCGAATGTGCAGCGTTTGATTAAGTACGATAAGGGCATTGCACGGCTTATGACGATGCAGTTGCCAGAGGGGTGGAAGGGGGATCCGGGTGCGGATCCGAATGAGGTTCTTGGTATGGTTATGGCGGAGGTGGCGGAGTTTAATAGTGGGTTAGGGATTTTTTATGAGGGAGATGGGTATTTGAATGTTGGTACTTGTACTGAGGGCATGGCGCATGTGTCGAGGGCGGTGCGGGCTGGGCATCGGGCGCCGGATATTGAGCTCACTAAGCCGGGGACGTGGGAGGGGACGAGGTTGCTGGCTCAGACGCCGAATTTTGCGGGTTTCTATGTGTTGGTTTTTACGGGGGAGGTGGAGGGGTCGAGGAAGTATCTTAGGGAGTTTGTGGGGGCGTTGGGGAGAGTGCCGTGGTTGAGTGGTGGTGAAGTGCCGATGTCATGGATTACTGTTATTTCTAGACGGGGTATGTCGTCTGCTTATGAGGCTTTGGGTGGTATGATGCCGTTTGGACGTGTCTTTTATGATGAGGATGGCAGTGCGCTTGCAAGGTATGGGGTTGATAAGGAGAAGGGTGGGGTGTTTGTCTTAAGGCCAGATGGATGGGTGGGTATGGTTTTGGCACTAGATGGATCTGCTGGAGAGAAGCTTGAGGGATATTTTGCGAAGTTCTTGGTGGGAGTGGGAGACAGAATGGTGGCGAGGCTGTAGACTTGACAAAGACGGGATGAGTGGAAAAGAGAGTATAGAGGATATCTCAAACGTCTTTGCACAATCCTACACTTCGGTTTCCTTCTCTCAGTTACTGATGCAGTGCTTGTCAAAAGGCAGTATATACTATCCTTGAGGTATGTGCTGGCTTTATATCCATATTGCTGGACAGCGAGCGGGCGTAGACCAAGAGCCCTATTTTCATGATTCGACAGTCCTACCCAAAGCTACTAAATCCCAGTTTATCTCTCTTTACGGTATTAATAGGTCTAAAGCTAACACGCGGGTCCATGATCTACGTAGCAGCGGATCATGTCGCTAATCTGCCAAGCCTGCAGGCAAGATGACGTACCCCGCCTGTCGTCGGCGCATCCGCGTCAATCCTCGTCTTTGACCAGGCATGGATTTGTTTTACGTTCCTGAGCCTGGTGTCATACACCTCCCGCAGCCATGTCGATAACCCAACCCCTCACCCCCGCCCAGACACACGCTCTCTTTGATATCCTGATCCACCACCAGGTCTACGCAGAGATTGAAGCCTTCAAATACCCCTCTACCATCGACCAGTATGGCTACCCGTTTCGCAAGGCCGACGGCGTGCAGTCGACAAGCCCGTTGCTGCAGAGCATGCTCAACAAGTTTGCGCTGTGCAACCCCGCCATCAGAAACTTTGGAGAGACGTGGTGGTCCGAAAAGATCCAGACGCTAGTCGCAAAAATGGCCGAAGCCGAATTGAGCGAGAGTTACGACAAGGGCGCTATTGGTAGCAGGAAAGCGCTCGCAACGGCGGCAAGTAGTATTGCCGAGTACGTTGCGAGGGGCATGCTGGGAGGTTACTCGAGGAAGCAGAAGGAAAGCAAGAAAGAGTATGACACCAGCAAACCCGAGGACGTCATTCATGGTTTTGAAGAGCTGGTACACGAGTCGATTTACGGCAATGCTCTCGATGAACTATATGAGAAGGTCAAGGCGACTCCGAAACTCGAAGACCATTCGAGTAGTCTACAAGCAGCGCATGAGTATATGTTGCTGAAGTGAGTACTCGCACGGCATATTCGTACTACTTCTAACAGCACCAGTGCTGCCTCTTTTCTTCACCATGTCTTTATCATGTCACCCGACGGCCAGTACCTTGTCCGCCTCCTCGAGAACCTGCATCGCCTCATTCCATACACCGTAATCAAGCAAACACTGCGCGTTGGCAATGCCGCTACCATGATTAACGGCATGGTCAGGCTGGTCCTGGCAAAGTTGTCTGTGACAGCTATGACTAACTGGATAGGTCTTACCAATAATACAAACGACGGCATGAACCTTTTACAACAAATCATTTCCACAGTGCTAGCATGGGATACATCGGAGTTTCAGAAGCGGGCAACTAAACTCGAAGCATCGCGCAATGCTCCCGATAAGAGGGTTTTCAAAGCAATCAAGACGTTTGTATACGCACAAAGAGAGAAGCATGAGGCTGCACGAAGCCAGTCAATCTCGGAATCTAAGTCGATTGTGGCAGTCATTCTTGAGACCTCCGACCCACCGTACAAGGTTGATGCCGAATCACTCAACGAACACCAACACAGTGTGGCCATGGAGTACTTCAGCACATATCTCTCTATTCGCGACCGCGAGGAACTCACAAAGGTTCTTTGTAAATCCAACCCTGACGTCTTGACTTCTACAATTCGCGACGCCGTCGCAGGCATGGATCCCGTCATCCGGGCCATCCACAATGCCGTTGATCTGTCCGGTACCGTCACTGATGCCGAGGCATTTATTACCGATTTGATCAAGACTGCCAAACCCAAGAAGAAGGGTGGCTACCGAAGCCGAGAGGCTTCCAAATCACGTCCAAGCTCACCAGATCCAGCTAGTATCCTGGATCAGGAAGCAAGTGACGCTCCTACAGTTGAGGAGTTTGTGCAACTGCTCAAGAGGCACGCGCCTTCGATGCACAAGTTCCTACACCAGGTCACCAAGAACGCACCAGATCTTGGGCAGGACTTCCTAGTCTACGCCAAGCGTATATTCTCCGAATTCCAGGTCGACCAACGTGCACTAGAAGCCGAAGAACGAGGCGAGGGTGGCGCAGGAAATATGACGGCACCGCTACACTCTATATTCGAGACTCTGAGCAAAGAAAAGCAAGACGAGCTAAAAGAGCTCCTCGACAAGCACGAACAGCACCTCACAACCCTCAAATCAACATCGCAATCCCGTCTAGAGTCAATCATGCGACCAAAACCCTCATCACAAAATAGCCAAGGCACAACCCATGGCCCGGGCATGTACCTCTCCCGCTGGAACGCCCTCCTCGACAGCACACTCATCACCCCCGCTACCATCCACGGTCCCGTCCGCAGAGGCTGGGAAGTCAAAGGTGAACTTGATGGTAAAGGGTTGAAAACAAATACTACACTACTTAGTGAGAGAAGCAGCAAGCGTGACCGTATTACCGCTATGATGGCGGATGGGACGGGAGACCGGATTGAGAGGAGGGAACGTAAGCGGGATGGACTGGAGGAAGAGAGCATGGAAGTTGTGTGGGAGAGTTTGAGAGATGGCTGGGTAGGGGTTTGTAAGGGCTTGGAAGTTATGGGGCCGGAATAGGGTGGTTTTTTTATTGCACATAGACGGTAAGATGATTAGGGATATATATAAACATAGAGCTTTTGTGTAGTTTTCGCGCTTTTGGATTTGCTAATATATTGCCGTATATAGCTAACACGTAATATTACTACTTACATATTACATGAATCCCGCTTTTATCTCCCGCCGTTCTTTCCTTGTCTTGCAATCTTTGCTTCGTGTCCTTGTTCCCGAACAAAAGACCCGGAAACCTCAATAACCCTCTTTGCCGAACCTTGTGATAATCCGGGTCACCCCGGAACTTACGGGATACCTCTGTATCCGGTTCCCGTGTAAGTAAGTCTTGCCATTTTCTCGTCATATTTCTTGTCATCTTCTTATTTGTATCATGATCTCCCGCGTATATTTCAGGAGGTAAACGGCGGACAAATATATGGACGAAAAGAACTAGAGTTTTGCATTTGAATACGGAGCAAAGGGGACGGAGAGAGAGAGATGTGACGATGTGATAGTGATGTACAATTTCGAGGCGTAGTAATGATGATGGCCTAGTACTTCTAGGTTGTAGCGATGATGTTCTAGTACTACTATGTTGTAGTGATAATATTCCACCCCAAAGGAAAAGGAAAAAGAAGGATATGATTGGTATCTTAGTAGTAACACACAAAAAAGAAAAGGGAAAAACAACAAAGGAAAGAAAATCCTTTAAGACATGACGATCCTATCCCAGCCAGTGAAATCAGGAATCTTGTACTCCCCTTCTTCGCTCTCTCCCTCTCCGCCTTCGAATGCCACACCATCCACACTCAAAGTCCACGCCACAATTACCATACGCGCCACAAACGCCACAGTGCGTACATCCAACGGCAACTCCGCCTTGAGCACACGCTCAAGTTGCTTCCCTAGATCCCCTACAACTCCATCGTAAGACCCAAAACTCGTACTCGACCCCGTCGAAGCACGCGAGACAAAACTCAAGCGATTGGGCCGCCGTCGCAGCCGTCGCTCCGGACTCTCTGACTTGGCTGCTGGCACAGCTGACTGCGCAGCTGGAGCAGTAGTGGTAGCAGTGTCAGAAGCAGTAGAGCCAGACCTAGACGTACTACCCGTACCCGTAGCCCTAGCATACGCATCCGCAATCTCAATCCTTGCACCCTCCTCCACCTTCTTCAGCACTTCGCTGGGCTTCGCATCCGGCACCAGCGCCATCAAGCGCTCTAGCAGCGCCACGTACCGCGACATCCTCGCCGCCTTATCAGCCCGCGAGTCCGGAGTCGTGGGGTCGACACCGAGGCGGCGCAGGCGCTCACGCTCGCGATGCAGGGCTTTTGCGTTTCGCTGTTCGTAGAGGGCGCCGAAGAGGGAGAGGTGGGGGGAGTGACGGTGGAGTTTGGCGACGAGGGCTTCGAGGCGGGGGAGGAGCTTGCCGGGTGCGACGCCGCCGGTGGTGATGAAGGATATTGTTCTTATGAGGGGGGTTGAGGCGAGGGGGGTGAGGCCGCGGGAGAAGGGTAGGGCGGCGATGGCGTTCAGGAGGGCGGTGGGGGGTTGGAGGGAGGTTGAGGGGGTGAGTGTGTAAAATTTGGGAGCGAGTGAGGAAGGGAGGGAGGATAGCAGGCTGGTTTGCTTTGTAGGGGTTGAGTTGGCGTGGGTGGAGAGCGGGGAGCCTGACTGGATGGCTTCGAGGGTCGAGGGGGTGATGAGGATGCTGTGGGTGTTTTGGACGTCTTGGGTGAAGGGCAGGGAGCCGGCAGCGAGATGCTTTGCGAAGAGGGGGGAGACACCAGAGTCTTGAGCATGCCATTGGCATTTGTTGCGCTTGGTTTGCTGGAGGGTGATTTGGTACTTTGATCCGCCTGTTTGCACGGGGACTATGGAGATGTTGTAGGCGCCCGTCTCTGAGACGAAAACCGTCTTGTCGACATTGCGCTTCGGTTCGCTCCCGAGCATGATGGCAAGGGCAGTGAGTTCGGCGGGTGTGATCGTTATGGTTGTCCGGCCTTTTTCAACTTTTGCTTTCTGTCCGTCTTTGGCCCATGTCTTTTTCCCGGTTTGGCGGCTTCCATCGTTTGGTAGTCCGTTACGCATCGATACTAGAGGCGACGACCACTTCTTTACAACGAGACTTCTAGCCCGTCCCAGCTCTGTCATCGACAGGTCCATACTTTTCCTCTGCATTTTCAAGCTGGCCTCTGCCCGCGAAGTCCCTGATACCGATTTAGATCGGCCAAGGGCTCCTGAAGGTTTCCTCGCTAGGGTATGGCCTTTGATTACATCTGTAGCGTACGGATATCTCTCAAGAGGATAATGAGCGCGGATTTCCTTTTCAAATGCTTGGTATAGAGCGCTAAGCGGTATTTGTCCGTCTTCTTCTTGGAGACTTGTGAATAGTGCGGAAGAAATCAAACCCTCATCTGCAGCTTTGATAACGGCCGAGATATTTGGAACCCATGGAGCCTTTGCCGAATCCTGCTTTGGTAGAAACAGTCGCTTGAGAGAAATCGATATTGGCGTGACTTGGGTTTGCTGTTCAGCCCTATTGTCTTTGCTGAGTTTGTCTTCTTGATTCCCATCGTGTTTGGGGTGCTTGGGTAGCCAGAAGCGGGTAACGAGAACCATAGTGATAGTGAAAAGATTAGTAAGCGAGTGTTTCCTAAGACAACATTCTTCCTTTGGACCCTTTTCACGCGGGCGCTGAAGTTTTATACTACAAAGGCTTTTCATTGTGAGTCGGTACTGTACCATGCAGGTAGACCCTGGCTTTGCCGAGCAAAGTGTGTCTACATCGCCAATCGGAACTCAGGGAAGTCGTAAGCGACCCCCGTGTCATAATCTCGGACGAGTTGGCAGCCGCCAGCGTCATCCAGATGGATCGAGGGTTTGACTATCAGTGCACATTGCCCTTGTGTGGTCGCTTGATTTGTCCAGAGGGAAGGGGTTGCGAGGTCACCAGCTCCAAGACAGGGCGCTGGGCGCTTCAAGGCATCCAAAGAAAGCCATCGGTTTCAAAGTTGCTTTTTGTATTAGAAATCTTATCAAGTCTTACAAAGGATACTTTTTTGGACTACATGCGCACGTCTTGGCCAAGGTACGCATCTGAGTCTTTTTCAAAATGCCTCAAGGCTTTGCTCGAAATTAAGCTCTAGAAAAGCATTCCAGCCACAGTGCATTCGCCCCACACGTGTCCCTTCAAAGAACTAGCTATTCTGGGACTTCTGACTTGACCAGTTTGCGGGATGACTGTCGTGACGCGGAGCAGCGGACGAAACGGACCAACGAAGATCTGCGCACCGGCTTCCGAAGGAGGCATTTTCCGACCAAACCCTTGCAAACTCGTGGAGGCGGTCAGTTGGAGCAGACACAGAACCATACTGTTGTTAAATTTTTTAAGTAGTACACAGTACTATGTGACGTCAGAGTTGATCATGCGAAAATTCCAGAAGGAGATTATTGATATGTTTCTCTCAAGGCAGTACTATGCCAACACAAAGAAATCCGCCAACACAAGGCAGCTTATGCAAAACCACAAATGTTAACGGATTGGTTCGTGGCTGGATAGAACTCAGTTCTTTTGTCACAACGGAGATCTGCAGTGGCCCGACGTGTGTCCCGTGTATCGGGGAAAGAGGGTGTGATGAGTCGGACGGAGCGGATGGTGCTAAATCCGAATCCCGCACAACTTCACATGGAAATGAAGCAGCGTGACCGCGCCATACATGATCCGAACATGTCCGCATAATCCGCTGACCTGAAACAGGAAAAGACAAGGGAAAGGAAGTAATCGCTTGTAATGAATGTCTCGATTCTACAGTACGGGCAATATGGGTTGACGATATGCTACCACGTGGAAAATTCGCTCGGTAATAGAAGTAGCTCATGTACAGACGTACAAGATAACGTCATATCGGTCAACAACTGCGACCTCATATAGCCAATCATACAGCCTTATTTCTTTTATGAGATTATCAATGTTCGAGCACATCATTACAAAGACCGCATGCCTTGACCAGAAAATAAGCGCTATAATTGTCCCCGTGCTGACTGGCATCCTGGCACTTGTGCACCAGTCAGTCTGCCTCGTGTTGAAAGGACATGAACGCCATTGGAAAGTCAAGTATACCGACCTTATCTCAGCCTCTTGACTGGCGGTGAGATTTAAGTGACGCTTTCCACGTCACGACCATCGGGTCTGCTGATGAGCTGCTGTATCTTGAGAAGCTTCTTCTGCGACAACACGATGGGCTTTGCATGATCAAAGACCAGCTTGACCATTGTGCGCGTTGAGTAAATCACGAGATGCCGTCGGACCCATTTGGCATCAACATCATCTCCAGCAGACGAACGAGCTGCTGCAGCGCCAACGGTACTTACCCAATACAAAACACCAGACATCTTTTCCCACACATCTGCAACAGCAGTACGACGCAGTGCTTTGAACAACACTTCGCTCAAGTGGGTATTGACATGGCTCGCGTCGGACCCCAGACAGTTGAACGCTTCCGACTCTGCCACTAGCGGGTTTCGGCATGGGTCAGCAGCAGTAGAGAAAGGTAGATGTAATATGATGGAAGCGGTATAGATGAGTGCGGTAATACGGCAGGCCTCGAAAATCCAGTCATTGGAAGTGGGGAGATCTGGAACATGTGCTGAGGGGAGTCTAGTCAAGCGTTTGCGTATTACAGTGACTCTACTACGGTACTCAGCGTCGCGCTGTTCCCAATAGGCCATGTCTATCTTGCAATTATCGCGAACAGTCTCAGATGCGGCTTCTTGAGAAATGAAGAGATCGGTTAAGTCCCGCATGTCTCGAAGTAAGTCACGCGTCGAAGCTGAACAATGCGAGTCGCTAGCAATCGTCGTAAAGTCTGTTCTAGGGCAAAACATAGGCGACTCGGGTATTTCACCGTCAATAGCCGCTGGATTTACGACTGGTAGATCAATGGCGAGATCAGGTAGAGGCTCGGCTTCGCAGATCAAGTCACCGTGATAGCAGACCCTAGCATGCAAGGTTAGCATAACGTCAATCTGTGAGAAGGTTTGCTCACGCAGTGCATGTCTCTGCCAAGATTTCGTTGCCCAAACACTGTAGCCCACCACGATGCTGAAGTAAATATGCAATACCCCGCTCGTGTACACGAAGCGCCTTCTCATTGGAGCCAGATATCTCACCCATGAGTAAGTGAAGTACTATCATGATCGTTGAATCTGACGAACGAGTGCTTTTCTGTTGTAGCCGCTGATTAACCATACCGATAATCTCGTCCTTAAGTAAGGCGGTTTGTTTGCTTTCGCCTGGAATCTCCGAGTGCATGTCTAGCCAAACGGAAGCTAGGATTGCAGAACTGAGCATGACTTCGCGATCAGAAAGCATGACAGGGAGCCATTTGACGTGGAACGAATCACTTGCAAATGTCCGGATACCTGACTGGGTTAGTAATTGTGGATTTCGAATGAATGACTTGTGTAAATATATGCTTACAATGTCGCTTGAGGAAGAGCGAGTTGACCTCCGGATGTTTGAAGTTTGGTAGGACCCTAAAAGGATCCACACCATCTCCAATCTGGCATAATGTAGTTACTTGGGTTGTGAATAGACGTAGGATGCGCTCTTCTTGACTCTCCACATAGTCACAGTCGTCTGGATTGGCCTTGGGGCTAGTCAGCGTCAGCAGGGCGCGTGTAGCAGACAGCTGTCGATTAGATCGTGACATGCGTTCAAGTGTGATGCTGTCGTGAGCATGCCGACGCGTAATTGGGTTCGTTTCATTTATCTGCTGCTGCTGCAAGCAATCTTCTAGTTCCCCTGGTGCATCTCCATGATTGCGACCATTCTGCAGGATGTGTTCTTTTAAGGCAGTAGACTCCTTTGTAGCTGGTACCTCGGAGCATTCTTGAGGTAGCCTAGCCTCTTTTCGTGGTTTGTTCCGGTGATATGACATTGCGTGAGAACGCACGCTGCGTCTCGTCTCGTCATTTCTGAAATGCGACGGATCGGTCGCGGTGAGGAATCGCAGTTGGGGTCGGAGCGGTCCATCGCGTTGGCCTCGTCGACGCGTTGCCTGCTTCTTTACATGGTTCTCTCGAAATAGGCGTTGACCTAGTAGAATAGGTTAGCACTCGTAGCCTCGTACGAGACTCCTGACTCATACTTGTAGCGACGTTAGACTGTTTTGATGTCGGAGCCATGATGCACAATTAGCGGCTTAACGACCAAGAGCTGTGGGGTATATCTTTTCCAATGTTCGTGATTGTGGTGTAAAGGATGTGCCTTGCATCCCTAGAGCGGGTGTTTACAAGAGACATCTTTTCGAGGTTGTTGCGGCGCAGTACTATCCAAGGCTGACTGGCTGATTTGGTACGACATCAGCATTTGGGGGCCAAATCGAGATCCAAGACAACGGCAGCACGTGTATGCAGGGAGTGTCTTTTTGCTTCTTCCAAATCCAATAACCCTCGACCGTCCATTCAGGAGGCCAGTCAAATGAATTATCAGCCCTTCAGTCTGCCTCACGAAAGCGCGAAAGCAGTTTCGTGGCTTTCCAATAGCCTTGCCAGTATCCAGCAGTAATTGGACGGCAATGGTCCCTCTTTATTTACCGCTTCTTCCACGTTGAGGCAATGGCGTGCGGACGCTTCATAGGGCAAATGGATTATCCACAGCAGGTGCTGTGCTAGATATGTACGTATGGGTGTGTCCAGCAGCTGTGGGGTGAGGGTAGGGTCACGTGTGGGATGTCGCTCGCGGGCGACGACAATAACATCACTGTCAGCAGTGCTCGACGCCTTCAGGTGGTAATTGCCTGTTTATTTTAGCGACTAAGAGCTCCAATACCGGTGAGATCGTTATCGCTGGTGAGCGACACCGATCAGTGCTATGTAACAGTCCTATCTGATGGTGTTAAGCGGAGATTGTTCAGGTGGGGTACTAGCAATTGAAGACTCCGATATTCATCAGCAGCTTGGTGCTACCCCACCCGGCAAGTATCGGATGCGAGTGGCTCTTCAATGACTGATTGAGCAGCTAAACTTCTTGATTTGATTTCCATTTCCATAGTAGTGTTCATCCTCACATCACAGTACCCTAGTTTTGGTAGAGGAGATTTGATTCAAAGTAATCTGGCATGCTTATAGCAAGCATGGCGGTGGAAACACGCAAAGAACGTAACAGAAAGCCTTCTGATCCGCACCGCCATCAATGGATCATCCCGTACACATCCTCCCCTCTTCCAACCTCTCTCCAAAAGACTCTACCCCCTATTCCTTCAGCTTCCCCAGCGCCTTCTTAATCTGTCTTCCATACAGATCCTCATCAACTCGATACCCAATCTCCCTCATAATCTCCCTTACCCGCTCGTACCTCGCGTGCGTCTCCAATGGCTCGACATACCCAATATATCCATGCTCTTATCCTGCTGCAAATGCGAGAACGCGAACCACTTTCTTTGGTTCGACTTCGATTCCGGTGTCCATTTTGTATTCGGTATCGACATTCAAATAATTGTTCACCAGGAGTCGGACCAGAGAGGAGGGAAAAGGAAGGTGGTGTGTTAAGTACTTGGAGACGCAGTATATGGAATGCGTAAAGGCTGAGAAGATACTGAATAGAGAATTGGCTGTTGACTTGATCACATCCGGTGAACAGGGAGTAGACAGGAGGGGAGTCAGACTGGTCTTTGAAGGGTATTCGAAATGTGCGACTATCCTCTGAATGGAGCAATCATGCTTTGCTGTGCTTCGGGTGTGCTTCTTTCGTGCTCCCTTGCCCTTGACTCGATGCCGTTGATTGCTCAATCTTGATACCTTTTCTTGCTCCGTATCCGGATCGCATTCCATGAACACTTCTGTTTTGTTGATTGAAGGATTGCTTTCTTTCCGTATGGGCTGGTCTTCACATACGATATCTGCGAGGGCGTTCGGGAAATTCGTTACGGGGACTTCATATTTTTGTTCATCCATAGCCACTGAGATGCCAGAAAAGTTTGGATTTCGGAAAAGCGCCTCGATTCTGAACAGGACTTCTGGTGCAATGCCTGGAGGCGCAGGAGGCATTGTATCTTCAAAAAGTGTTCATGTTGGACAGTTGATTTTTGTTGTGTAATTGTTTAGTACTTTTGACGGGACTGATATAGGAGCGGGAAGGCAGAAACATGAATACTAAGTTGCAAACTGACCAGATAATACGCCGTACATATGGCCTCTCACTAATTCAAGGACGAGCGGTGGTGGGTGAAAGGGATGCTAGTGACGTGATTGGAGATCAGTGAATGTGAATGACGGGTGGAGATCTTGACAGCACTGTGACCGAGGCTGCAGATTCGAGATTTCATGTTTCCAAAGCCGTCGTTTTTCTCATAGAAATAAGATAGTACTACGCTGTTATTATACTGACGCGGTTAACATGAATAAGTCATCTCGGCGTCCATATTCTAGTGAACAACTTGCCTTTCTCACTCATAGCAATCTGATATAGAAGTATGTATGTGCGTTTATGTGTCAACAATAACTATAAGATTCAACGCAAAATATACCAAGACTCTATCTTGACAATAACGCAATGTCTATACTAGATTTGAACATAGAAATCCCAAAGATGAGTCAGAACACAACAACCGCACCAGCTTAAAACATCCATTCTTCATCTCTCTTAAAACGCAAACTTTCCTTAAGACATGCATTGATAAAACTATTCATTCAATACAGCAACCGACATATTACCAAGAAAACATAAGAGCAAACTAAACCAAACGTCTCACTACGCCACCACAATTTCCATCGTCCACTCATGCCTCTCACACATTTCTTTACTTTCCTACCCGAACCCTATTCACAAACAAACCACCCAATCCGAAAAAGTGAAGACCTCATATTCATGGCACAGGACAACCTCGAGCCGAACCCAAAACTTAGCTAGTCCACAAGAAGAAAAGCGCAACATCGCCAACATAAACAACACCTGTGTATTCCGAACCTCAAATTCACATCCCTTACCCGTTTTCTTCCACCGACCTAGAAATTTCCCACTCTGGCAATGGAAACCCAGCAAATACGCAATCGCAGGCCGTTCCTAGATCAAGAAGGGCCGCCCGTACCGCCAAAACCATATGCTTCGAATACGCCTTCAACAACGCATGACCGTCTCGCAGCTGTAACATCGGCTCGGGATAAAATATCCAAACCGCTTCCACCAGTCCCTGGGTCAAGGTTAAGTCGTGGGACTGGAAGCAAAGTAGAATCGAAGCCTTTGCCAAACCCTCCGAAAAGCCCGACTTTACAGTCGACATTTCTATGGGTCTTAGGGTTTGCGAGCTGGTTTCTACTAATCGTTATCTTGCTACCCGTGATCACGGAGAAAGATGCAATGCCAGGATTCAACCGGTGGCTTCGGGACGGATTTACATGAAGCACGAAGAGCGAGGATGTACGTTTTATAAAATCGGCCTTAGTCAGCTTGCACTACATCCGATTACATGGGAATTTCAATTGCTTGATCAGCCAAACTACAATTTCGAACCGGGCTTTGTCGCATCAACCAGACTCTTCCTGCCACCAAATCCGAATAGATACGCCGCCACCTTGCGCATCTGGATCTCCTCACTCCCTTCAGTAATCCTGTACCGTCGATGATGTCGCCAAATGTGTTCAAAGGGAAAGTGCCTCGAATACCCATTACCACCATGGACCTGAATCGCGCGGTCAGCTGCCTCGGTACACAGTCTGTTCGCATAATAGTTACACATCGACACCTTATCCCCAATCTTCTTTTCGATCTCGTGGTGTGGCATTGAGTCCATTTCCAGCGCAGTCTTCCGTATGAGTTGGCGTAGCATTTCGCATTGGGTGGCGAGTTCAACGAGTGGGAACTGGATGCCCTGGTTGTGCGAGAGAGGCGTTCCGAAAGGCGCGCGTTCGTTGGCATATTCAACAGATTGCTGGACACAGTATACAGCTGCGCCGAGAGACGAAGCAGCTTGTCGGATGCGGTTTTCGTGCACAAAGGCTTGAGCGACTCCCAATCCATTGTGTATAGGTCCCAAGGCGGCAGTTTCGGGGGCCCACACGTCCTTGATCGAGACGGTAGCATGGTCGGTAGGCATATTCAAAGTCCTATAGTTGGTGGTTAGTATGGGTTCTCAGCAAGGCGGAATAGAACACGCACCACTCGTACGACTCTGCTTTGAGACCAGGAGTTTCCACGGGTACAATGAAGCAAGATATACCCTTAACCTCACCATCCTTCCCCGACGTTCTCGCAAATATCGAGCAGTGGGTGGCATTATGCATACCCGTCTGCCACCTCTTGTACCCATTCAGCAACCATCCCTTGATCCCGTTCCTCGTCTCCGGCCTCCCCTTTGTAGCCATATGTGTAGCATCCGACCCATGATCCGGTTCCGTCAAACCAAACGTCATCCTAAACTTGCCCTCAAGTCGCAGCGGTATAAACTCACTCTTCTGCTGCTCGCTCCCGAAATTCATAAGCATGACTACATCTGGAAAATTTCCAACCACAGAATGCTCATTTTGAAGATCGTTGAATAGCCCAAGTCCCTTTGCTGCAAGATGCTCTCGAATGACAGCCATCCAGAGGTTGCTTCCCCGCCCATCGGCATTACTTCGCCCACCATACTGTTTTGGCAGTGAAAGCCGGTAGAAACCAGCTTCATCTGCGAGTCTTCTAGATTCAGCTAATAGATCCTCCCATTCTTTGCGCGGCAGCCCACCGTTATCCCAATCGGTTCGAGCGTGCTCGCGGCGGTGATCGAAGAACCGGCTGTTATCGCCTTTGTGTTGAAGCGGGAGTATCTTTTCTTCGATGAAATTGTCGAGATCGGCGAGGTATTGCTTGAGGTCGTCGGGAATAGAGAAGTTCATCGTGTACGATTGCGATATGGTGGTTCGGGGGGGAGGGAAGAGCAACGAATTCGAGCGGTATTGGGGGTGAGATTCTTCAGCGATTGGTGTAGTCCTTGGAAACAGAGAATGAACTAGCAGTTTTCTGCATACGGAAGGGCTTGAGAGTGCGCATCTTGATAATTGGCCTGGCCTCAGTCGTGGATGTACTCTGCCAGGACGACGCGTTGCGGGGAAGCACGCGCACGGACCGCGTGGAGATGCGGAGTTGAACCTCGGTCATTGTGTTGTTTATCTTTCAAGTACTGATACATTGAATAGCATATACGATTCATGAGGACTTTGGTGATCACGAAGATTATCTCTCCAATGGTTGAAGACTACACTAGACCTTGCTGAAGCCCTTGCTCATACCATTACCTAATTCCAGCATTTTACTCGCTTTTCAACCCTAGTAGCAAACTGATGTGTTCTTATTCGTTGTATGATGTGCTTTCAACAGATTCCTTGGCGTGAACCACATCTTTCGTCGAACCTGAAAGACTTTCTTTGCTCTGCGTCCCCTCTGCATTGACACATGGCGCGAGATTTGAGGACTTCGTGCTCTCCCCATCGGGCATATACTCTTGTGAAATATCTGAGGGACTTGGTACTGTACAGATAGCCTCTTTCTCCCCATGCGGTCCGTCTCCTGCAATTTCAGCACAGGAGTTTTGTGGCTCATCATTGCGGCCTCCATCTGCCTGCTGCGAAGATGTTTTCGACGGAGGGAGAAGCTTCCTAAAAGGAATTTCATAAATGATGCCGTTGAAGTCATCCCAATATGGTATGCTTTGTCTGTAGGGGGCATGATCGCCATGGCGCTGGCTACTCGTGAGTGGAGCAGTACATGTAGCGTCAGTAGACTGTGCATGTGTATTCTGGAGCTGGTTTTGAGACCCGGAGGCATTCAGTATGGGTTTAATATCACCTGATGGCTGAAACTGTGCTAGGCATTGTTGGTGGCAGTGTCCTTGTCCACGCGCACACATATCGTTTGGACTTCTTTGTGACATGCGAGAAAGCTCACTGGTTATGGAAAAGATCTATAAGAGGACTGGAGGCTTTACTTGGATGGTCACAGTGCAATATAGCTTCGCTGTGAAGGATGTGAAAGCCCCTTAGTGGACTTTTAGACTGAATCATGACCAATATATTCAATATAGGCCGAACTGTCATTGATATAAATTGTTGTACATTTTTTTCACAATGTGGTGAGTTGTAGCAAAGTCACTAATACTTACATCGCCGACACATCGCATACCCAAAAAGTCTTATTTGAATGTAAGATATTCATGCTTGAAACCATGTTGATACACCTCATCCGGACATCATTCCTTCAATATCTATTCTGCATCTAAAAACACGTAGCCATCTCCACAAAACAAGGAATTCGTTTCATATCCAGCTTGCAATTCATACTCCCAAACTATCGCACAGTGATACATAGAGACACTTGGATACAAAAAAACCCCAGCGCCGTGCTATGCTCAACTCGCCAGCCCAACGGATATTTGCCGTGAATAAAAACGCCCATGGTGATGCATTGAGATAAACAAAACGCTTTCATACAAACCAAAAGAAAAACTCGTATAAACTTGATGAAGAGGGAAAAGATATGGCTAAAGCCGCACCCGTTGCTTGCATTACCATTGGGTTGGGTTACTGCCATCCTGTGGCATGATATCGCTCTCCGCATGGGCTACCGGGAGCTTCGAGTCATCCGAGATGATACTCAAGCTCTCGAGATCGTGTGTTGCGTCCTCGATATCCGTCGTGTGGGTCTTGTTGACATCTTCCTGTGACCAGTGGTTGTGGACAGTATCATGACCACCCTGGGAACTATCCATCCTGTTGTTTGTCTCTTTACCTCTCAGCCCTTTTGTCCAGTCAGTGCTGAAGTTTGGATGATACCGTTCGTTCAGCTCCGGATCGCGCACACGGGCTTCCAGTTGTGGGTACTTTTTCAGCGTAGCGTACATGTCAGCGTCAATACCAGGAACTGCTTTTGAACCGTTGCTTTCATGCATCTGTAATCTGGTACCGACAACCCGGATAGCCGCGTAGACATATCGATTTTCTTCGCCAAGGCAATTCCACAAAGCCTCCAACTCAACTGCGAAGATTGGGCGGACAAAATGCGTCTGTGCGATGAAGTTGTCAACTCGAAAAGCATCCTTGTGAAGGCCAAGAAGCTCCATAGTTTGAGCCAATGAACATGCGACAAACGTCTTCTTGGGAATGCGAATCTGTTCCATCGTAGCCATGGTACTATATTGGCAAGCCCTTGCCATCCAGGCAATCAACACCCTTATTGAAGCCTTGCTGCTTTTGCCGCGAGGCAGACTCATTTCCTGAGAGGTTGGTGGCTCGCTCGAGTCCTTGCCATCTTGGCGCTGTATGGTTCGGATGTACTTATTGACAACCCTCCGGCCAAGAAACAAAACCAGCAGCTTCTTGGGAACTTGGTAGGCAAGCACGACTCCAGTATCCTGCTCAACGATATCGACTGCCGGCCCGTGTAGTGCGTTCAACTTTCTCTCCGGTTGCAGATATGGCAATAGGCTGTGCAATGTGTGCATATGACGAATGTCTTCCGGATTTGGATAAGGATGGGCTACACCTGAGTGGGAAGCCCATCCAGCGTAACCCAGAGTACTGACAGACTCAGCTTGTGAACTGGGCGGATAGTCACATGACTCATATTCATCGCTGGACCAGTGGCTTGGCTCCATGGGTTCTGATATAGCGCTGTTGTCGAGTGGCTGGCCCCATGGCTGATATGGGGTGCTCCCATACTGATGCGCTTCTTCTGGATTCGGTGCGGTGTAAGTCATTTCACGGTGTGCAAGATAGGCTCCAACAATGTCTCCATGTTGCTGATCTGAGGTGGCTCCTTGGAGGCCACGTGTGAATGCTGGGGCATTTGGATTCAGATGGGTAGTAGTGACTGTGCCGTCTTTTCCATAAAAGTAATAGGTAGCCATGTCGCTTTTCAGGTTTGTATGACGTTGTTGTATGTGCTGATGGTGCCTGTCGTGATAAAAGGTGCGTGCCGGGTCGAAAGGGCTTTTCCGGGTTGAAGTTTTCCCGGAAATAGAGGTTGCAGCTGATCCTGTGGACTGATCTTGATTATAATCGTAGTAAAGGTGGGGGACCGGTATGAATTCAGTGCGTTGCGCTATCTGAATGGATACAGGGGAGCTCATTGTGGCTTGACAATGTGAGCACTGACATAGGTCGTTGTCGATTGCGACTTTTCAATCGTTCCAGGATTGCGCATTGTATATTGACATTGTGGTTGAAGATGCTGGCAGTCCAGATGAAACGGTACGGACTGATCGCCTGGCGGGTGGCCGTGCGCACGAACTTGGCGCGCCCAATCCGGTTACATTGCTGGGATGCAGGTGAACGCCGTGCCAAGACAATGTCACGTGCATCAACAACGTCTTTCACCACTTGTAAAGATGAGGTGACGCTCATAATAAAATGCTGACAACAGGATCCACCAAACTCGTCGTTGATTATCTTCAGATGTTTTGATACGTGATCTGATATACATTGTCATTGGTGTAAAAAGTGTGATTGCAAAGCCTATGGCATTTGGACAGAATACAATGTCGTAAAAGTGTAGAAAAGAAAAGCGAAGAAAGAGCGCTTTATATTAGACACTGTTTCCAAGTCCTAGTTAGATAACTTCTTATGTATCATATGTCAACAATCACCTGAGACATTTACTGCTCAATAGAACGACCCAAATTCCAGGTGCATCGCATCAGGATATACAAGGGGCTGCATCTTTCGCAATAAGTACTGCAAAGTGAGCGAGAAGGCTATTCGCTTACGACATGAAAAGGAAAGTAATGACGCAATACCACTTGCTTCCAGACTGCGCATCAGTCTATTTCAAGCCTGGCCCAGTTTTTTAGCGATTGTCCTCCGTTCTCAGGCTGCCTTGATGACTTGATATCTCGCACTGGCTTCCTCGGGATGAAGTGTTGTGGGTTCATTAACAGATTTTTGATCCTAGTTAACCTGATCAATGTGAGCTTTTCCACATAGTCTTTCAAAGGCTACATGGAATGCAAGATTGTGAACTGTAGGCTGAAACAGTCTCTCGTAGCTCTATATTCGGTGTACTATGATTCTACTCATACGTGAGATGGACACAGCTTAGGTGATGGTATACTCGGTTCAAACATCAGTAAGTCACTCAGCCGCAACGTTTGCTTGCTAGCTTGAGTGAATGGAGTGCTCGGAGCGATCGAGACCCTGAATGTACTGTAAATACCTTGATAGTGGAGTTGGGCTTTGCCTGTGCGGATTTTGGTAAAGCAACACACTTTGAAGATGTTGCTTGAAAGAAACACGTTCTGTAGATACCCCCATTTGTCTACTAGTCATGGGGAAGTGTTCATCACCACAGAAAGTGTGCTTCATATCGTCCAATGTGGCAAAAAGTTGAGACTGAAGCTGAGCTGGCAGGTGTTTCTGCCTCTACAAATTCTCTCATGTGAATGCACCGTTCGCATGGACCATATCGGTGAGAAGGAAACCGAGAGCAGCATGTAGTATGCTTTGCCACGTAGAGCGCAAAGCGAGATAAATGTATTAGGAGGTTGAGCAGACAGAACATGCGTTGCCAACCATTGGCACTGAGAAACAAATAACTGACCAAGCTGTGCGGGACAGACCTGTGTAAATTCTGCTAAGTTCTACTAGAACTTGAAGTCAAATTTCTCGTATAGGGGGATGAGACGGCCAAGCGTTGATCACTAGGTCCTATGAGGAAAGTCGTGCGGCTAGCACTAGGAGAGGGCATTGTGTAGAACAACAAAGTTCCGGGTGATGTCGAAGTCAATGGCAAAAAGCCTCAACGCTATCGATACTGGCTATGGTCTTCTCGCCACTGAAATTTAATAGTGTATTCCTTTTTGAGTGCGGTGATTGCAGCGACGTTGGATTTATTAAGGACGCCCAGCTTCGCGCGGCGTCGTCCTTTCGGTTAAATGGGTAATTGCGGGTGGCTATGATTGGCGGTTAGAACTAGAGATGTTGCTATGCACGCTAAATTACTAGTGGGGAGCCGATGGTGGCTTCGCGACCGCGTCGAACGCACGCAGCTGTTCCTGTCGTCATGGACATTGTGTGAAGTCAACCGATAATCACTATGGTGGCGAGGGGAATGTAAAAGAGACATCGTATGATATCCAATTTGGTAAGCCGGGGAATCGGACGTGTCCATTTGATGCGTGCCAACTGCATGATAGATTGTTATGCATGTTGATCATGCTTGGAACGGTTGGCGATCAACCCCAGCAAAAACACGTTCTTTACTTACTTACTCGTTTGCCACCACAAGTACAATCAATATCTGGGAAACATGAGTGCTGTCGGATGAACGGGTAGGTAATGGAGGCAGGAAACATCCTATTAACCGGCCAGCTTCGACGTTCACTGCAGCCCGTTCTGCATGCACTCCTCTCAAGCAAGTGGGACCTGCATCTCACGTGTTCAGTCTATACCCCAGGAATGTCCACTTCAATCAGGCGTCCAAACAGTCTACCCCAGAAGCGGGAGCTTGGCCCAGTGCTCCCGAGGTCCAAGCCGGCTGATTTGTGGACTAGTCTGGAGAATCTCCACAAACCGCTAGCAATTGGCGCTACGGGGTAGATTCCAAGAACGTTCCTAGAACATATGCAGACGCAGGAGCCAAAGACCCGGTTAAACTACTCAGCTGGCGTGAAGATGTACCACCGAGGCGGATGGATTGATTAAATACGGAGGCGCTAGAATTTTAGAATAACCGTCGAATGCTATATATGTAGGAATACCATCTGTACTTTGAACGTACTGTGGCAGACAGCTTTAATCAGAAGGAGTCTCAGCATCAGACATCATGCATTTCTCTAGCATCCTCGCCAGCTTGGCTGTTGTCAGCTCTGCTGTTGCCAGCCCGTAAGTAATATCGCACATCTAATCACGAACGTGTTCACTTACACTACCCTCAGTGTTCGTCCTGGCGCCAATGATAGCCTTTACAAGGCCATGGAGAAGGCCGGAAGGGATTTCATTGGCACTGCCCTGACCCTCAGGAACTCTACCCGGGAAGACGAGATTATGGACGCCGACTTCAACTCCTTCACGCCTGAGAACAGCATGAAGTGGGAGTCCACCGAGCCATCTCGTAACAACTTCACCTTTGCGGATGCCGACCGCTACGCCGCATACGCGAAGAAGAACGAACTCGAGGTCCACTGCCACACCCTTGTCTGGCACTCTCAGCTTCCCGCCTGGGTCTCCAACGGCGGTTTCGACAACAAGACCCTGATTGACATCATGGAGAACCACATCAAGACCGTCATGACCCGCTACAAGAGCGTCTGCACCCGCTGGGACGTCGTCAACGAGGCCCTCAACGAAGACGGCACCTACCGCGAGTCCGTCTGGTACAACACCATCGGCGAGGCCTTCCTGCCCATTGCCTTCCGTTTCGCCAACAAGTACCGCGGCAAGGCCCAGCTCTACTACAACGACTACAACCTTGAGTACAACGGCAACAAGACCCAGGGTGCTGCCCGCATCGTCAAGCTCATCAAGTCCTATGGCATCCGCATCGACGGCGTCGGCTACCAGGCCCATCTCGCCAGCGAGCCCACCCCCACTGCCCCCGGTGCTGCTCCCGACCAGGCCACTCTCGAGGCTGCCCTCCGCGCCACCGCCAACCTCGGCGTCAAGGTCGTCTACACCGAGATCGACCTCCGCATGAACACCCCCGCCACCCCCGAGAAGCTCAAGGTCCAGGCTGATGGTTTCGAGCGCGTCGCTAAGTCCTGCCTTGCTGTCAAGCAGTGCGTTGGTATGACCGTTTGGGGTATCTCGGATCAGTACTCGTGGATCCCCGGTGTTTTCACTGGTGAAGGTGCTGCCCTACTCTGGGATGAGACCTACAACAAGAAGCCTGCCTATGCTGGTTTCTTGAAGGGAATCAAGGCCAAGAAGCACTAGATTGCGAGAGGTTTTGAGAAATTTTTTGTAGATACATATGAATTAATTTTATGATGGCCACGTGGATAACGTGAAATAGACATAACATTGTTTCGATTTGATGACCATGTGACTTTTTTGTTTTGTATATGATGTACTTGAATGATCATTTGATTTCTCTCAATACCTGTAGGTATCTGAACCTATGGCAATTACTTTGCAACCATAGTTATCAGACCATGTGTAACCCGATCTTCCCCATGAATCCCACCAATTCCTTTCAGCTTCGAACCAGCTCCGGATAAAGAAGAAGTACTGAGAGGAGTACCGGCAGAAACTATCCGACAAAGAGGCTGTGACTTTAGTCTGCTGTAGATGACTCGCTGATAGCCATGAGGGAAAACGTCTTGGCGACCATTCTTATTTCCCACTCACTTTTGCGTGGATACTTCCGATCGTGGTCCTTCGCCTCTCGGAACTGAGCGTTGAAGTTGTTCGCCGCGACAAAGGAGTAAATTGCGGCGTCAATGCTCGCCAACAGGCTAGCCTTATCGACCTGATATGCTTACTCATCTAGACCGATAATCTTGGCGAGCTTCTTGTCACTAGACGCCCAATCTTTGATCGCTTGATCGAGATTGCCAGCCGCGAGCACTCCTACCCTGTGAGTAAGACCGTCCATACCCTGAACTTTGCTCAACGCGTCGAGGAAAGATTTGTTGTGACCGAATCGATGCACTTCTTCGATAATTGCCTTGTGCGTGTCCTCCTAATGTCTCCAAGTCCATAAGGCTCTGCGGATTCCGTATCGTGCACCGGTAATGTCAATGACCCACTGCGTTTTCGTCTTCTTGAACGCGATTTGAAGATTTGCATGCTGGTAATTTGGCCAGTTCGCATTCGTACCGGCGTCCTTGCGGAAGATAGTAATCTTTTGACTGACACTCCGAAGAATGACTTGAGGTTCCTCGATTTTGACAGGCATTTCTATCAACGTGATGTTAGTGAAACGCGGTAAAAACTTCATGAAAGCCAACTACCTTCAACAAGGGCTTTGATGAGGCCATGCAGGTGTGCCTGTGGCTCGTTGCAACACATCGCAACTAGTGTTGCTTCATGAACATTCTGGCTTATTGCCAGATGTGCAGCAAACCTGCTGAAGTGACTGGTACTCTTTGTCCTATCGGCCCAGTGAATTTCCAGACCGTCAGGTACCCGGTCGATCCTCAATACAGGGACGTCCCAAGTCGTTTCGCAGAAGTTGAGGTAAGCTTGCTGAACAATTTCGGCGATTCGGGTGAGAGCTTTCTCCAATTGGGCGTCCTTGCATGCGTTCTTGTGATTTGGCCTATCGTTCGTCTGGCACACTTTGCCACAGTAGTAACGTGAGTAGGTGTCTGATTTGCAACCAACGCACACATTGGAAGCTGGGTTACCACAAGCAGCGCAGAAATTCTGAGGCTAGGCAGCCATTTTGGCGTCAGTGGAATAGAAAGTACCCAGGAACGATGTTATGGGTTCACTAGGATATGTGCATAGTGAAAGAAGCTTTATAGCAGAACAGGGTGAATTTCCATTTCGTTTTATGTAAGCAAACTTGAAGGCGAGGGTGAATAAGCAGGCAGCAACACGTTTGCTCATGACACAGTCAATCCAACTTCACTTAAGGTTTCCCCCCATATTGCATTCACGATCAGCAGGTGAGAGGAGAATGCCGTCACCCATCACCATGCAATTCACTATGCATACTGGATACCATGCACCTCGTAAAGTTGTGAATGGGTATCAATTGCTATTCGCGACACTATTGCAGTGCCATTGTGCTACACCAAGACAAGTGAATGTCGTAAACCACGTCCGTGGGTTCAAGCATAAAGTCGCAAAGACAGAATAGAAGTGAATAAGAAGAATTTACGACGAGGCGTTAAAACAATGATATCACGTGCTAATGTATGCGCATTCCGGAGGCACGGAACCTTGGTGGTGAGTTCCCGCGACAATCAGGGACGCGACAAGGATATGCGCGCTAGTTCGCTAGTTCCTACGTCATCGTTCCGCAACTGAAGCTGCCCATACTACATAACACGACTTTTTTCTTGTCCACTTCTTTCTCATTACTTTGCAATCTCAATTTCAACTCTAAATTGACAACTACAACCTCTACAACCTTTGATTCATCCCACTTCATCTCAATCTACTTCACAATGGGTTGGTTTAGCTCTGACGAGAAGTCTGTCCTGGCTACGCATCCTGTCAACGTCGACGTCACAACAAAGTCAGGTTCTGCTGCCGAGCAAGACCGATACGCCCAGCACTTTTCCTCGGATGCCATCAAACGCGGTGTCGACCGAGGCCTCGATAAACTCCAGAATGCGGCCAATGCTGCCGGCTCGGGTGCGGAACAAGATCGCTACGCCTCGCATCTCAGCATTGGCGACCGAGGCTACAGGGCCATCAAAGAGGCTGCCAAGTACCAAGGTGATGGTGCTGAGCAAGATAGGTACAACGCGCACTTCAGCCCCGCGCTGCACAGCTTTGATGCCGTAAAGGCCGTTCAGGCAGCAGGCAGCGTGGTCGCCAACGGAGAGAAGAATGCTAGCTGGTATGGTCTGGGCTACGATGGTCGGCAGAGGGCCAAGTTGATGGCTGGTAGCGGTATGGGGGCTGAGCAGGTAAGCTCTACATCATGGCTTGGACGATACCAGGATACTAATATAGTTGTAGGAACGTCTCGGCTCGCATTTCGCCCTTAGCAAGGACAGCGTTGCCAATGCTGCACAGAGGGTGAAGGACGGTGCACAGGATGTTCTTTCCCGGAGATGAGCAGTAATAATACGACGCGATCACAATCGCCACAGCTGACACTGGCGAGTACGTCGAGTGTGAAGTTGTACGGCTTTATAATTGTAATTCAACATGCCATGTACCAATACAAAATGAACTCTTGGAGCATTTGCAAAACAATGAATATGCTTCATTTTATGCCAATCAATATTATCTTTGTGCGACCTGTCTATTCAGAAAAGGTAGTATAACATACGTGTTCATAAACAATATCGCGAGAATCTCTGTCATAAGCTAGCATAGGAATAAGCAAAGGCTATAGAACGAAGCTCTTACGCTAGAGTGATGTTCTTAGTAGCGATGACGTGCGTTTTCCTTGCCGTGACGGTCTGGAAGATATACCGTAGTGAGGCAAAGTATAGAAAAAGGACGTGAAATCTTCGAGTCTAGCCGTACTCTTTGGAGGGTTGGATGAAACGATTCGGCAGAGATACGGACCAATGGCTAAAAAGAGCGAGATGCTGACTTGCGCGAAGGATTTGGAACTAAGCTTAAGACTGCAACAAAACAGTTAGAGGCTCACAAAAGGTGAGTGAATTAGTATAAGTTTTACATTATATGTTATAACAGTACTACACTACGGACATGAACCAGTTGAAAATTCATAAAGCGAAGAACCTAGTGCCAAAAGATCAGTCACTGCCGTGGTCTCTTTTTCTAAATCACGAGGTAGGTAGTGGGTTAGAAGTTCTAGTCCACAAGGTCATCTTACTCTTATTCTGAGATTAGGTTAATCTTACTTTAGCTCCGTTACCCTCAGCCGGATACCTAAGAGCCTGTTCAGTTGCTCCCTCTAATACCCGTCTCCGTTTGCTCACGGTTTTAGATCAGTGGATATCAGTTAGCGTTGCAGCTGTGCATATCCAGATTGGGATAGAAAACGGAGAGGCCTGGTCACATAGTTAAACAGAGTGTTTAAAATCTTACTGGAGGCCTCGAGACCTACTTCTGGCCAGAGAACACAGCTCCTCCTTGCTGCAAAAAGGGAAAGCGGTGCGTTAAAACTGCACAACACAGGGTTTCTTCTATTAGCGCTGGGCTAACGAAGTGGAGCTCCGTCTACATAATGGCGCCCAGACATCCGTTGTACCAAACACGATGCCATCTACATCTCCACCTCCGACTTTTCTGATGTATCCTGGGTTAAGTATGACCAAACGGAAAACGTGCCGGAACCGAACGGGCCCTAAGCTCGTCAGCTCGTCACGTGATGTACCATCAACTCTTTGTATTCGGTTACACTTTGGCCGTATGTAGTATGGAAAGCTGAAGGTTTTGAAGTTGGGGTTGAGACAGCTGCAAGAGACTGATGTATTGGAAGACAAAGTATCTCTTCCCAACGTAGTATGGTCTGCAAGCAAGATATGTATTACTTCTGCCTTGCCTAGGGGCTTACCCGTACCACAATATTTTGCTGCGTCGCCTAATGCATCCCTCCCCAGCTCCCCAGGTTCTGGGAAATTGCTTATTCTATCGAACAGGCAACAAATATACTTTGTGAATACCCATATACTTTTACAAGGTAAGTAGGCTCATCTCCTTTTACAAGGTATACTCATCTCCTGTCGCATGGTAGACTTAGTTCATCTCCTTTCGCAAGGGAGACCCAATACCCAGCCTCACTATAAAAGACATCTGCTAAGGCAAGACAATTCTTGGACCTTGTTCATTCAGCCAATTAACTAAAGGGTTCCCGCAAGCTAATTGAAAGAAAACCCCTCTCATCGCCGCTCCGGTCTCCCGACAACTACCGTAAGTCCCGCTCAGCACCAATTATTGTTGAGGCGTGACGCCATTGCGCTATTGCCGTGCCATTTCAACACACTGTGCACCTTATAAAGCCATGCCGCCTCTTCGGTCATATAAGCGTCGATCTCAATTTCATCCGATAATGCCGGACCTACATGTGTGGCTTTACTAGGAGTATGTCTTGTAGTAACTATGAATTTTCAGTTGCTCCGGGCTCTATTCACGGGTTGCGCGTAGCCCCGTGTGTAGGTACCACGGAAACGCCCTTGCTTGGCTTCCCCGCACGCCTGACGAGCACTGGTCAGCATTGGCACTTGTCATCGCCATCTAGTACCGACAATCAAGTATTTTTTAACCTTCGAGAACTCCGCGCAGTTCCGCTAGGCGTGCTTACATGGACATTTGTCGATCGACACTGAGCTTCGATCTTAGGTGACGGTACTAGACTGGGCAATGACCAATAGCGGCTTGGCCCCGCCTTGGTCTACCCAACATGTAGTCGTTGCATTTCGGTGATACACACATGTACCTCTTGTCGGTACCTTTGGTGGCTCTGTTGAGACGTCAGCTTACGGATCTTCTGTAGGTTCATACAATCCTGGTCGTCAGAGGTGAAGGTCTGGGAATAAATGGTTATACAAAACGCCTTTCAAGAAGGCTTATATAACTCCTCTTCTCGGTTGAATCTTGAGGAAAGAAGATGGCCCCACCTGCGAGGGTACTAACTTGGACCTAAACTTTACGATATATCAGCCCTGACAAGGGTATGCGGGATGTCGGCATATCCGACCATGAAGCTTCAGCCGTAAGCCTGTGTCTTACGAAGGCACTGCTTTTTTGCCTACCCAGGTCCAAGAAAGCCTGAGCACCCGTTCTTGGCCACGGGAAACGGCAAATGTTGCTCAAGTCAAATTATGAACTGAGAGGTATAAAGTATTGTCTTTTCCGACCATTTTCTGGTACCCGCGTTCGTGCCTTTCTCTCACTCCAAGGCCCGGGCTATAAGTCCAGAGTGTCCGTCTTAATTAAGATCAATACTCCATAGCCCAGACAGTACTTTAGTATACCTTAAACTTGTTTCAAGATGCGTCATTTGACTGTCGGTAAAGCATCGACATGCGTCTTGCTGACGCTGTCTTCACTGCTACATGTCACTTCGGCATGGCCATCATTCGATTTACACAACTCGCAGTTTGCAAAGCGGGCAGACTCTAGTGCTCCACGCGAAAGTGCTCCAGACGAAGATGCATCATACAACGAAGTGTATGACTTTGTCATTGCAGGAGGTATGTTTCGCTGCTTTTTTCTCATCCATTCTACGACCCTTACCTGGAACTTGTACGAAGTGATTTCAGTATTCATTATCATCCGGTAATATGTTGAAAATCTGTACTAACAATACGTAGGAGGAACAGCTGGTTTGGTACTAGCAAATCGCCTCTCGGAATCTGGTCGCTTTTCCGTGCTTGTGCTTGAAGCTGGACCAAGTCCAGAACAAGTATTGGCCTACGAGTCTCCGGGAGGCAATCAGTTCATCAAGGGTAGCTTACTCGATTGGGGATTCATAACTCAGCCACAGGTGCACTTGAACAACCGTACCATTCAGTACCTTCGCGGAAGGGGTCTTGGAGGTTCCAGCACAACGAATGGTCTTTTCTACGGTCGTGGTTCAGCCAGTGTCTACGATCATTGGAAGGAACTTGGAAACGACGGATGGGGCTGGAGCGACGTGTGGCCTCTTTTCGTGAAGAGTACCAAAATCGTATCACCGACTTCATCGGACGCGTTGGCAGCATTCAACCAAGACTACAAGACTTTTGAGGCTAGTGCTTATGGGGACGGACCGCTTGAACTCGGGTTTCAAGGATATGTTCCCCCTGCCACTGAAGGCTTCATTGTAGCTTGTAGCGAGGCGCTCAATATTCCCATTGTCAAGGACCAGAACCTTGGAGATAGTGTCGGTGTCAAGCATGGAACTACAACACTCAACAGCCATCTTCGAAGGACGTCAAGCTACACTACGTTTTATCAACAGGCTCGTCAGCGCCCCAACCTTAAGGTCCTACACGATTCTCCTGTTACCGGACTCAAGTTTGATACAACCGGTGCTCGACCTCGTGCTATCGGTCTTAGCTATATCCATCACACCACCGGCTTCGTCAATACCGTTCGAGCCCGCAATGAACTTATCGTGAGCCTGGGTGCCTTCCACTCGCCACAACTTCTCATGGTCTCAGGTATCGGCCCCAAGGCTGAGCTCGAGAAAGTCGGCATCACACCCCTCGTAGTGAACGAGAACGTAGGCCAGCACCTCAACGACCACTCCGTCTTCTCCATTATGGCCCGCGCCCAAGACAGCGCCTCAACCACAGACATGTCACGCACCCCCGAGAATCTCCGTGCCGCCCAAACGAAGTTCTATCAGAACCTCACAGGCCCATACACCGCTCCCTCGGGTGTCACAAACGGGTTCCAGAAGCTCAGCGAGGACGAACTCCGCAGCATCGGTGCCGAAGCTGTCATCCAAGCCGGTCTCGCAAACCAATCCCACGTCGAGTACCTCTTCGAAAGCGTCTGGTACCCCTGGATCCCCACCCCATACTGGTCCCCCCGCTCCAACGAATCCTACATCTCCGTCACCGCATCCAGCCTCGTCCAGCTGTCCCGCGGCACCATAACACTGCGCACAGGATCCATGTCAGACGCACCACTTATCGACAGCAACTACTACGCAGACCCCACCGATGCCGCCGTCGGCATCGCGTCGTTCAAGTACCTGCGCAAGATCCTACGGCACTCTGCTCTCTCGCAGTTCACCATCGGCCCGAACTCCGGTGAGGTGAGCCCGGGAGCTGCCGTCGCGGATGATGACGATGATGCTATCTTGGCGTATATTAAGGCGAATACTATTCCCAATTGGCATGCCACTGGTACGAATCGCATGTTGCCCAAGGATCAGGGTGGTGTTGTGGACAGCAAGTTGAAGGTGTATGATGTTGATGGGTTGAGGGTTATTGATTGCAGTATTGTGCCTGTGCTGCCTGATGTGAATATTTTGGCGAGTATCTATATGGTTGCCGAGAAGGGAGCCGAGTTGATTAGGGAGGAGTGGGGTGATAATTGAAGGGGATGGTAATGCGGTTGTGAAGAGAGTGAGGTATTAGCAAGATCTTGAAGGCTTAAAGGTAGTCATTAATTGCTAGGAAATATTTTTTTATAAAGGCCTTACCAACCCCTCTACATATCCGAGATTGAAATCTATGTATCTGGCTTGGATTCATGATTTCAGGTTCTGTGCGGTTTTCCGACTACCATTGCCTACTCTCCTAAGAACCATTTCATGAGATTTCGCTTCTCTTGGAGCATCACGGGGTCGTCAGGTACCAGCTCCGACGCCTTCCCAAAACATACAAGCATCCTCAGCCTCATCAATCGTTCCCCAAATCCTAACACACATGGCTCTGCGGTATAGCAGCTTCGCTCGGAGGACGTCGAAACACTCCCATATGTATCCGTCCCGCCAATATCCGGGAGCCGCCGCATCCGCCGACATTTTCAATCCGCACTCTGCCATGTCTCGTTGTAGTTCTAGATTACTTCTACCCTTACCCAGCATGCTGAAAGTCATATCCCTTACTTTGATGGTGGCCTGTGCCACGTTGAGGTCAGTCTTGAATGGCAGGTCAGCAATGCTCTCAATGAAACTATCACCACCGGTTCTTTGTAACTCATCCCAAGATTTTCCCCTGCGAAGGCTCGCAACCTTCATGGAAACTTCCGCCCACAACATACTAATCTGTATAAGGTCCCCTTTACGATAGAAGCCAATTCTTTCGTCTTTTTTTGATTCCAGCGACTTCAGCATCTAGTCTGGATCCGTCCGATCCGTAGCTAGTTCCTTCTTGATAGCGGCTACCACTCCAGGAGACACTTAGCTATATATTTCAACGTCCCTGTAGTCTTGAACGGCGAGGAAGGGATTCAGAAATACTTTCTGTATGGTCTTGGAGAAGTACCTAGTCATATCGTTCTTGTAACGGACGTGCTTCTCAGAACATATTGGCCCTACCTCAATGTCAAGGCTCGTGGCGCACTCTTGGGTATTTCGCATCAAGAACACCAAGCTGCGACAGAACCGCTCGAGGCCACTACCCAGCATCATGATACTGATTTCTTGGCATTCTTCGTCAAGAGCGTGTGTCGGTCTCGATGAAAACAGTAACGGCGAATAAATGTCTGGAAACTATGATCATCAGCAGAGAGCTAATGTCAATTAGAATACTGCAGTGATTAAATACGACTGGAAATACTGCTGCTAGATTACTAATGGCATCTGTCCATGTCTCTTTTGCCGAGAGAGAAAGGTAAAATAGGTTAACCCTTTGAATTGTTCTACAGCGGGTCCACTTACTATAGTTGGCATATCATGACCTGAAAAGCCCTTGAGAAAAGGCATATACATTGCGCAGTTGAGTCGAATGAAACGATTAGGTTTCACCATGATATCATAGGCCTCGTGGTGAATCTGGCTGTTAGTGCGCAAGATAGCCGTATCAATGGAGTGCTCAAAAAAGGTCAGAGTAGGCTCGTCTCTCAGACTAGCATATCCCCACTTATCATATGTAGGGGGCTTCGTACGCGCACAGCAGATGACTGTGTACTTCATCCCGGATCTGGCGGGGCATATCCATGAAGCGGAAAGTCGGAGTGTCTTCAGCCATGATGCAAGTGTTTGTGCGTTAAAGATCAAGCAGTTGAGCACAATTGAGTAGGAGTGTTGGAGAAGCTTGTCAAGCGGTTGGTCCCAAATTTTGTAACATGTTGACTGCTGAGAAGGGAAAGCGCATACTACTAGTGGTCTTGGCGCTTACCGAATGACACTGCCCCAACATACTAGTTGAACCTAGGATTAACGCACTCTACTTTTTACATATCTTCACTAGAACGAACATCATCAGCTGTGTGGCAACATGGCTTCATCAACTTCAATGCCCCAAAGCACACCGCTGCTATCGGGAATGCGAGCTAAGTTGACACTGCCATACCCATATCATTGCTGATCATCTCAAATCACGTCACAATTGCCTCATCCACTCAAGGATCGTGTCCTTCTCTCTCAAAATACCCGGATCTCCAGGTTGCCTCTGCAGAGCAAGGTTGATGAATTTGAGGGCACGTTCTTTGTTCCCAGGGTCCGCTTGCAACCTCAGAAAGGTCGCATACCGAAACAGCAGTTCTGCCCTATGTGTAGCAGACACGATGTGCTTATATCCCTTCACCCAGTAGTCTTGCTTAAGCGACTTGAAGGCACAATTCAGCGAGTCATCAGCCAGTACCTCAGCGACGAAGGAACTCTCCGACCAATTGGAAAGCTGGACGTGGATGATGTTGAGACGCATAATGAAATAGACCTGGGCAAGCTGCGAAACGAACTCCTCTTTCCCTTGACGAACCAGATCAGGCCAAGAGCTTGAGACGATCAACATGTCGATCTCGACTGTGGCATCTTGCCATTTCAAACATCCAAGTTCAACTTGACCCTCTTGGAATAGACGAGTTCCTTCCTCTTTTGCGACTATGTACTGGGTCATGACCGCTGCAGGATCAGAGTATGGATCTTTTGCAATATCTTGACGCAGAGCTATTGCGACGACCCTATCGACATGTCCCTTGACCTCAACTCCTTTGTACCCATGGAGATTGACTCTGAGGGGTGCGAACAAGGTCTTCTGCATCTTCTCCGAGAAGAAACCATCAAAGGAGGGCATTATGTTGTTGCTTCGTATATTGTCCAAAACAGGTGCCATTCTGATTGAGATCTTCAGAGACTCACTGAAGCCTGGTGAGTGTGCATCTCCATCTTTGATGCCTTGGCAAAGTTTGTCCAGATGCCGATGCAATATCATGGCACTCAGAGGCTCATACCAAGCCGGATTTCTTGATGGCTTGTTGTCTCTCTGCTTCTTCAGGCCAAAGTGTACACTGAGTACATACCCCTTGAACTGGTCGACCAGAAACTTTTCTTGAGTGACCACTGGAGTCTGCTGTCCACTCAGAGCACCTATAACGGGCATACCGTCCGCCGATGTCACTTTGACAAAACGGTTGGTCTTCACCATGACATCATAAGCCTCGCGGTATATTTCTTTCGATGTCCGAAGTATGGACGTCTCGATACGATGTTCGACGCGCGGTAATCGTAGTACGTCTTCCATGAAGTCATCATCCACAATACCGAATTCGCTGGACGAGTGATCGAACTCGCACAAGAGGATACAGTAGATCTTATTGCGTATCTAGAAGACGTTGGAGCTACATCAGCATATGCTGTAAGCACAACAACACATGGTCTTACTTCGCTAGGGAGATCGCGGAAGCGGAATGGCTTGGATGGAGTGCTGGCAGTCATTGTGGTTTTCAAATTCTCTGGATCTTCAGATGTGGATTACACGAATCAATGACAGAGAGAACAAAGATATCTAGATGAATCTGTCCCAATCGAACTATGATCAGTTTGTGTAAGACCTGCATGAAGGGAATTGTGGAGACAAAATGTGGGGGCAGATAAGCAGGTACTTTAGCGCTACGCGCTAAACGCGAAAACACGTGATCTACTACGTGTCTTCAGCGACCACATACTGGTATGCTGCAAGGAAAGTCTCTATACTGACAGGTATGTGTTCTACTGCTATGACTGTTTCAAGTCAGAGAATGAAGTAGAGTATATGACCTCGTAATCAGTTAGCTCACATCGTGCAATTGCACACTCTGGTACATCGCAAAGGTGCACCTAGCAACTTCTGGCTTCTACCTGGTGTCTGCCTCATGCCATCGCACACTACACAGAGCCTCATTATATAAGTTTTGCCTCTACTACACGACTCGTCGCCTAGTCTGTGCCCATGCAGTATTTGTTGAAGGCATTTCTCTCTCTAATTCTCAATTGAAACACGGCAAAAACCACAATGGCGTCCACCCTCCCCCTCGAAATCTGGGCTGAAATCCTACAACACATTGACGACGCCTTCACCCTCTGGGTCCCCTATCGCTAACTCGTCCGTGGAATACGATATGAAGCAGAGCGCGTGTTTTATACTACCTTCATCCCTCTTCTCCACATCGAATGGACAGACGCAGAGTTCATCCCCAATTACATGGAACCCAATATCATCGCGACCCCGTACCGGCAGGCCGCAGACAGCACATGGAAGTCCTCCTCATTGACCTTGTTGGTGCGCTTGTTCCACGGCTGCGAGTATGACTACCCAGATTTGTCGTATTCGGAAGGCAAAAAAAAACACTCCACGTAATCAATTACGCTGACGTGGATGTGTGGCGAACCGGCATAGAGCGCGAGACACATCACGAACAAGTTATATATTTCGATACCTTGAATGCGCGGTACACGTTTATCAACAGTGCCGAAACGCGATTCGACGATGCCGATTTTCATGCTGTGGATGGCGAATGCCAGTCGTGCAATGCGTGCGTTGCGCTCGACTGGAGACAGCTCATGACCAGACTGTTTGCGGAGGAGAATATCGTACGAAAGAGGCTAGGGAGCGGTGCACTGTCGTTTTGGGAGTACGCCGAGCAGCGTATCCGGAATGTCCTTAGGAGTTCGGAGCGCCGCATGTGTATAGGAAATAGGACACTAAGATTAGAACACGAAGTTTTCAGGCGCAGAGTCGCTGTGTTTCTTCAAACACTTTGTTGGAACGATTGCAGATTTTGTCCCCTGTATATTAAAGTGTTGGAGCGGCGTCTTCGTTGCGCGTTCGATAAGAATGGTGGGGATGCGTGTAGACTTGAGGATGTTTTTGATGACGTCTGTGAATATAATAGACAGTTGGGGAGTGATATGATGAAGAGACGGATTGATAGATTGAAGGATTTTGCTGAAGGACTATGGGCGCAGCGGTGGAAGGGTTCAGAATGAGGAATGAGTGGGGCTGTCAATCTCTCTCCTGTAGACAACTGGAACGTCCTACCACACAGTACCATGGGGATTCTGAAGAAACGAAACCGAGCAGCGCATTGCTGTCTTGTAGTTACGCTTGTCCATTATCATACTTCTCAAAGACTAGGATCCATCGAGCATATCGAAAAACCAAGTTCACTGTTGTCTTGGCCAACGCTCCAGCTAACCTGCAGTTGCACCCAATGTACATGTCGCTCGATCAGAACATAGCAATATCCCACTCTCTAAGTCTATTCCTCGTCGCCATTCACTGGAGGGGAGTCATCGATTTCCTTGGCATCTCTTCCCCTCGTCATTCGCCCTAAGTATCTCGACACCTATAGCAACCAACCCGCGCGGCGTGCAATAACATGGCTCTCTCCAGAACAAGCGCTCGCCCCCGCAGCATACCATCACGAAGATCATTGGCGTTTATAGTATCATGGAGAGCACCCACACCTCTACGTCCATTGTTTTCCACGCCAATTCAACCCTCGCAGCATAGAAATCTGCCGACGGACTGGCCCACACACAGCTGTGACGTAGATGCTGAACAATTACATCACTACTGCAAGGGTGGATACCACCCCGTTCACCTAGGTGACTCCTTGAACAATGGGAGATACAAGATCCTACATAAATTGGGGTGGGGCGGATACTCGACCGTCTGGGCTGCGCGCGATACTAGGTCTTGCCATCCGCTACTAAGTATCCGCTAGAATTCCAGATTGACATACTGCTAGGAACCAAACGTTTGTCGCTATCAAAATATGGGTATCCGAGCCAACCCATAATAGCCGCGAGTTGACCGCCTTGCGCGCTATAGTCACCGCACGTTCGAATAGGCCGGGATATCAGTATTTAATGACGATGCAAGATTACTTCCAGATTCATGGTCCAAACGGAACCCATGATTACATTATAACGGAACGGTTAGGACCAAGTGTAGCTAATTTTCTCGACGGGTATTCAGGTTCTGTAAGACTTCCTGGACGGCTCGCTAAGACTATAGCAAAACAGACCTTAAGTAGTTTGTCCTTTCTCCACGAGCACAAGATCGCGCATGCAGGTACGAAAAAACCGCTATTTCCGTCTTTCTATCAAACCTCTTCCCTACTTACTGTTCTCAGATCTACACACCCGCAACCTAGCCTTCACCCTCCCCACCTCACATGAGCAAGATCTCCTCCAAAAGCTAGGAGAACCCGAAACAGCACCAGTCCGACAAACCGACCGCCAGCCCCTCGAACCCAACCAACCCATCTACTTCGTCCGACCCACTGCCTACCCAATCAATCCCAAAACCCCTCTTTACCTCAATCAAACTCATCGACTACGGTCAGTCCTTCCTAGAAAACAACAGTCCCAGCACCCTCTACATCCCACTCTACTACCGCGCTCCCGAGATCCTCTTCAACAATACCCTCAATCACCGCGTCGACCTCTGGAGTATGGGCTGTGTCGTAAGTCCAGCATCCCCTAGATAAAAACATCTCTAAATCAAAATACCAATACAACATTGACGCATCTTGATCTAGTTGTTCGAGCTCATCACTGGCCAACCCCCCTTCGACACCTTCCTAATCACTCCTCCGATTCTTGTGAGTCAAATGCTCGAAATGAGTGGCGATACTTTACCGGACTGTTGGCAAAAGCAATGGTATGCTATTAATTCGAAACAACTGAGCGATGATGAGGATCGCTCGTTTCAGAGTTGGTTGGAGTAAGTGTATTTTGACAAAGAGAAGAGACAAGATCTGAGTAAGGAAGATATCATACGTGTTGGGGCGCTAGTCGGCAGCATGATACGATTGGAGCCGTCCGCCAGGGCATCGGTAAACACCGTGCTGCAAGACGCCTGGTTCCAGGCATCTTGATGCAAGAAGCATGGTAGTTGGTTATATTTTTTTTTGCTTCAGGAGTTGGGATGGCAAAGTCATGATAATCCTTATTGCTCCTTTCTACTTACCCCAATTTCAATCATTCTCACACGATTGTGGTTGAACTCCTTCGCCAGCTTTAGTCTCTATATTTACGATCAGTTAACCAGTAGTGATTCATAAAAGGCAGATGGTTGCAGACATACATGACCACCTCACCAAACACACCGTACGTACTCCGCAGCACACTCATCGTTCATACCTCCTCGATTTCAAACTCCCCAACCTTTTCCAGAAATCCAGTACTTCACCATTACTCATCTGCCGCGCCCCCCTCAAGGATCCATCCCATACGCTTCACCCGATCAGAAAACCCCCCTCATTTCACGGTTGCCCCACTTACGAGGTTTGGAAGTTTCATGGTCTAAAGGGTGAAAACGGTTGCAGTTGTTCCGTAATTATTTGATTAAAGTTGGAAAACCTTTCTACGTAGCCAAGCTAAAGACTACTGCGATCAAAGGTATATATATATGTAAACAGGATGAAAAAAAATATCCGAGCAAAATGTCTCCTGACGAGTAGCTGAGAAAATTGCAGTTGTAACGAAGTGAGTGGGGAGTTCAATGGTGTCTTAAACTGTTTAGTGGGGGATGTTCAAATACCACAGGAAGATGTTTTTTTGGCAAGCCATGTACGAGTTGAAGTAGATTGATCATATTTGCGTTACTACAATGGCTTAATAGGAGTAGGAAAGACATGTTCCGCATCACAGCTATCCTGCTTCTTCCCACATGTCAGCCTGGTCTTTCCACTAACCCAAGTCACACCCAGTCTTCATACCCATGAGCAGTCACCTCATTCCTCAGAATCAACAGAGCAAGGATACTACAAGATAATCTCAACAAATAACAATCAAAACAACTTACGCTGCGTCCCAAGCATCTAGTTCATCTCCCACTCTCTCACATAAAAAAGAGTGGTCGACTATCCAGGCGGCACCACGAGGAGGCGCAAGGGTCCGACTTCTACCGCCCGTCCACCTCTTGCAGTCACGCCAACGTTCAAGAACGCCGCGACTCATTTCTTCTCCAGGCAAACATTTAAGTGAGCAGCTGCCCCGCACACCTTACCAATGACCATGACAGCCATTGTCGACGAATCGACTCAAAGGATATAAATACCCAAAAAAGGACAAGTCTCAGAAAGCCCCGGAGAGCCACAATTTTTTCTCAGAATACCCAAAAGGGCGGTAAAAGTATTTTCTCGGAAAAAAGGTTTCTCAGAAAAGCCCAAGGGCAAATTTAAAAACACCAGTCAGGGGTGTTGACACTTTTGCAAGTGTGAACACCACAATCGCAGTGTCTCCAAATAATTTATGAAGCATCGGCCGTGCTAAAAAAAATAGCACGGCCGATGCTTCGTAATTTGGGGGTTGTCTGCATTTCAGCCAAGGACCATGTGGTCTATCAGGGACCCAGCAGCCACTCGAAAGCAGTCGCTGAGCTCCATATCTGTAGGCCTCTTCCGCACACGGATCCCTAAGAAGAGATCCACTGGCGGCGGGGATACGCGAACGTTCCCTGCAGGACAAGACGCCGACGTAGTTACGTACATCGACTCGATGGCACACACAGACGAGCCTATGTGGCGTAGGCGGACCTGAACAAGCGGACTTATCCGGAACATAGGCGGACCTGAATGAGCGGGCGTACCCGTAGGAAGCAGGCGTACCTGAAGAAGCGGGCGTACCCGAAAGTGTGGCACCAGGGCACAAAAGTTGGGTAGGGGAGGAGGGGTCTGCACAATAGCCAAGACATCGGGGGGATGTGCGTCCGAGGGTGCCTGTAAGCAAAGTGCCGTGGACCCTAAGGTCTACCAGAGACTTCCGGAGAAGCTCAATATCGCAGGCATCTTCCATACTCATCTTCCTTAGAAGGATGATACTGATGGCGGGGATAAGGCAAGCCTTTCCCTGACAGACAGGTTCCTCACGCGAACCATCGTGGGGTGAGAAAAGCATACTCTACCTGGTACCAGTGAGGGCGAGCGAGTGGGAGGGGCCAAAGCTCGTGCCGGAATGGAAAACAAGGAGCAAACCAGTCTCAACCCCTGAATAGGGGACTGTATCTTTGTCGTGCTGGAGGTGGGCCGGGTCTTCAGAGCGCCAGCACGAAAAGTGAGGCTCGACTGAGCCGAAATGGACCAAAGGTTCCAAAAGTCTCTGTGGTTCCGCAAAAGTGCTCTCACGTCATCTGGCCTGGGTTTCCCACAGGTCAAGTTAGTGGGCTGCCTCAGGTTGGGCATGTCTCGTTGGACCTGGTCGATGCCGAAGAGGTGAGTCATGACAGCCAAAGAAAGCCATGGACCATGTGGTCTGTCAGAGTCTTCCGAAAAAGACTCAATATCGCAGGCATCTTCCACACTCGCTGTCTGAAAAAACAACACTGGTGGCGGGAGAAATTCACCTTGACTGACGAGCTGCACCTTTTTGTTTCGCGCCTCTACAGCGCAACATGGTCAGACCTTGTTGCGTAATAGATAGTCGGTGTCTCAATGCAGACGCTGTACGACAAAGACCCTCTGAGCGTTTGCCGACCAGAAACTAAACACTCCGAGAAAGATCACCCGCTTGTATTCGACGTCTTATGCCGCTCTCGAAAAACCAGACTTGACCGTGCCAGCCGATTCTTGTTGTACGCTGAACGAAACGCCAAGGACCGAAGGCCTGTCATAGTCAACACGTTGAGAATGAATATGAAACTCATATCCTTTGTCTTCCACCATCGCGCGCTTAGAAAGAATACTAAGCGACGGAAAAGAACAAAGCTCAAGAACAGTGCTTTCACCTTCGTGGCGAAAGCCATGAGTTCCTACATGTGGTTTCACCGGCACAAGGGAGAAAGCATCCTCGCACGACACTAAACCATGGACCAAATAGTCTGTCAGAGCATGATGCTCCACATCTGTTGGTATCTTCTACACGCGACAACCTGAAAAGGCGACACTGGTAGCGGGGTTGCGGCAAGCGCTCCCTGGCGTGAAGTAGCTTCTCCCTTGTCTACGGTCCGCACGCATCACCCTTGGTGACGACATGGCTCGAGAAAAAAAGCTGAGACTAGCTCATCGCGGGGTATCGATCGGAACGTCCGTTCGTGTAGATCGTCGGAAGAAAGGCTCGGAGGGGTTTGTTGCGTGCCTGGAAAAATCCAAACTCCGTTCAACGAAAGCCAAAAGGCCAGCTCGGTAGATGATGGTAGGGTATTCAGGAAATGGTAAGGATGGTTGCGAGAACAAAGAAAGATGGTGTGCACGGCTGAGTGGGGTGAGTTGGGGGGACGAGGGGTGAACTGGCCAGGAATATTTTGCTGTGAAAGTGAACGCGCCGCTTGTTTGTTGATCACATGTCGATGAAAGGTGAGCTGTATGCCCGTGCTGGCGAACTCCACGGCACGAGTGCTAGACGCCAGTAAACAGCACCACTAGTCAAATCAAAATAGGAAAATGGGGAATACCAAGCTTCTCTTCATAGAGACGGGGAAGTCAACCATAATTCCGTTCCACATCCGGCATTAGACGGCCAGCGTGAGGACAGATAAACTGTCTCCAGACCCAGGACGAACGTTGGCGCTAAGATTGAGCTGTGAGCAGGGCGACCTTGATGCTTCTCGTAGACCGAGAATCCCTCGTAAAGATGGAAGGTGTGTAGCCTAAGCTACAGTTGCAAAGCTAGACAAGTTCATCCTTGAGCTAGTCACCGCCGGAGTGTGGGAGGGAACATGACTGTCTCAGCCAGTCGTCTCGCTTCGAAATTTACCTAGAGGGGCCGACCGGACAAACGGGATCGAAATTCCCCAGCAAACCTTGGTAACGCATGTCCGGTCGTCGGCTCGCTAGTCAATGTCTAATCGCTATCTTCTAAGAGCTCAGCGAGCTCCGCTTCTTCTTCCACGGTCATTAGACTCTCTTTTCGCTCTGGTTCCTTTGCTGTCTCTTCTCCGAGTCGTTCCTTCTCAGCTTCCTCAATAGACTTGGCAAGCTCTTGTGGCTTCAGATTCCACTGTCTCACTGTGGCGTCGATACTGACGCTGATTAGACGCTGCCCCATCAAGAGAAGTCCTGTGACCTCTTCAAAGTGCCCATTAAAAGTGTGGTGCAATCTGCCGCTAGCTCTCTCCCATACACGGATTTCTTCGTCTCTGCATGCGGTCACGATCCACCCGCCAGCTTCGTCAATCACTACGTCGCGAACAAAGTCAGGGTGCTCAAACTTGGAATCTTCTTCCCAATCTCGGCCTCTGGATAGGCATTTTGCCGTTTTGTCTGCTGACGCGGTCCATAGATCACCATCAACGTCGAAATGCAGAGCGTCGATACTAGTCTCGTGGGCAATGATTGGTGACGGTTGGATTTCGCGAGCCGAGGAAGATGCAATCTGCCAGCGTCTGATTTCTCGATCGCTTCCAGCACTGAAGACGGTGATGGTGTCTTTCCCAGGTTCATAATCAACTGGGTCCAGCGCAAGAGCGAGGATACCCCGTGTGTGTCCTTTGAGTATGTGCAGCTTCTTTCCTGCAGCTACGTCCCACACTATGATGCTTGCATCCTGAGAGGCTGAGACGAGAACTTCCTTGCCATTCAAGGTGAAGGATATGATAGCCTTGACGAAATCACTGTGCCCTTGAAAGCGAGTGGACACTTTCCGAGATGAGAGTGACCACGACCATATCGACTTGTCCCAGCAGGCCGCGAACAGGGTACCGGACTTTGGTGACACGGCAATGGAGGTCAGGGGAGCCGTGGGGCCGGAAAAAGTAGCAACGACTTTGCTAGTCTGTCGGGAGAGCAGTTAGCGACTGATCGCTATAATCACGTCCAGCAGTGAAGCTAGAGCGTGGAAGCAGATGTCTGACCGACTTCAATATTGATATGCTTCACGCTGCCTGCAGCTTCAGCTACGTAGACATGGTGCTCATCCTGAGGATCCGCGATGACGGCGAGGATCTTGGATGGAAGCTTGGTGGGGTTGCCCTTTGTGTTCTTCGACTTGGCAGCCTTGCGAGCCGTCTCCTCAAGTGCCGAGCTACATGATATCAGCCAGGATCAAGAGGCACAAGGGCAGAATCGGTACGTCGTTTGGAAGTAATGGCCTGGGTCGTTGGAGAGCGACATGTTATAAGATATAGGGAGGAGCGGTGACGCCTGACAGGTCGGCGGGTCGAGTTGGGCATGTGAGCTGTCGGCCCCGCAAATATGACTCTGAGGGCGCCAATAGGATGACGGCATAGGCTTGGCGACAATGGTGACACGAAGCTGCACACAATAGGGGAGAGACTGGCTAGCTTCCCCAACACCACCAGCCCGTGTTCATGCTCGACTTGTAGCAGCAATGTAGTATTAATGTTTTCTTATATACTGAATGAAGATGACCCAGACGCCGCAGATCATTATACAAAGGAAATTTCGTGAGTCATGTGTCCGAGCAATGAAGCCCCATCTGTAATACGGTCATGCCGTCATTAAGTCGTAAAATACGTCGTAAGAGTGAGGCGGCATTGAAGCACGCCCTTCATAACACTCCAGGGGGGGATATCTCAAATAGACATTCCAAGCAAGTCATTACTTTTTGTGAAACAATGTTCCACAATATGCGCCCAAAGAGGGGAATCTTGGATGCGATCATAAAATCGTAAATGCGGATGCACATATACAAGGTCGTTAAAACGCGGGATTACCAGCAGGCGCGCTGGCAGCGAAGTCGCGGATCGCCCATCGCCATCCGCCAGGATGTTCGCCGTTGTCGCGAAGGCCGCCGACCCAACCTTCGACTCGACGGCGCCAGATGGCTTCTTCGTCACGTTGACGACGGATGAAACTAGGACCGACGTCGAACTCTTCGCCTACAAAGGCGGGATCTTCGGGGTTTGGCGTGCCGGTACCACTCATACCGTTGCCGCCAGCAACGCTCTCGTTGTCTTTCAAGTCTTCAAGGCCAGCAAAGGGGTCCTCGTCCTCGTCGACTTCGGAAGGTGAACGAACGTCGTTCATTGGGCGAGGGGCTTTGAGCCAGGTCATCTTGACAGGATCAAATACCATGCGGCCTTCATACTGCACGCTTCGAGGCACTGAGATTTGAGATATCAATGCAGGTCGAGGCGGGGAGGGTGCTGGTGCTGGCGCTGGCGGCTGGGCAAGTTTTGCTGCCCGTGCCGAGAAGCTCCTGTGTGCTTGAGAAGCATGAATGGACGAGAGCGCTATGTGCGAGATGGACTGCGAACGGTCATGTGGGCGGCCCGTCTGGTTAGAGGGGGGTGCAAAAGTTGGTGTACTAGCAGTGGTCAAGGCAAGAGTAGTAGTGGAAGTATTAGGGTGGGAGAAGGAAACGAGCTCCTCCTCGTTACCTTCCCATCGCTGTAGGGTAGGGTTATAAGTCATGCCTTTCTCGTCTACATAGTGGTCAGTGGGAGCTGGGTAGCAGTAGTGGAGTGCCATACTGTAAGACTGAGGTTGGGTCATCTGGCGGATCAATTGAGGCTTCTGCCCTAAGCCTTTCTTCTTGTGATTTGGGCTAGACTGAGGGCTGCGAGAGGCAACTTGAGCAGCCCAGCTCACAGGCCTTTGGGAGACGGAGCCATCCGCTCTTGACCTCGTACCTGCCAATCGTTGCTCTCGTGCGTTCCTACTCGCAGCAGTATCTCGAGCAAATCGGGGAGTGTTGTCCGTTCTAGGTGGACTTCGTGGAGTCTGAGGCTGGGGCGTCGCCATGCGGTCAGGCATGGGCAGGCGGGAATTACTAGGTTGTGTGCGTAAGGATTTGTTACTGCCAACATTACGTGGGACCTTTTCGAATTGCTTCTCTTTTGTAGCCGAGGTGGGTAGATCATCAAACATGTCAAGTTCGTGCCCATCGCCAAAGTTCCGCTTGCGCTGGGGCTGGGTTAGCTTTCTTGGGAGTGGGTTGCGTGCAAGTGCAGAGGGTGCCAAATCGCGTCGGACCCCTGCGCGGCTCGGTGTCTCATTCTGATGTCCAGATGAGCGAGAGTAAGACCGCATAGAAGGAGAAAGAGGACGACGAGAGTCAGAGTCACGACGAAGATGAGTTTGTGAAGTGCTCTTGGCCATGACGTGGTGTGACTGAGAGGAAGGACCACCAGCAGGGATGAAGGGCATGCGAGGCGGCTGAGTAGAGCTTATGTTGCGGAGAACAGGAGCAGAGCGCTTCGCGCGGAGGAGCTGTGCGCTAGTAGTTGTAGGCATGGTCCTTGACGATTGGTTCGAGGCTGACGCGCCGGTCTCGTAGACGGGAGTTAGCCGGGTGCGGCTGGCGATGGACGGTAGTGGCCTTGGAATTCGCGATATGGTCGGCCGGTCGGTAAAGGTGAGTGTGGTCGCAGGACGAGCGGCGTGTGACGCATTGGCCTTGTTGGTGGTCTTCTTTACGACGATGTTCTTGTTCAAGGTGAGCTTCTTGCTGTCCAGAATTTCACCAGTGCCAAACTCGAAACCCTCTTCAAAATCCTCCTCTGGCTCAGCAGCCGGCCTTGGCTTTGGCGATGGAGCCTTGGGGCTCCCTAAGGGTGAAAAGAAGGCGGGACCAGTGGTGGGTGATAGGGGTGGTTCTTGTGTAGGGAACGATGTAGGCGGTGCTGGAGCAGATGTCGGACCGAGCTGAAGCGGTGGAAGGAGAGATAGTTCGGGTGCACGCTGGGTTGAGTCCTGCTGGTGTAGGTGGTCGGCCTTCTTGAGTTTCTCCAGCCGGGCGCTAAAGTCCATGGGCTCGGTGGGCAAGACGAGGCCGCCCAGGTCGTCCTCTTCGCTCTCCATTGTCATGCAGCTGCCCAGGCTAGGGCTCATGGCGGAGACCGAGGAGCTGCGGGCACCGCGAGTGGCCTGTCGCGTGCCTGCAAAGCGGATGCCCAAGGATCCCTCGCCCCAGTCGAGGTCATCATCGGCATCGTCAGCAGGCGGGCGAGCAGCGAGCGGCTTAAGCTTGAGGCCTTTGGAGGCGTTTGCGGGCAGCTCGAGGTCGTTGCCCCAGTCATCGTCGACGTCCATTTTCTTGGTCGACTTCTTTTTCCCCAGCCTCTTGATAGACCCCCCTAGCAGGGCGGACGAGGGCACGTTTGCGGGTATGGGGATGCCGGCCTGCTTCGCGGCCGAGGTGATGGCAGAGGCGTTTGTGGCCTGGTCGTCGGGCGAGATGAGAAACTGCCAGTCGTCCTGGGACTCTGATTCGGAGCGCACACTCATGCGTGATGAGAGCGAGTGGACTGTCGAGTTTTTGAAGAGCAGGCCGTCGGAGCGGTCGTCGAAGTCGCCGTCGTCCCACGACTCCATCCTGGAGGTGTTGGACGAGATGGAGGCGATGCGCGCCGCGAAAGAGCGGTTGTTGGCCGCCATGCTCGGGGGGCAGCGCGAATGACCGCAATTGCGTGTTGTCGTGTTTGGATGCAGGATCTTCGCGAGCAATGCAGGAGGTTGGGGGTGGGCCACGAAGGTGGTCACTGGGCTGTCAGGTTCCTGCAGCACAAGCGAGGCAGGCGGTGGGCAGCTCGAGGAAGGCGCGCCCCGTGGTCCGCCCACTAGCCACGCCTGTGTGGTGTGGGTGTGTCGACGCCAGCGACGACGGCCTAGTCAGAGAAGGGTACTGGTAATTGGCTGGGGTGCGCAAAAACAACGGACGGGCATGCGGATTGCTGGCGAACCAATGTTGCTGCAGCAGTGGTAGGCTTGCTTGCTTCATGTCCTTGTTGTTTGTGTACGCAGAGAGAGTTGTTTGTGTATGCATGAATGAATGAATGAATGAATGAATAAATAAAATCAATGCAGCGAGGGAATGCATCCGTACATATACTTATTTTACTTTACATTACATACCTACTTACTACACTTCATCTCCTGCCCACACACCCTCTGCCCTTAGCCCTCGTCAGACCCTGACTCCTCCCTCCTAGTGGCGTGCCTCGTGTGCAGGACGGATGCCTGGACATCAACAAACACTAAACCCTAACCACGCATGCCCAGAGCAATGCTGCCTGCCTCTACCCCCTCAAAGCCTGCAATATAAACCCCCATGGCCCTGCCGTCTCACACGGTCAATTAACTACCGTTTCAACACCCCCGCGCGCCGTATTGCTAAACAATCGGTGCCAGTCCCTGGTGCTGTTCAGGAGCACTCATCGACCCGCTGCGCTTGCGACAACTCCCGTCCTGGACCCGCTCAGATCCTCGTCCGGGCCCTGCAAGCGTCCTAACCTGCCCTACCGGCTAACTTCCCGCAGCACCGCCTAGCTTCTGCACATCACGCCTCACGCATCACGCCCCAGCAATGCCCACTCGTTGCTGCATCGTCCCCGTCGAGCCTGCCGACGGCCGCGGCGACGCGGTTGTTGTCGAGGTCCTGCACGAGGGCAGCCATCCGCTCGATGTCAGGTTGGTCGGCTGCGAGGGCGAAAGCCCATATGTTGCTTCTAGTAAGCCCAGGTTGCAAAGCAGGTACAAAGTTCATTTACTAACCCCGGCCCCAGTTCGGTACCGCAATCTTGCAGAATTGCAGCACAAGTTCAAAGGGACCGATGACGAGTGGGCGACCATTTTGTCTCATTTCCTGTTGATGAAACAGCCTGCAAGCCAACATGCCCATCTCTTGCAGGGCATCCGCATGGTGTATACTTTGAAGAATGGAACACTAGCCATCTCCTTCCGCCAGGACGTTCAAACCATAAAGGTGGGCTAGCCGAACGACCGAACACAAAAGCCTGGCCTAACCCGTGTAGGTCACCTTGGGCGAGATCGTCTTACCCCAGGACGATGAGTTTGAGTTTAATCCGTTCGACTGGGCCCGCGCTTCCGCCATGGCACACGCACAAACACTGCAACACATGGCCGAACTGGAGGCCCGCGTAGGTAGCGAGCAAAATACAGTTGCCAAGCTGACCGCGCAACTTGATGACTTTATCAAAACCAAGAATGAGGCGGAATCTGTCATGCTGCTGCGGTTTATGGAGCTGCTGAATGACAAAAAGAGGAAGATCCGAGACCAAAACCGCCTATTGGCTGGTGCAAAGGTTGCCCAGACGACAGGTAATGCCAGTCTGGTGTCCAAGGTACATTCACAAGACTGACTTTTACTTTGCAGCAACTGCTGTTCAAGCGACAAGAGGAGAAACGAGAGTGCGCAAGGCAGGCGCATCACGAACAAGTAAGCGCAAAGCTTCGTCGCAATCAGCGCAGCCAGCTTCTGAACTAGAGCCTGAGTCGGACAGCGACCAGATGGACATGAACCAAGCAAAAGACGAGGAACGTGATGAAGAAGAAATACAAGATGCTGTAACACCAGAGCAGTCTGATGATGAAACAGACGAAGAGACTGGTTCCGTCCCGCGTCAAAGAGCGAGATCATCCGAAACAGTCGGGGATGGTTCTGAGGTTGCACATGGTGGTGGCACGGCGGAAGGCGCAGAGACAATGGGCGTTCCCCCGCCCCGAGTGCTGCCATTCAGCAAAAGGACAGCAGCAACACGAAGCAAGGGTGCAACAGCAAAGTCCTCAGGCGCAACAGCCCAGGCCGAGGATGACGAGACAGATGATGAGGAATTGTGAGTAGGCAATCACTATTGGATGCTTGCGTGAATGTTTGCGTGAAAAAAATAATGCGTTGTCAGGTACGTAGCGGTCGTATAACAAAGAGACGATACTTGGGCAGACCAAGGCTGGCACAAGCATTTGCCACGAGGCAGCCTTGGTCTTGTTGGTTCCACAATGGGTAGTGTTGCGGAACGCAGTTTGAGCAATGCAGTTTACGCTGCGTGTCGGAGTAGATGCTCAACAAGGCCCTGCCCTGTCGGTCACGTGCATCGTCAAGGCGCGGACTCTTGGCCTCTGCCGACTGAAGAATAAATAGTGGCAGCAGCAACACGGCTAAACATTCCTATTGCGTAGATGTGGCTGGTGAAAAGGATGGATTGTATCTATGGGTCGGCAAGGTACGTGTAAGTATGTAGCAGTCGGTTGATGGCATGCACACCTATAGTCTAGAACGACAGGGCACGTCGCAAACACAGGCAATGGACATGAGCAAATGATGGGAAAGATGGCAATGCTAGGGCTGCAGTCCCAGGCGTGCCGTGTATCGTGGCCATGCCGTGTACTTATGTGAATGCAATGCAATGGCGCACGACTAAAGGGATCTGCAGGTGATGTGGTGTGGAGCAGAGCGTGTCGGTGCTAGGCGGGCGACCAATGGCCGGCGCAGAGGCTCCGACGAGCTGGAAGCGTTGCGCGCGCACGTCAAGCCTCTGTGCCAAGACATATCCACCTTGACATGTCGCTCCTCTCCCCCCAGTGCCGTCGCAAACGCCAAATCGCCTTCTATACCCCGTCACGTCCATAGTCGCCGTCGTCACTATCGCGCCGCGTTCCAGTAATCCTCCATCCGAGCCTGGCGGGTCCCGAGGCACCACCCCCAGCACCAACGGCGACGTGACCGCGGGTGAGGCCTTCACCACAACACCAACAACAACAACCGCAGGCCTCTGGTCCTATTGTGCTGGTGCGCGCTGAATACGAAGCCCTCGTCCCAGCCGAGCGCTCCCTCTAATGCTCCTCCGCTCCCACACCTCGTCCCACTGCACATACCGCCGCCCGCCTGCGACATACCCACTACGCGCGACATCCCCCACCCTCAATCCCACGAGCTAGCACGCCATGACAGGCCTAGATGCAGCTGAGCACCCCGGCGATCCCTCCCGACCCCTCAAGCGCTCCCGCTACTCGGCCAACGACCAGGAAGAGCTGGACCTGCTCGACACCATCGTCAAGCGCATCAAGGTCGCGGTGCCGCCTACGCCCTACATACTCTCTACTCCCTCGTTAGACCCGTACCGCTATCACTCACAGCAACAATTCAATGCCTGGATGATAGGAAGGCTGTGGCGCCCGGACGAAGAGCACCTTCAGTACAGAACCTACCTCTACCGCGAGCCATGCCAGGACTGCTTCGAGCTACAAGCCGGCCAAGACGAGGAGCCGGAGCCGGAGCCCCCACGGTCGCAAGCTGTAAATGGCCAGCCGACAAAGAAGAAGCCCAATCTATCGGCCTTCAAAGTCAAGCAGGTCAACGGCACTGCTGCTCCTGGTGCAAAGACTAGCTCGTCCAGTCGCCCACCCACCAAAAATACGTCAGATCAGGCCAACGGCACTACCAAGTCCGAAAAGCTCTCTGCACCCGCCCAAAAGGCCGAGCCCAGATCGCCGAGATCGTGGGTACACCGCTCCAGACGCAATTGCTCTGCTAACGTACAACAGCTCCTCCAACACTATGCGCGACGATCGCAAAGCGACGCGCGAAGCCCCCCAAGTCAACTCACGCCCCCGGGCTCTTTCCACTTCACAGAAGAGCGACACTACCAGCTACAAAAGCCACATGGAAAAGTCTGACCCCTCAAACTCCACACCGCACGGCTTGCCTCCACTCCTATCACCTGTTCGAGAACCACTTGGTAATCCATACGGGCTCCCTACGATTCTTTCGCCCACCCTACCCTCCAACGTGCAAGCCGAATTGGACAGACTAGAGGTGCAACGGAAGCGCGCAGACTCGGACGCATCTATATCGTCCTCAGATATCAAGAGCGTGCCCATTGCTGTGCCGGCCGACTCATCACAAAAGTCCAGCGCATCTCTCAAGAGTGAGAATCGCGGACGCTCATTATCTGTAAACGGCAAATCGCCAAATCCCGAACCAGTCAGTCCCTCACAACAAACACATGCCAATATGATTGTGAAACTGAAATTCTCAAAGCCAAAGGCACAGGTTGTGAGCCAAATTCTACGCCTGCCTCCAAAGCGCTCAAACGCCGAGAAGAAAGAGCGTACCGATACACCAAAATCTACAGCGACAGACAGCCATCCCAAGGTTACTGATCCGCCTGTCATCAAGAAGAAGCCAGTACCCAAGATCACCGCTCGGCGGGCAGAGCCAACCACACCAGCGTCCACCTCTACTCCGACCACCAGTGCAAAGCCAACCCCGGCAAGTGCCAAGGTCGTGGAGAAACGACTGCGAACTGAGGAAGATGGTTCCTTGGCGGTACCTCCCGCTAAGCGCCCACGGGCAAGCTCAACGAATGAGCCTCCTGTCACTTCTGCACCGACCACAGCATCTCCAGCCGCTTCAGCAAAACTCTCTGCTCAGAAGAGCAATCCACTCCACCCGACACCCAAGAAGGACATCAGATCCATAAACATGCTACGCACTCAATCTTCCGAAAGCAACGAAGCAACTCCGGGACGTTCCGGCGCAACTCCCGCCGGCTCCAAGACGGAGCTCAAGGCTGGACCCACATCCGTACCCCTGAACAACAAGAAGCAAATCGACATTTCCTTGCTTGGACAGACATCGGCGAAGCTGAACCAGACAGGTCGCGCTCTGAAACATGAGGCAACCAAAATATTAAACACTGCCAGCAGCAAAAAGGACGAAAAGCGAGCTGCTGTTACTAACCTGGAGTGTATCTTGTAAGTTCATCTCTATCACCGATCTTGGCTAGACTGACTGACCAATTAGGGCATACATGGCCGCATATTTTGCTCAAGATCTGTCACTAAACCTCCGCGGTCGCGCCGGTGAAGTTGAGCAGACATGGAAGACCTTGCTACCGCTCTGTCTGTCGTATTCCAGGTGCACAAGGGACTTTCAACATCTCGACGGTCTCCGCTCCTACCTTAGCTCTGTCATCGCCGCTGCGATCTGCACCCATGTGTCACAACGCTTCAGCAGCTCCAAATCCCACGACTCGCCACAGGATATCAACCACCCAGAATCCGCTCGACAGCACATTGAAAACTTTGCCCTTCTTTCCGATCACACATTGAAGATGAATCGCCACTACCAAGAAGCAAGAATCGCTCTGCCTTTTGAGGACTTGCAAAGCATCTACAAGAAGACATATGCGGGTCGAGAAGTCAACGCCAAACTAGCACGTGAGCCAGAAAAGGTGAGCGGCGCCAAGATGTCTGGTCCCTATTTTCTCCCGCTGGGAATAGATACAACGCCCATTCAAGCTGTCCGATTTGGTCTGAAGTTCCTGCATGAGTACTGCGAGAAGGAAAGGCTCGAGTACAGTCTTAGGGTCAATCTCGACAGGCCAGAGTGAGAATAGTGGCCGCTGTATTAATCAAAGAGTATTATGGACGATTTATTACCGGAGCAATCTCCAAAGTCGCCCACCTTACAAGGACGAGCAACAAATATCCAAAATCCATGCGGGAACTCGCCAACACATCGTCTTTACTTAAACTTTGCATCTGCGTCCTCCCATCATTCCAGCGTCTATATTCCAGCTACGACGTGTAACGACCGGTTCACTCACTGGGTACCCCTGGCATCCATCCCACCACCAACATTTCCTTAATACTAGTCGGCATTCTGTTTCCAATCGCCCAACTATTGCTTCCAGCGGGATCTGGCTTCTTCTCTGGGCTTTTCGGACAAAAAGACGAGTTTACTCATCCTTTTTCTTTTCTGTCGTTTTATGCGAACTTGACAGCACATACGTACCAACCCCAATCACTCTGATACCCCCTTGTTACAAGGCGCGCGCGTTCGGATTAGACATGCTCTTCTTCCTTTTTTTTACTCACTCCACAACACACTGCATGGTTTGAAGGTGTCATCTCTCTTTATCTTTTTTTCCTTTGCTGATTTCGGATCTGGGTCTCTTTTGCTTTGTTCAGCGCAATTGTCGGCATCGAGGCAATTTCATATTTAATGAGCGTGGTGGAAACTTTCTTTTTTGATCGTTTGCTGATTTCGAGGGAGTTTTTTTGGACTCTTACTACGAGAGTGTGTAGTTGGTCATGACTTAGCGCGGCGTGCGGAGAGAACTGGGTTTTTCGGGTTCTTTTTTTTTGTCTTGATAAGGAGTCTTTGAAGATGCTATAGGGGGCGTGTATGGGACTAACGATATCCGGATATGTGGAAAAAAAGTCAAATTGAAGATTCAAGTTATTCACGCGTTAGTGTGGCTGTGGTGATGCAGTGAGAAAAAAATGCGATGTGCTGTTTGCTGTCGTCATGGTGAAAGAAGGTAAGGAGTTCAGTGCTACATTGTCGTCCTCTATACTAGCCCTATCCACTCTCACCTAACAAAACTACCGCCGCTTACACCTTCACATACCAAGCATTACAACCAGCAATCCCCAGCTATCTCGCCTGAACTCTCAATCCAATACATCGGCACACGCTACCCCTTCTTACAAGCACAACCTCACTCCCACCCGCAATCTTACTAACCCAACCCCCGATACGTACAACACACTATATCCCTCCTCCATCTTTTCTCCCCCTATACATCCTTATCCTCCTCATTTTGCACATCAAGACATTGAGCGTGTACCCCTCTTCTTCTTCTTTTTCTTCTTTCTTAATGCTTCTAATGACATTAGTGCATACAGCCCCACTAACTCACGGAATGCTGAACATGTATGCGCGGAAAAGCGGGCAGGATAGCGTGACATCGGGGTTACGTGTTTAGAAGATGGGAGGAGAGATGGGGTGAGGGTGGGTACGTTGGAAGTGGGATTGTCAGTGTACTGAGGAATGGGGGTGGAAAGAGTAGGATTGCTGTGGCAGCGGAAGAAAAAAAAAGTCAAGTTGTGGGAAGGGATGAACGGTAGAGGCTTGGGATGGATCTGAGGGAGATGTTGGATTCTTGTTTGGGTGGGATAATGAATGCACAGCGGTATACACCAATGTTTGAGTCTTATTTTTTTTTTCATTTCTAACCTAATCATAAATCATACCCGAGCTCGCAAATCGTTACAAAAGTCGTATGTGCTATAGCACCCCCTTCATATACACAAATACAATCCGAAAACACCGAAATCCCATAGTATACCTTGAAAACCCCCACACTTAGCTATGTACCCTCGTTCCTCCAACCACGCACCTCTCTCACATCACTCAAACCCTCGCCTTCTTCCCCATCAACGGCATCTGTGACCCCTCCTTAACCTGCACCCTCGGCCCCAAGAACTCGCTTACCTCGGACTGTCCCGGTAACTCACCAATCTTCTTCCACATGAGCTGCAGCTGGATATGTCCAGGCGTGATACCCATCTGCTGGGAGCCCCAGCGATACTGCCACAGCGGGAGAATCTCATGGGGATTAGGCGTGTGCTTTGCGTCGTAGAAACACGCTACGTCGCCGAAGCAGAGGAAGACGTATGAGAAGCCGTTCTATTTCTCTCAGTTAGCAAACACAACTGCGCGGGTAGGTAGGTGGTTTCGGAATGCGGAAGGCGTACGATTGTGTACAGTTGATCATAGATGTCTGCGACACGCTCACCGCAACTCCATGCTGAATCCGTCTTTCCGTAGTAACTATCCGTATTCTTTTCTTGCTTGTCGTCTTCGAAGGTGCAGTTTCCCTTTGACGTGCTGAGCGTGTAGGGGAAGTCTTCTAGGCGGGAGAAGACGCCGCATTTGTTGAAGGGGCTCTTGTCTGATATAAACTTGCCGTTGGTGTCGAGGCAGCCGACGGTTGCCTTCGGTGTTGCCGTCTGCCAGTTATCTGATTTGAGCACGTAAATGTGGCCGATGCCGCTGAAGTCTGATTGCTGGATGCCTGCGAACGCAGGTGTCGCTATGGCGGCGGCGAGAAGGAAGAGCATGGTTGGGAGATGGGTCAACATCTTGGATAAATGCTGTTGGTGGTATACAAGAGTCAAGTGACGAGTTTGAAAAGTAGGTAGTGTAGTCCAATGTCAACACTACGTCTGTTAGTCTAGAAACGGACCCAAGGTTCTTATAACCTGATCGACCGTCACACAGGTATTATTCCACTCACCCAACGTTATACCACGCACGCGGAAAACAAGGATCGAAAAAAATTCCGCCGCTTGGGCCTTCCTTCCAAGGGCAAACCAACACACCCCCTTCACTTAACACGGCTACAACAGAAAGGGATCCCTAGTGAAAGCAACAAGTCCCCACTTTCTTTGACGTTTGAAACAGCCCAAACAAGACGACTTTTGCCTGCACGATAAATTAGGTACCCCAGAAGACGCAATTTCGGGTCTCCTCCTCGTGACGGCGGGAAACCCGCTTTCCGTTTTCAGCGTATCCCAGTTCTCACTCCCCTCCCCCGCCTTTTCGCTACGTACCACACAACGTACTTTATTCGCTCACAACCAACAAAACAGTTAGAGTGCGTGACCTTGAGGTTTAATATCGGACCCGTTTTTTTTCTTGCACGGATTGTTCCGCGAACGGTAGCAACAGCACAAAAAGAAAGCGATAGGAGAAATGGGCTCAGGGCGCAAATGCCGAGGAGAGCGCGTGATATGCAAGTTGCAGTGTACTTTATGAGGTAGCGCCACGAGTGGGTAGATGGGGAAACATGGCGAATCAGTGGTAGTGGGGCAGATATTAACAAGGAAGAGAAAGGAGGGGGGAAAGGAGCCGAGTGGGCTTGGGAGAAAGAAAGAGCTCGGGTTTTTTCTGTTTTATCCTGTTTGTTGCCGGGTTTAGGGAAGATGTGTAAGTGATCTGTCAGCGGAAAGTAGGCGATGCAGAGGGATAAGCTGGGAAGACGACATCGCAATCGGGGGGCTAACGACTAGCTGGGAAATGTGGGGATGGTGGCTTGGGTGGTTACGTCGTGTCAGCCGCATGGGAACGAGGAACGTTTTTCTGTTTGTACATGTTGTGTTCTAAAACTTGAGACGTCGAGTTGAAGTCGTACAGTGATGTTAATTTTTGCTTCTGGGAAAGTGGGGGTTTGCACCATTACTACATGGTGATGTAGGAAATCGAAGAAATTATGGACATGAGGGTGTACATCAAGACTGTTAGGCAACCAGTCAGCTTTCGACATCTACAAAGGACCCTGCTACTCACATCTTGTTACTATCTACCCCAGCCATGCCCGTCTCATGTACGCATCACGACATGCACTTTGAAAGCCATCTCCACAAACCAAGCTACTACCCCCGTTGATCTCCCGTCGTGTTCCCGCCAGCCCGCCAGCCCGCCAGCCCGACCTACCGAAACCAGGCAAGCGCTTCCGAACACCGTATGTAGTACACATCTTATCTGAGAAGTCTAGAGCACTATGGGCCGTTTAGCTAGGTACGGCAGAAGCCTTGCGGACTTCATCAATGGCATTATCCCCGCTGCCATCATTGGATTCATCTGTCAATTCTACGCACAGAAAATATTACTCCAGTACCACCACTCCCTTGTCCACATTTTCGTACCGCCAAGGGGCAACTCAAACCTACCTTGGAGAATCCCGGGGGCGATAAACACATTCTTGTTCGCGCCACATTACTTCCCGACGAGACTGTGGCTATATCTCCATCCGCCGCCGTGTAACCATCACAGGTGTCAGTTACAGCGATATGTGTCGCCGCCACCGCCGCCACCACGGCCATGGTACATGTACATGAAACGCTTTTGCCAGCCAATAGGACTTCTCCCCAACACTTTCTGCTCTTCAAGGCGCTCTCAACAAGACGTCGACACGTCACCTTTTCTGCGTCTTCCGACGGAGCTGAGGAGCATGATATATGCCTATGCAAGCGGCACTGGCAGATACGAGATAAGGTACATGTGCATTCGTGTTTGCCTGGAAGGATTTGCTTGCTTTTCCGCAGATGATGCTGACGAGTGCGAAAGTTCCGAAGATATTGCTGTCTATCGTCCGCAGAGGAAGCAAAGAGAAGATGCTGTTTCCTACATACTTTGAGACGATGCTATAATTTCTATACATGGAGGCTGTCCGGCGATAAAATTGCTCCTGGTTTGTAAGAAGGTATACCAGGAAGCGCGCGAGCAGTTCTTGTCGACGACGGCATTCGAGTTGCATCCGTTGACTCCGAGTGATGGCTCCTGGATGTATGAGTACTACGCCTCTATGCTGGAGCATCCGGCGTATGAACGCCTAGTGAAATCAGCATATGTACAGATGATGAGAAAGGCACGGTTGCGCGTCGATATAGCAAGGTTTAGTTGTTATCGGCAGAGGCAACCGCGTGGGCCACGTGCCCGCATGGAGACTGTGTGTGCATATGATGAGATTCATTTGAAGACTTGTACAGAGATGCTTTGGAGGAGTTCGACGAGATTGTGTGAGATTCTAAAGATAGCTGCGCCTAATTTGATGGTCGTGGATGTGCATTGGGTTGATGACTTTCCGCATGCGGTTAGCGGGCGTGATACGGAGATGAGAGCGAGCATTTTGCGGCCATTTTCTGAACTTGATGGTGTAACTTTGCGGGCGAAAAAGCCAGTCATGGCGGGTAATGGAAGAGTGGAAGTTTTCAGATGATTAAAAGTACATTTGTGTAATCTGCATGGTAAAGAAAGGCAATGTAGGAAATTACCTTGGTAAAGTAAGGATGGAAAATAGTGATGCTTCTAAACTATACACTAGCCGAAGCAAATTGAGGGACCGAGTCCTGTCCTTGAACGACACCTAATACCCAAGCAAATGAAGCCATATACTGCCAGATTCTATGGATATAATTTTAATACCACCAGCTTCCCACAAATTTGAGTCAGTAGCCCGTAGTTTCCAACAAAATCATGGAAGAGCGGCAACTGCAACGGCCCAATAGTCCGGTAACATGTGACACTATTCGATCGCGTTCCACTCAGCTACCTGGACAATCCTTAAGGCGATAGAGGTAAAAACAATCGGATTCGTGTATTCCCAACCCATTCTATTGCGCACAATCGAGGCACGTGCCTTTGACATCGGCATACATCTGGTCGAGCTTACGAACGACTCGGGCATTCAGAGAGCCAGCCGATTTACAGTTGCACCTGAAACTTTCGCAAAATTTAGCCAGAGTCTTTGTAATAGGAGTACCAACCTGTGTCAGTCGGTCCCTGATTTTCTTGATAGACTGTTGCACGAGATGCCACATTCCTCCGGATACGAGAGTATGGAATACAGTGCCAACACGCAACTTGAGCCAGTCGCATGCGTCCTTTTCATTGACAATAGCACCGAGAGCTTCCTCCACTTGCTTCTGACATAAAATCTGGGAAGCTCCTACTTTTTCGAACAGAGTTACCGGTAGTCTTTCGTGACCTTTCATAGCAGTGGCGATGTCAGTGATAGCTAACCAATCTCGAATTATGCTTCGTGTAATTTTGTTGAACGATTGATGCAGATCGAAGAAGTGTGTAGCAAGAATCAACTTCTCGAAATCCGCATCCTCTGGGTTCTGCAAAAGGAAGGAAAGCCAAATCAAAGAATGCGTTTGGACAGCTTCTGTGCATGAGTACTTGTGGCAAACATATGCGAAATTGGCGAACTCGGTGACATTCAGCGTGTCTGGCAGCTGGAATGTTTTGAAACGAGTAATCAGGCATATCAGAAAAATCGATTTCGGATCATCACCGGGAAGTGGTACAGTATGCGGTGAACTTGTCGACAAAGCGTGGCCCGCATAGGAGCCATGGCAAAACATGATAGAAAATACGGGCGAGGCATGGCTAAGGACCACAGATGAGACCAAAACCTTGCGCATTCCCTGTCCAGGTATTCTCTCGATAAGCTCAAGGATGACGTCTCCTAAAGTAGTTATGACTTCTGGGTGTCTTCCTCCTGTAGATATGTCAGTGAATTCTGTCGGAGTATTAGGAACCGTAGATCCTGCCGGACTATCAGGATCCGTAGGTTCTGCTCGACTATCAGGACCCGTAAGGTCAAACCGTTTCCGGGATGGACATGTATCGTCGTTCTTACGCTTTTGTGGAGTATTCATGGTGCTGCCGTGGTGCTTGTAACTGATGAGTTGTGGTTGTCTAAGCTGAAATTATGTTACGAGAGAAGCATTCATATCTGTGAGGACTTGTGGACATTGTGAATGACCATGAACCATTGTAACCTTGACGATCACTTCAACTTTGATTAGACTTTACCTCAAAGTCCCCCTTTCTTGGATAATCAAAATCTGCCTATATGCGGTGTTTGTTCCATTAATCGTACCAGACTCTTTTACCATTACGCAAGGATCGTTTAGAAATGCTCTTCAGGTTGTTGCATTATATAGAGATGATGGTGTTTCGGTTTTGGAGTCGGCGGAAAACAGGTGGCCTAGAGTGCAGAGTAGAGGCCATGTGGTCGATTTTGCGCAGTTCAGGCGCATGAAAGGGGTCAGTCATTCTTGAAAAATTAACAGACACGGAGCATGCTGAGGACGCTTAGTGATGAGCTCTTCATGAAGATCGGTGCAGATTGTGAATGGCTGGCACGAGAGAATGCCCGAACCATGTGTCCACAATGGACATTGTGAAGCGATTGGCCACTTTGCGAGTGAGTGCCATTCGACTCGAGGAAGATACGAAACGCCACACAAACGAAGACAAGACCGAAGGATGAGGTGTGGGAGAGGCAAGAATTTCCATTCCAGCCCAAGAACAGGACATGTGCACCTTCTAATGCTCCTGTAAGCTGAGGACTAGCAAGGCGCGGGATCAGTCTACTGGATCGGGAGAAGCAATGCGTAGCGTCAACTGGCGATGTGGATTTAGCACGAATTGCCGCTTGCTGGAACAATGGAGGGGCAGGCAAAGTGGTGTCGGCGCCGCGTTTCGGCCGAAAGATAAGAAGCATCTCCGGGCCCTGAGCACCGAAACTCGGAGGGAACGAGGTGAACACCGACCGTCGTCCTACTTTGCTGCGAGCTTCGTTCGGCTTTTGGCGGCGACAACTCGCAGCCGCAGAAAGGCGAGACTCGACCGCGAGGGGCAGCCCCATTTGCGTCTGCGGCGGGACGGCATTTGGGGTTTCGGTCGTCTGGATCGGCTTGGCCGCGACAAGACACTCGATATGGAGTTGGGTGTGCCAGCACTGCGCCTATTACATACATACACCCCACTACGTGTCGTGTCCACGGAGCTCAGGATAGTCACCCGTGGCGCCAGTCACGGTGGCCATAGTATACTGAACACACTTGTTTCTCTTGTATACACGCAGACAACAGTACCCAGCTCGATGACCAGGGGGCAAGACTACTACTGTGTATGCAGCAAAACACACAGCTTACTTGCATTGGAGCCCCGCAGCCCCTCGATCAAGGCTTTGGAGGCTGACGAGATGGAGCACTAGCGTACGCGCGTGTAAGATCCCTCAGGCCCAAGACGAGGCTCGATTTACGCACCTCCACATGCGTGCCATCGCGGTCGGGCAGCTGCTCCGGCAACGGAGCAATTGTATTGGCCCACTTGGTCTCATCGACTACTGTGTACGCTACCCGTCTCTCGCGAGAGACTTCACGATTCCAGAATAGGGAATCGACTGCTAGTGCCCGGCCCTGGCGCATCTTCGACCTGGTTCGCGCCATTGGATGCGACCCCGCACCAGGTGCAATGCGAAGTAATTCCCAAACACGACCGTCGTACCCGCAGGCGCCGCTCTTGGCCCAACCTGTCTTTGCACGTACCGTGTCGCATTGAACCAAGTGGGGGAAAGGGCCAGCTGAGTTTACACTCGGGGCCCACGACCCAAAGAGCGAAGCCAACGACACGCGTGGTGGGGACGAGCGGAGGATATATAATGAGCCCCCTCACGACCCCTCAATTGCTTCTTCATCACATCAACCTCGTTTTGTACATAGATCTCACGATCAATTGTCTTCCATATTGCCAGAGACGTCACTTCGGTCCGCAAGAGGTATTGCGACCCACGCACCCCCTCTTTTGTCCTGCTCCTTGCTTGTAGCAGAACCGCATACGGCTTACTGATCTTGCGTCAGGAACACGTACCTTGACCTGTCCCCCGTAGGATTTTACTATATATCTTCACTTGGGATCCTCGAGTCTTTGCATCTCACAAGCTCAACAACTCAAAATGGTATTTGCCCGTGCTGCCTCGCGCCTTGCCCGCCCTGCCTCGTCCCTCCTCAGCGCTCGCGCCGGACCCCGATTGACTTCGTCGCTGCGACAACCCAATGCTTTCAGAACGCTGACCGCGACCGCTTCGCAACAGGGAAAAGTTCTTCTTGTCCTTTACGATGTAAGTTTTGCCAATTGGAACCCCTTTTGGTGCTGTAGTCTAACAGTGACGGTAGGGTGGCATCCACGCCGAGCAGGAGCCCCAGCTTCTCGGTACCACTGAGAACGAGCTCGGTATCAGGAAATGGATCGAGGAGCAAGGCCACGAGCTGGTAACCACATCCAACAAGGAGGGCGAGGACTCTGAGTTCGACAAGCACCTTGTTGATGCTGAAGTTATCATCACCACTCCGTACGTCAGAGCTACCCCGCAGTGCCCACTAGGGCGGCCCCACCAGCACGCGTCAAGCTCGCTGTCGGCATGCACTAGTAATGCAAACACCATGATGTAAGGGAACGTTTCGGCTAATTGCTCGGGGATCAACAGTTTCCACCCCGGTTACCTTACCGCAGAGCGTCTCGCCAAGGCCAAGAACCTGAAGCTTGCCGTTACTGCTGGTATCGGATCTGACCACGTCGACCTCAACGCTGCGAACAAGACAAATGGCGGTATCACAGTCGCCGAGGTTACTGGCTCCAACGTCGTCTCTGTCGCTGAGCACGTCGTTATGACCATCCTGACTCTCGTCCGCAACTTTGTCCCCGCCCACGAGCAGATTGCCAAGGGTGAATGGAACGTTGCTGAGGTCGCTAAGAACGAGTACGACCTCGAGGGCAAGGTTGTAGGAACCGTTGCTGTCGGACGTATCGGAGAGCGTGTGCTCCGCCGTCTCAAGCCTTTCGACTGCAAGGAGCTGCTGTACTTTGACTACCAGCCTCTGTCTGCGGAGAAGGAGAAGGAGATTGGCTGCCGCCGTGTTGAGAACCTCGAGGAGATGCTTGCTCAGTGCGACGTTGTCACCATCAACTGCCCACTGCACGAGAAGACACGGGGTCTGTTCAACAAGGAGCTCATTTCCAAGATGAAGAAGGGCTCATGGCTGGTCAACACTGCCCGTGGTGCCATTGTTGTCAAGGAGGATGTCGCACAGGCTCTCAAGGACGGCCACCTCCGTGGATACGGTGGTGATGTCTGGTTCCCTCAGCCCGCTCCCAAGGACCACCCACTCCGCTATGCCACCAACCCATGGGGCGGTGGCAACGCCATGGTTCCCCACATGTCCGGTACCTCCATCGACGCACAAAAGGTAAGATCGAAATCGAGAGAGAGAGAGAGAGTTGCAGCAAGGATGATACTGATTATAACTGCAGCGCTACGCCGACGGCACCAAGGCCATCCTGGACGAGTACTTCTCCGGCCGCCACAACTACCGGCCCGAGGATCTTATTGTGCACAAGGGCGACTACGCGACCAAGGCGTACGGCCAGCGCAAGTAAACGGGCCACATTGGCATGTTTGGCAGGCTAGCGACCATTTTGAGCGATTTGGGACGAATTTCCTTTTAGTTATCAGGGCGCTGGATGCAATCACCCGCCCACCCATGTATATGAATATATTCACTGAAAGTCTATGCATGTTTCCTGATGAGTGATGTCTAAAAGTGTGTGTATGGTTTGTGCAAAGTTGGCTTTTCTCAGCCTTGAAAATGGCAAGGGTTGGTGTTTGTGTTTGCTAGGAAATGGTATGAGGCCAAGGAAAAGAATCAGATTATAGGTAAATGCAAGGTGAAGAAGGGGTCTTTTGTGAGATGGACAGTGGAAGCAGTGGTGTCATGGGTGCCGTGAGCGAGAAGGGCGGGTGTCGTCATCGCTCTCATCCTCGCTGTCGTCCTTGAAGCCTTCTTCGAGGTCCCTGCCAAGACGAATCTCGTCGTCCATCATGCTTCTGCGCTGCTCGAGGGCCTCTCTCCTCCTCTCGTCAATCGGGTCAAAGCCGACCATGCCCTCGCCCTCTTCGTCGTCAAAGAGCTCATCATCGTTCTGGCTGTTTCCGTGGATGACGCCGCGCTGTCTCACCCAGGCCGAAGGAGCAAACAGGCCATAGAGGGCGTCTGAGAGTTTTGTGCGCCAAGAGGTTGGGAAGTCGGTGACGCCTGGGGTAACAGGCAGGTACTGGCTGTAGCGGCTGCGGTGGCGGCGCACAAAGGGCAGGATGATAAGGGCGAGCAGGACATAGAGGATGGCGGCGAGGAAGAGCGGCACGAGAATGGTCTTTCAGGGAGGTGGTTTTGTCAGCCATGTCACGTCTATATATTTATGTACGGTGTTTGTATGTGGCGTGTACAGACCAACTCACTTTTAAGAAATGCGTCGAGCCCGTCATGACTGCGGATGCATGTATGTATTGTATGTAGAGGTCTAGTGAGCGAAGACGTGGGCGACGCGGGACTGCGACTGTCTAGGCCGGCCACGGATCTAGATCGCTGAGACACGAGGGGCCAGAGACGTCAGAGAGGTGTGACAGGCGACAGGCGGTTATGCAGGCGGCGGTGGTGGTGGTGGGTGCCTGCTGCGCCACAGCTCACTTTGGACCCGCGCAACGGACAAACGCGTTCTGGGCTTTTTGGGGGGTAGGATGAAAGAATGAAGGTTTGCGGATGGGATGGCCGGGAATGGCTTGGAGCGGCCATGCGTAGGGGCCTAGGGGGCTCCCTACTTACTTTACTGTGCCTGCAAACTACGGGCTATGGCGCCACGCCCACACGGACATTGCGCACGTCTCAGGAGAACGTCGGGGCCAGGGCGGGCGGGCCTCAGGCCATGGCACTCGCGCACATACACGGACGAGACAGTTGCGGAGCGGCCCTCGGTGCGCTGTAACGAGGAGTGCGTTTTGGCCGAGGGTGGAGTGTATGGATCTTGTTCTAGTATGTCTGTATACTTACTTGTATACTTACATATATACATACATACACACGTGTGGCATCATAGACCAAGCGCCCGTCCTGGGACTACCATCCATCCACATATACGTAACTACCGTAGTAGCAATACTACGACATACGCCCATACTATTTGTCTACCCACCCCGGCCCAGTTGGGCGTTGTGGCGCGCTTCTCTCTTCAGGAGGAGGCGCTAGTACTCGGCAACTTCCCGCGACTGACCTGCAGCCGCATTGCCCACCACAGAGCCCCCCTCCCCCCCTCCCCTCAAAGGGATTCCCTATTACTTCAACGCCCCAAAAGCAAAAGCCCCGCACCCTCGCTGGACTCGTACACTGAACCGCAGTCACGGCCTGCCATCGCTTGCCCCGTGCCGCCAGAGTTCGCGAGTGGCGGTAGTGCACCTGCACTGAGGGGAACGGAGCACTCGTCGGGCGGCGCGCTCCAGGTCGGCTGCATTGGGCACAGAATCTCGCTATAGGGATGGATGGCAAGGGTCGGCAATCTTCCGCCGGCAAGTTCTTCGGGCGCCGTCTGCACAAGGACAAGGAGAAGGGCGGCAGCGATTCAAAGCATACTGCCTCGTCTTCGATCGACAGCCCCCCGGGCAGTTCATACGGCTCCCAGTCGTCCCGCCACTCGCAAAGACATTCCATCGGCGGCGCGTCCATAGACCAGAGGCCCGTGTCCATGACCGCTGAGGGCATCTTTGCGCGAGCAGGCCCCGTATCATCCATTGACTCGCCCCGAGACGACAACTTCAAGTCGGGCGAACCGCTGCCACATCACCTGAACAAGGGCGGCAGCGACTTCCACCAGTACCCCGTCTTCACGGGCAACAACATGCCTCCCAACGGCTACTCCAACCAGGGCCCGCCTAGGCCCCCGCCGCACTCGTCGCACACCACCATTGCCTCGAGCAACCCGGGCGACCGTGGTGTCTCGATGCAGCAATGGGGCACTCGCGGCAGCAGCAGAGATGGCTCCTATCCCCAGTACCCCCCAAACGACGCCAGCTTCTCGCGCACCTCGTCCGACCAAGCCAGCGTCTACAGCAACGACTCCAGGTCGCGTGCTAGCAACACCTTCTACCCCCAAAACTCTTCGCAGTCGACATTTTCGTCCGTAGGCCTCGACCCTGGCAGCCTCCTGCCCACCGCCGCACCAGCCTCCCGCGACTCGCACCGTCACTTGCTGCACTACAATGTCTCGTCCCCGACGGCCTCGACGGCTTCCTTTCCCCAAAATACCCTCAGCATACAACGGCCCCCCGACCATATTGTCGAGAAGGAGTTTATGAACCTCATGGTCAAGCGAGGATGGAAGAGTTTACCCGAACAGGCGCGGCGGCAGATGGAGGCATACAAGATTGACAAGAAGTGGACACTTGTGTACCAGGACAAGCTTGCTGAATTCAAGCATGAAGAGAAGAAGCGCCAGACCCAGCGGATAACATATGGAGGCGGCGGCGGTGGCGGAGGAGGCATGGTTGGGAATCAAGACATTTTGATACGAGCCGAAGAAGAAGGATCCCCCGAGTGGTATGTCAAGAAGGTCATGGACAACTCGATAACGATCAAGCAAATGTCAAGTTTGGAGATTAGCTTGAGAACCCAGCCAATTGCCTGGGTCAGGGGCTTCATCGAAGCCCAAGGTCAAATCGCCCTCACGAATGTCCTGGCCAAAATCAACCGCAGAAAAGGCACAGGGCCTCAACCCCCTCCTAGCGTCATTGCACAAAAAGCAGAGAATGACGTGGAACGCGAATACGAAATTATCAAGTGCCTGAAGGCGCTGATGAACAACAAATATGGCGCCGACAACGCCTTGAACCACCCGTCAATCATACAGGCGCTGTGTGGTTCTTTAATATCATCACGACTGAATACACGAAAACTCGTCTCGGATGTCTTGACTTTCTTGTGCCACTGGGGCAATGGAAGCGGACACGAAAAAGTGCTACAAGCACTCGACAACCTCAAATCACAATATGGTGAAAACAGCCGCTTCGACGCATGGATGCGTATCGTCGAGGTCACAGTTGATGGCCGTGGAAAGATGGGATCCATGGTCGGCGCATCAGACGAAGTCCGCAGTGGAGGAATTGGCGTAGAGAACCTCCTCATGGAATACGCCATCGCAACCCTCTTCCTCATCAACATGATTGTCGATGCGCCAGAGCGTGATCTCCAGCTTAGGATGCACGTGCGAGCTCAGTTCACAGCATGTGGCATCAAGCGCATCTTTAACAAGATGGAGGGCTTCCAGTACGACGTCATTGACAAACAAATCGAGCACTATCTCGAGAATGAAGCAGTCGACTATGAAGATTTCCTTCAAAAGGAGAACAGCTCCATGATGGACAATGTCGAGGGCGAAACCAAGGATCTGAATGACCCTCTACAAATCACGGACGCCATTATGAGCAAGATTAGTGGAACCAGGGCACAGGATTACTTCACGTCGGCTATGCAACACCTGTTGCTGATGCGGGATACAGAGAGCGAAGACCGGTTACGCATGTTCCAATTGGTAGATCAAATGCTCAGTTATGTGGCTATGGACCGCAGACTGCCAGACATGGATCTGAAGCAAAGTCTGAACTTTACTGTTCAGTCTTTGCTTGACAAGCTGTATACCGACTCTGAAGCCCGCCAAGTACGCGATGAGGCTGTCGAAGCACGCCAGATTGCAGACTCGGCCATTGCGGAGCGCGATGAGATGAAAGCGCAGCTCGAGTTGGGTGCTGACGGCTTGGTGTCGAAGCTCCAGAAACAACTGTCAGAGCAAGAGCGCATCATTGAGCTCCGTGGCAGACAGGTCGAGTCGATGAAGGCGGATCTTGCCGAGATGCAGAGGATACGAGCACAAGAGCTGCAACGAAACGAGCTGGAGACGCGTGAACTGTACCTGATGCTTAGAGACGCCCAGGATGTTGCAGCGTCAGCAGCGAAGAAATCTGGCAAAGATGGCCTCGGTGCTACGGACCCTACTCAAATGCAGGGTATCATGGATCGTGAACGCCTCATGAACAGATTGGAGATTCAACTGCAGAGAGCCAGGACCCAAGCCACTCTGGAAGGCAGGACTTTGAACTTGCAGCCGAGTGAGAAGCTCAGGGAGTTGCGAGAAAAGATGGAGGGTGATGTCCCAGTCATGTCCGAACAAGGCTATGGAGGTCTTCAACCGACCTCATTCGGGTCAGTACGTGCCAAGAGTGGAGTACCACGCAGGAAACCCCTCCCTGGTCTTCCCGGTCAGAATGGCGAGGATGCTGAGTTCTCTGAGATGGATGATGACGATGTTGTTATTGAGAAGCCCCGTCTTATCCAAATGCACAAGCCCAAGCTCAGCGCGTCCACAGCTAATGCTCTTATGGCCGATATTACCTCCAACGTCAAACGATACGACGAATCTGATACTGAAGACAATGGCGATGGCGTTACTACCGGACCATCCCACCCAAGCCTTGACTCCGACTCACCAAAGACACCAGCCGATGGTGATGCATCGAAAGCTGCTGGAGCTCCGCCTCCACCTCCACCACCTCCACCACCTGGTGCTCTTGGATTCCCTACCAACATACCCGTACCACCCCCTATGCCTGGCACTACGGGAGCTCCTCCGCCTCCTCCACCACCGCCGCCACCGCCTCCGGGCAAACTTGGTTTCAAAGCGGGCATTCCTCCACCACCTCCTATGCCGGGTGGTGGCATGCCGCCACCGCCGCCACCTCCACCAATGCCAGGTGCCAAGATGCCTGGTTTCCTTCCCAAAGCGCCTGGCTTTGGTGCCGCCCAACAGTTTGCCCTTTCCGGACCCCGGCCTAAGAAGAAGCTCAAGGCTCTTCATTGGGACAAGGTCGACCAACCCACCACAACGGTGTGGGCCACGCGTGGCCTTACTTCAGAAGAGAAGGAAGAAAAATATCAAGAACTTGCGAAAAAGGGTGTCTTGGAGGAGGTCGAGAAACTGTTCTTGGCCAAGGAGATCAAGGCGATTGGCAAGAAAGGTGGCAAGAAGGACGAAAAGAAGCAGATTATTTCCCGCGACCTCATGCAAAACTTCCAAATCAGCATGGCCAAGTTCTCGTCTTATGGTGTTGAGGAAATTGTACGCATGATTATCCACTGCGACAGTAAGATTTTGGACGACCCCGTTACCATGGATTTCTTGCAGAAGAACGACTTGTGCGATATTCCTGACAACACTGCCAAACTCATGGCTCCTTACTCCAAGGACTGGACCGGACCTAATGCTCACGACAGTAAACGTGAGCAAGATCCAAACGAACTAACCAGAGAAGATCAAATTTATCTTTACACGGCTTACGAGCTCCATCATTACTGGAAAAGTAGGATGAGGGCGCTTACGCTCACTCGTACGTTTGAAATCGAGTACGAAGAAATATCCAACAAGCTTCTGGAGATCTCGCGCGTGTCAGAGAGCTTGAGAGATTCGTCTAGTTTGATCAGCGTCCTGGGTCTTATTCTCGATATTGGTAACTTCATGAACGATGCCAACAAGCAAGCTAGCGGTTTCAAGCTGTCCACTCTCGGTCGATTGGGTATGCTCAAGGACGACAAGAACGAGTCTACGTTTGCCGATGTCGTTGAGAGAATTGTGCGCAACCAATATTCTGGATGGGAAGGTTTCACCGACGAGATCAGCGGTGTCGTGACGGCGCAAAAGATTAACGTTGAGCAACTACAAAACGACGCCAGGAAGTACATTGACAATGTCAAGAACGTCCAAATGTCGCTCGACTCTGGTAACCTTTCGGACCCCACAAAGTTCCATCCTGAAGACAAGGTATCGATTGTTGTGCAGAGACACATGAAGGAGGCTAGAAGGAAGGCAGAGCAATTGCAGGTCTTCCTTGAGGATATGCAAAAGAGCTACGACGACATTATGGCGTTCTATGGAGAAGACCCGAGTGACGATAGTGCGAGAAGAGATTTCTTTGCGAAGCTGGCCAACTTTGTCCAAGAGTGGAAGGTAAGTCAACTTGATCTATACTTTCCCATTACGGGTGTATTGCGTTTGTCTGGTTGCTAACTCGCTTCAGAAATCCAAAGACAAGAACATCCAACTCGAGGAACAACACCGCCGCAATGAAATTTCTATGCGCCGCAAGCAAGCTCAAAACTCCAACCCTCTCTCTCCCAACGCACTGTCCGACTCGGACGCGCCCAAATCCCCCGCCTCCACAGGCGCCATGGACGATTTGCTCCAGAAGTTGCGTGCCGCGAAACCAGAAGCAAGAGATCAACGCGATCGCCGTCGTCGTGCCCGCTTAAAGGACAAACACCAAGTCCGCGTGGCTAGTGGCCAAAAGATGCCAGAAATTGGCGTCAACGTAGAGGACGACAAAGAAAAATCTCAAGAAGCAGACGAAAAGAGCAAGCTCCTCAGCCCCACGAGCGATACTGCCGAAAGCGATGCCAGCTCTAGCGGCGGCATCGCAGCCATTGCCTCAGATGCCGCAGAAGCAGACATTGCCGACCGCGCCGCCGCCATGCTCGAGGGCCTCCAATCCGGCGCCTCCATCAACAAAGACGGCTCGCTATCTGTGCGCCGGCGCAGAGAAAGCGCAGACACCGAACGCCAACGGCGAAGGAACCGCCGCCAACAAGCTGCCTCTGCCAAAACCGAGGATGGCCTACTAAGTCCCTCCGCTATACCTGAAGAAGGCGGCGACAACGGTGGTGCTAGTAACGCTAGTATAGACGGTGCCACCGCTACTACTACTACCGAAGACGCAGACCTCGATGCAGAGAACCCACCTACCACCCCTGTTACGGTTGTTCATCCCCCGAGTCCAGAGCTCAAGGGTAGGGACTTGCCTACGCCGCCGCCTGAGTAATTTGAGAGCTTGTTACATCTTTTTTGTAATTTTTCTTAAGGAAGGGCTTGGCAAGGGATTCTTCTGGGTATTTAAAGGATAAGGGTGTAGATGATGGGGAGGTGGTTGCCTGTATAGGAAGGGAGAAGAGAGAGGGGTGCGCAGCGTAATGTGTTGTTTTTTCTTGTGAGTTGCAGCAGTTGATCAGGTACCTTTATCGATCTACTAGCAAGACCTTGTTTTGTTGAGCTGTTGTCGTGTGATGGACTATCCTTTGTTTTGTTTTTTTTCCTCTTCTTCATTGTATTGTTCGTTCTCCTTTGCACACCCGATTATTATTTTTGTACCCCTTCTTTTTGCAGATTTTTCTTTACGCCATCATTCTTGGAAAAATCTTTGGATACCCGTCATTCCCCCACTTTTTTCCCCGTCCCCACGCTTCTTTTTTTTTCTTGTTATACTTTAGTTAATTCAAGATGTTTGGTTGCTTGCATGGTATCGGTCTGGCAAGGTGCATGTGTGTTGCGGGTTGGGATAGGATGGTAGGATAGGATAAGGAAAGAAAGGGATTAATATGGGGGCAGGAGGAGTAGGTAGGCATGTATGTATGTGTATGGAATGGATAGGGTAATTTTTTTTTGACTTTTTGGGGTATATAACTTTTCCCGATTTTGTTTGTTTAGAATGTTGTGCTTGAAAGTAGGGTGCATTGTAGTGCGTTATGGTTGCGTTTGGACTGTGCGGGTGAAAAGGGACATGGGAAATTGGGAATGCGGGTACCGGGCATGCATGGAGTGGGTTACCGAGAGAGTTAGTCGCATTTGCATGGTGCCATTTTTGTTGTCTTTCTTTTTCGAATTCGTAGAGTGTGGAGGTGGGGAGATAGAGTAGAGACTGACAATGTAAGAAGTCTATCAATCTTCTTGTGTGTGTGTATTGGTCATCTCTGAGACTTGGAACTTCTGATGTATAGATGGGAGTATGGGTAAATGGCAGTGACCTTTTTTTTCGGGAAGAACAGTTTACAGTTGATACTCTAGTCCTCAGTTGAGTTGTTACAACTGGCTTATAGGGGGTGGGTGAAGTGTCATGTTAGTCACTGAACTATCAATAATCTCAATCTAGGAATCTTCTCAGATCAAATACTGATTTTTTTCCTAATCCTGTAACACCTTACAAATACAATTCCCTTCCATCTTCCAAACACAATGGTATCATAAAACACAAATCGTGAAATAGAAACATACAATATAACAACGACAAAAGAAAAAGCCGAAATATACACAAAAATATCGTAACACATGTTCAAGATCGGCCTTCCACTCAATCCCCCCTTTACACCACCTACCACGTAAACCTCCCCGAAACCCTCCTCTCCTTAACCTCCCTCTTCGCCGCACTACTCTTCGGCAACGCACTTGTACAATCAATCATATTCCGATTCGTCACACCCATCATCCCCATCTTAACCATAGCCACAACAAACGCATCATCCCACGCCTTCTTACTAACCCCAAACCGCGCAAAAGCCAGCGCAGTCGCCGGGTTCCTCGCAATATTTCTGTCGGCTGGGAGGATGAAGGGTGCATTTCCACGCAGAGTCTCGGTGTAGTATTTGATGTCCCAGACGCCTGGGGTGGAGTCGAGAGCGGCGCCGGCTTGGGAGGGGTCGACGAATTGTTGTTTGGCGGTTGAGTGGGCGCCGAGGAGGGCGGCGAGATCGACGGGGCTAAAACCTTTGGATGCTGTTGTGTATATTGTTAGAAAGAGGGGTTTCTCTCAAGGAATATTGTTTGGAGGGAACTTACAGAATAATCTGACGACATCGTTTCCTCTGGCATCGCCTCGTGGTAGTATTCTCCAGTCGTTTTCGCGGCTAGAATCTTGTCGCCCGATTCGGATGGGGACGACGGGTCCTTCAGGACATGTCTTGACGGCGTGTGCGGCGGCGAACTGGATGAGATCTCCGACGCCGACGTTGGTTTGCGAGGCTACACCTGCGAGGTTGCTGCAGAAGCGCTGGAGGCCGCGGCTGGGGGCTTGTGCACACTCGTTGGCTAGGATGAGAGAGCCATCACAAGCTCCTGGGAAGCAGTCGTGGAAAGCAGCTCGGATGGCGGCCCGAGCAGCATCTGTGCATTCGCCGTTTGCGGAGAATTGTTGGGTAAGAGTGGCGGATATTTGGGTCCAGATGGCAGGGCATTCGCTTGTATCTTGTTTGTTGCCGCCGCCGAAGATGCTGCTGAGTAGGCCGAAGACGTTGATGAACTGTCGTTTCTGTACTGGAGCTGGATCTGCCACTATCCACTTCTCATCTTCGCCGAATGTGTCGTTGTTGTAGGCTTGGACTGTGCTGGCAGCCGCTAGGCCAGAGACCAGAATATTGCGAATATACATTAGGTATGGAAGGTAAAAACCACGATTGTGACCAAAAGACTATTCTGGGATAGGAGTTGAAATGACTGGAAGAAGCTGTAAAGCAAAGTAATGAAAGAGTGTGATAGTATTGATTCCAAATACAAAGATGTCTGAGGCTCATCTACTTATACCTAGCGATATCTTTCGGACGGCAGAGGGACAGTACTCACGATTAATGTTCATCCATGACATGGCACGAGCAGATCTGCATCCGAACCCTGAAGCTTGAGGGTAAGCTTTAGAGAAAATTCTGAAATAGAAACAGATCTGACGGGCCGCTAGTCAGGTGATGAGAATGACCCGCTGTTGTTTTGAAGAACCGTTACCCACTAACATGTTTCCAATATGGTAACGCATGCTTGCAGTTCAGCAAAGGGTAGCCGAAGTGCAGATCGTCTTTGGACATGCAGCGTGATTACAACAACCTACCTCATAAGACGAGATGAGCATGTTTGGGAGCTTGGGTTAGCAACGTCTTACTCGCCAACATCTCATGGCGGTTGTGTTGTGCATCTCTGCCGTCAGCCTAGAACATACGTAATGCGCTACCGGGAAGCACCATTCCAGAAGCATTTGACACCGTTTTACAAGAGGGAAAAAATTCCAATGGTAACACCTTTTTAGGAATCCAGGAGACCATGTACTGCCTGATTAGAGGTGAACCCTTTTCGTGTCGAAACAATAAGTTACTAAAGAAAGGCGTTGGGATGATGTCTATTGTTTCAGGATAGATTTAGACTAGCGAGCGCTACGGAGCAGATCATCATCGGCAATAAACGAGGATCGTCGCGACCCTGGGGGTTGGGCCATAGAAGCCATAAGTTTGAGGCATTAGGGATTAAGATTGACCTTCACCAGACGGGAACTAGTATACCTAGGTTGTTTATCGTGGGCTTGTCAGCGACGTATTCAAACATCTAGACCAATCTTCTTCATCAGGTGCTTTCCCAATAAAATAGGAAAGTAAGGTGCTATTATGGAAAAAGAACACCGGTGTTGAATTCGGGGAAAGCGGCACAGGGACTCGAGTGGGTGTTGTGTTGGAAACGCGAAGTGGATGCCTCGAGGAAGATAGTCAAAACGGTAGTCCCCTAGCGAGAACCTTATTGCCGAATTGCGCCCTTGCAATTAGTTCTCGCCCCACTAGTACCGCTTCCTCGATGATGGTCTCCCGTACAAGCATTTGGACCGCGCCGGGTGCCGCAAGGCTTGGTGAACTGGCAGTATCCGTGTTCGCTGCTGAGGAGATGTGGCAGACACACCAACCATTAACCTCAAGCGCATGTTCACGCCAGTGGCGAAATGTGATATTTCCAGAGACCAGCAGTAAGAAAGAAGACCTTACTGGCGTGAACTGTCTTATTTGCATACTCGCCAGGCGAGACCCTCGCTTCAAGCTCATGCAACGCGAAACCGACATGCACGCACCGCCGCTCTACCACCCCAAAGAACACCACCACCTCTCAGTGGTTGAACTATAGTCATTCAAGGTCTTTCATGTCACGTTGCGAAAACGCGCCGCCAGTCATTGAGGTGTGGTGATACTTACGTAGTCGCAAAGCCATTGGAGTCAAATTTAGCTCCAGTTGTTATATTCGTGAATACCACGGTGATGAATGCGATAACGTTAGTGCTTACGCTTGGTGCAGTTGACAGGACGTGTCAAGATTCGTGATGTTTGTAGCAGATGTGACATGATGTAGTAGGTGATTGTGGATAAAGAGAGCACCTGGTACGTGGTTGGGAGCGATTTGGGGCAATACTAGGGGAGTGTGGCCTCCAAAGCGAGGTTGTAGATACACAACGATGCTGTGATAGTGTTAAACCCAATTCTTTAGTCATAAAAATAGCATGTGTGTTAGTCGGGTAGATCGATGTCGAGTACTTGGACAGAGATTGAATGTGCGCGGCCGAACTCAACTAACTATATTCCAGGTGACGACTAAATTGTGACAAATTTTCGTACCCCACGCTAAGTGGCACGTGAACGACCATCATTGTGGACCGTGAGATGACTAGATATGTGACAGTGGAGTTGATGTTTCACGAAAACAGCTTCGTACTACTGAGGCGTGTATGCATCGCTGAAGTATTTCATAAGTTGAAAGAAGGTAGTTATCTTTGATCTATTCTAAGAGTATGCTCTTTATCCGTTAGCTGTGTTCAGTTCTTTCCATTACAATTGCTCAGATTCGCAAATTGATGTCTTCAAAACGGTCAACATGTACATACCAATATCAGCAGTTTAGCGATGGGCCTAAAGAAGCTGATGTCAATTACCTCAAATAGTAAGTACGCATTTTCAATTAGTCCGATTGGACCGGAACACTCCCCATTCGCATATCATACATATGCACGCCAAGAATGTTGGGGTAGAAGCAGGAAGCTCGAAAATATGTACCTGGAGAACTGGCCCAAGCTGCGGCTGCACTGTGACGTCATGTTCTCAACCATGTCCTATCTCTTACCTCAGAGCAGTAAACGATTTGCAGCCTCTTTGCTAGAAAAGGCAGAATCCTGCGATGAACAAGAATTTAAGAGCTTGGAAGCATGAAGAGAATCTGCAAAAACGTTTGATGGGACCTTGAAGATGACCAATGCGCGTTCGTCTTATGCACAAGGGTAAGAAGATTAACTTTCATCCGTCATTATCGGTAGTTAAGCTTGAAGAGAAGAAAAAAAATTGAGTAGACTCAACTTCACAGAAGAAATGATGCTACACATATCTAAATATCTGAATTTTAAATCAAACTGATATGCATGTTTCCCAACTAACAACACAACCATGCATATCTACGTCCCAGCATACCCCACAGCATAGACATCCAAAGCAATACCCACCCCAAGCTTCGCCCCGCATAACGACCCGCTTTCCATTCGGCCCGTACTACACTCACCTTAAACCTCAAGATATAAAAAAAATACCATCCTGTACAACCACCCTCACCCCACCCAACCATCCACCATGCTCCTCCACCTCCGCAAAGCCCTCCCACCCCTGCTCCTCCTCTTCCACCCAGCCACCCAACAGCAACTCCCAACACCCCAACCCACCTATCCCGAATGCCTCTCCAACACCACCTCCCTCCTCCCCCCTCAAACCTGGGACTCCCACATGCACATCCTCGACCCAATCCGCTTCCCCTACGACCCCAGCGCCCCCTACAACACAAGCGTACACTCCCTCTGGTCTGCCCTAACCTTCGAAACCCGCCTCGGAATCTCCAACGTCGTCATCGTCCAACCCTCTCTCTACGCAAACAACAACACCTTCCTGCTCACCCAGCTGCGCGCCATTGGCCCGGAGAACGCGCGCGGAGTCGTCCAGTTTGCACCGGATATCGCGCGCAGTGTGCTGGATGAGTGGCATAGACTCGGGGTGCGGGGTGTACGGTTGAATCTGCTGGATAGGGCGAAGGGGATGAGTGATAGCGTGCTTGCGGGGTTGGTGCAGCAGTATGCGGATGTGGTGAGGTCGTTGGGATGGGTGCTGCAGATTTATATTTCTATGGACAGGATTGCGGATATTGAGGAGACGTTAAGCGGATTGAATGTTACGCTGTGTTTCGATCATTTTGGACACCCTGAGTTGCCGGCGTTGGAGGAGGGGGAGGAAAAGGGATTTGATGTTTATTCGGTTCCTGGGTTTGCGGCTTTGGTAAGGTTGATTGGGGAGGAGAGGACGTGGGTTAAGTTTTCTGGTGCGTATCGGGTTGATGGGAAGATGGTTGCGCTGAATAGTGTGGCGAAGGAGATACTGAAGGTTAGGACGGATAGGATAGTGTTTGCGACGGATTGGCCGCATACGAGGTTTGAGGACTATGATGTTCGGCCGTTTGTGGAGAGGTGTCTTGAATGGGCGCAGGAGTTCAACTGTGTGGAGCAGATGTTTAGTGGGAATGCGAAGACGCTGTGGGATGTCAAGGGTTGATTGTGTAAGAGATGGATCTGTAGGCTGAGTACGATTGGGCGTCACCCTGAGTTCTTGAGATTTTGTAGCCGACTGGCTGTAAGTCTTATTCTACCAGTAGACACCTAGAAACTCTTGAACTAGACTCATCAAAGGTAGCAGTCATCCACCGGACTATATGCTAACAACATCCAAACGCCGTCGCCATGCATATCTGCATATCATGCCAGGTATCCAAATTAATGCCTAATGAACAACGCCAATTCCAAACTTCAATCAAACACCGTGTTCCTCATTTCCCACCAAATATCCTCTTAATATCTGCAAACTTGACTGGCTTAACAAGGTACATATCCACACCCGCCTCTTGAGCATCCATCTGATCCTGTGCACTCGCTAATCCTGTGAGCGCTACAATATGGCTCTTGGGTAATCCCATCTTCGCCTCATATTGGCGAATTTGCCTCGTACTCGTCAGACCATCCATGACCGGCATGCTTAGGTCCATGAGTATAAATTCAAATGGTCTGCTTGGTGAGCCTGTAGACTTAGATTCAGATTTGAATGTTTCAAGAGCTTCGAGACCATTTGTAGCTTCGACATAGCGCAGATTCTGACGCTTAGCAAACACAACCAGGAGTTTGAGGTTGATAGCGTTGTCATCTACAAGAAGAACGCGTGGATTAAAGTACTCGCCATTCTCACTATGGCTGGGGCTTAAAGGAGTGATGGTCGAGGGGAAAGGCCTTGGTGGAGGTGGTGAGGGAAACCCGACACAATCATTATATTGCTTCGTGGACGACAACTCGGGAGGCCTGTCGCTATTACTTCGCTGGGGCAGGTTTCGCTCTGGGACGAGAGACTGAAACTCTGGCTGCACGATGGAGGAGCTCATCGAACGGCTGATGGTTCGCTCGGTACTGAGCTGTGAAGCGCGGCTTTGGCATGATAAGAGAGTTCGAGCAAGCTTTCTAGGACCGCAACTATTAAAGATTTAGCATAATCAATGGTGCCAAGGAATTCGTATTACTTACGGCTGGGTGACAATTTCAGCTATCCATCCTAGCGTATCCATCTGTCTTGCGAGCTGAGTCTCAACTGCTGCCTTCTCGGAAGTATCTGTGCAAATACAGACCACACCGAGCGGAGACTTCTTAAACTGACTGGCTATTGCCTTGTGTATCAGTTGGAAGAGTGATGGAGAGTCGGTAAGTAGGAAGTTGGTATCAGCCAGCGAGGTATTGGTATCGGAGTTTTTCGACTGAACAATGTTCATATCAAAGTTCTTACAAGCATTCTCCATTGACTGTTTTGTCCTCAGGCCACGTTGGACACCGTCAGTTTCAGTCATGTCGCAAATGATACTAGCTGATAAGCCCTTCAACTCTTCTGGAGCGCGCAGAAATGCATGGTCCAGGTGTGCATTCTCCTTGGAACCGATTGGCAGGCGCATGTTAATCTTGATAATGGTACCGGCATTTTGAGTGCTTTTGACCTCAATCTCACCCTTCAGAGACTCAACAATTTGCTTTACGATTGAAAGACCCAGCCCGGTACCGGAACTGAAAGGATCTTCTTGGCTAAACGGCGAGAATAGCTTTGTCCGTTGGTACTCTTGCGACATTCCTCTTCCAGAGTCTTCGACGCTGAGACTCAGATTCATGAAGTTGGCAGTCGAACCGTTTTGTAGCATCTTTATGGCAATGAAACCAGAATCAGTGTACTTCAAAGCGTTGCCCACCAGATTCATCACGATTCGACGGAGGGCACCGGGCTGAGAGCGCACAATCCAACTGACATAAGGGGCCACGATTAGCGATACAGCAACAGAGCCATGCGTATCTCTGCCTTCTACATCGATATTGGCATCTAATTTTTGTTTAGAGCCTTTCGTAGCTGCATTTTCGGCTTGGTCATAGATGGCAGATCCATGAATGTTGTGTGTTTTTCTGAACGTATGGCCAGCGCAGACTGTGTCGCAAACTTCTTCCACCAGTTGAGCCAGGTCGATGTCAGAAGTAACACCAAGAATGGAATTGTCAGCCGGGAGTCTCTTGTTCCGACCCTGACCTCGATGTCTTTGGGCAGCGTTCCCTTTCTGTAATTTGTTGATCTTCGCGTAATCAAGTACGTGGTCAATGGTATCCAGTAGCGTCTTTCCGCATGTTTCAATCGAAGAGACGAGAGACTCTTGGTATGCCGATGCCACTGTCTCACGTAGAAACTCGACCGAGCCAAGGATACCGTGAAGCGGCGATCGTAGCTCGTGTGAGATGGATGCGATGAAGGTTGTCTTGGCACGATCAGCCTTTTGCGCATTGAGGCGCGCTACCTCACTGGTGACCGAGTTTCCAAAAGCCTGTAGGTACGGCAGCTCGTTATCCGGGCTCATCAGCCTTCCAGCTTGAGCTGTCCAGATGAAGCCTCCTGCAATCCATCTTTCCGTACTGGGATCCCACAAGGGCAAGAAGATCAAACTGCGGACCTTGGGTAAAACCTTCAAAAATTCTGTGGGAATAAATCGTTCTCGCTTCTTTCGCGGCTTCTTTGTGCCCGCTGTAGATGCGTTTACAGTGCGGTCCGATTGCTCGGTTTCGGAGCGCTCGGATCGCTCATCGGATGAATTGACGCCGATGCCGTCTTCATTGAAATTGAAAAACTTTCCGTAAGGGTAACGGTGTATGTAGCGCTCCATAGCAGCCTCGGTGAAGCTAAACTCAGTGTGCACCAAACTCGCGTTACCTTCCCGCAAAGAAAGCCCGGCTATAGGGCACGGTTTGCTATCGACGATGTTTGGATCCGCTGTGCTATGTGTATTGACAAGGTTCTGCTTTTTTATTCTTCGCGACGTGGTCGAGTCGCCGGTATCGGTGTTGTGTGTCGCACTCTCGTCGCTGCTCCCAGCGTTTCGGTTGTAGTCGTAGAGGTGAGTCCTTATGCCGGCTGCAGATGTATCGAAGAAGACGACACCATCAGCATCCGTACTCTGCCGTATAATGCGAGCTGCGCGGTGAAAGATGCGAGACGCGTCCGACTCGGAATCGCGCTTGCGCTGCGCTTGCCTGCTGGCCGTGGCATGTGTGAATGTGGAGTTGCTTTCAGACCCTTCCTCATCTAGCGTCACCAAGCGCGCGTTTTCAGTCTGCCTCTCCATAGTGCTGGATCGATTGCTGTCCTCGCGCATGTCCTGAGCAGACGAGCGCTCGATGAACTGGGTCAAGCCTCGTACCATGCGCTCCCCCTTATTCCGGTCCATACTGTCTTTGGCCAACTCAAGGTGCTCCATGATGGCGGCCGCAACATCTTGCATAAAGCGCAGCTCAGCAGCAGTAATACCTTCACGAGGCTTTTCGTCAGATACAGCATATACACCAATGCGATTTCCAGCCTTGGTGACAATGGGAACACCTGCGTAAAACCTCACACCAGGCTCGGACGTGACATAATCTCTCTCAGCGAAACGAGGATCTAATCTGCAGTCAGGAATGACCATGCATTCCGCCTCGTACGTATCGCCATTCTCTTCCTTTGCGATATATGTCGATGTGAAGGTATGGTAACAGACAGCGTCGACCTTGTTCAGTATGGCGTTGCCTAGCCATACCTCGTCCTCAGGCTCTTCGGCGACAGGTTTGAATAGTGAAAGTGTGCGAGTGGCTTCAGCGAGGATGTACTGTCGGCTCGAGTCGATCAGGGAGACCATAGCCCGGCGCGTGTCAAGACGGAGCGTAGCCAGCTGCGCAAAGGCAGTCAAAGAGCGATCGCGCGACGACTGCGGCTGGTAGCCAGAGTAAGTCAGAGGCTTACCAGAGCCGTCGGCATCTAGTAAGCTCTGGCCGTCGAGCCATGGGCGGTAATACCTGGGGGATAGGGTCAACGGCAGCTAGACTAGAGTACATATGCATAGTGACTAACCTGTGGAGATCACGCTCTCGAATTGCTTCATAAGAATAGCCCATGGTACTTTGTGTTAGCGGGGGGGATATCTCAACATGGCATTCCACACGCGCAATAATTCACGTATCCCAAGGCAAAGGCACAGTGGCGGGGGACATGCGACGAGTTGTGTCAACCCACGCCATCGACGATTAGCTGGAGATTGATGCCGGGAGCGACTGTTTTGAGTGGGTGATTAACTCAATGCGTATTAGAGGCCCCGACCCTGGCCAGTGGAGATTCCAAGATTCCACGGACATTTTGCCATGGGCACAGAGAATCCGATCAAAAGACGTCTGCGGTTATCGAAGCATGACGTGCTATCGGAAGGCGCGCTTAGTGGCTTCGCACCCGCAAATCCGAGCAGACGCCGATCTCCCGCAATGCCGCCGATTTGCAATGAACAGAACCTGCACACCGAAACACACCACGCAACAAAGCCGGCGAGACAGGAGACGCAATGTTCGAACTGCCGGATGCGAAGCGGTAAATCTCGACCAGGAAGATATCCAGCACCGGCTACATCATACTAACTTTGCCAAGGGTGCGTCGCGACGAGCTCCAGTCGCCCACATTGTCACCACGCTCTTCTCCGGATCGAGACCTCGAAGAGCTTTTGCGGTCCAAGATTCACAGCCAATTTACGTATACAACGACCGAAGAATTTGTCGAAGATGCTGCGCACAGCGATGAAGATGAGGCGGAACTGCGACTCTTTGCTGCACCTTCGAATGCGCCCGCGCAAACACACAAGATCCGTTTATCATCCCCCACTGCCGACAGTGGAGAGCCGGGCCTCATCTTGAAGAAGCCCCGAAGCTACTATCTTGCCGATGAGCCCACAAGTGATGAGGAGGTTGCCTTCCAGGCGGCAGCCATCGATGGAAAGGGCGTCTTGGAGCTGTCACAGCTGCCTTGGCCGGGTTGCGCCTTGCCGTGGAAAGTGCGCAAAATCTCGCCAGCAGGGATGAGAAAACAAGTCTTGGTCGGCCATCCTCCAATGCTCACCACGGTAGAGGAAAAGATACACAAGCGCACAAGAAAGAGTAAGAAGACGCGAATTGCAATTAGGAAGAAGCTGCAGGCGACCAAGGAGAAGCAGAGTGAGCAGGCACGGCTTGCCCAGGAGAAGCTGGAGGCGGAGCGCGAAAAGAAGACGCGCAGGAACAGAGAAAAGAAGCTGAAGAAGAAGGCAAAAGAGCAGGCCAAGAAGGCGGTGGATGGAGGGAATGAAGAGACCAAGGAGGTTGCGAGAGATGCTGAAGAAGCATCTGTGACTAACCCTATTGCCGCTCCCGCGGATGACGCAATGACTTAAACTCAACTATGTGACATTCTTAGGTTACAACAATCACGTGGATGCTAACCGGGCTAAGCATGCGCCTTGGAGAGCGTTCTCTATGATACAGGGCTCTCAACCATGATGTTGCCTTCATCCGCTTCCCCTTGAAGCGCAGCGTGTGCAAACGATACCTAATAGCAATATATTTCCCAGTCTGCCTGAGAGGGAGAAACCTCTGTAAATACTCGAAAGTACAGAGGCGGATATAACTCCGGTACAGAGCCCTGCTCCTTCCCCCTTGAAGGCCGTGCATGTTGATCCACATAAAGACCATGGGTTTCTCGCTAGATATGTATCCTGCGCTCCTTCATTCTTGTATACAACAGGAGGCAAGTCAGCAACGTAAAATTACAAGAATACTGAACTGTGCATTCAAACGCTCCATTTGTTGTAACTATTTCTTTCTTAATTCTATCCATCCTCGCAACTAACTCAAACCCCTTCTTCCACAACCCCATGACCTCTGCATTTAGCCTTGTCGCGCCACACTGTAGGCTGTGCACTCAACCTTTCCCCTCCCTACCCTTATAAAAGTGATGACGTCGCACGTAGTAGCGGAATTCGCTCACAGACCTTTGGGCAATATTTCTCTCAGATACGATTTTCAGTATAGCTCAAGTAGCGTTCTATACCCTTAACTACGCGTTGTTTCAACTTTAGCCTCGTTAACGTCGACGTGCTAATAACATTATGCTTATAGAATTGTATTATGATAAGGGTTTATACATAGTACTTTATAAAGGTATGTTTTGGAATTGTTAAGGAGATTTAACACTCTACAAGAATGTTACTATTGCTAAGTCTAAGCAGAAGCTAATAGGTAAGTAGATCGTAGTATCTCGAACTAATACGCCTGAGTTACCATGGAATCTTGGGAGCTTCTGTGCGGCAAGCCGAAACCTGCGAATGGTTCAGAGCATCTACCGGAGTTTACATACGAGCCGTTAGCATCAACCCAGGGATGTATTCGCCTCATTGACATCCTCGAGCTTTCCACAGATGGCACTATTATATACACTATGAAAGAAAAGCAATTCAATATCAATAATGGCAGCTACAATGCTCTTTCATATTGCTGGGGCCTGTCCAGACCTCTGCATCGAATCATCATCAATAATAAAGTCCTGTATGTTCGAAAGCACATTTGGGATTTGCTGAGAGCTATCCACGTCGGACAAATGCACCACATCTTTTCCATTGCAAGCACCATCTATGCTTGGATAGGAAATTGGGACACTAGATTTGGCTCAGCCTTCCAAAAACTTGAAGAACCCAACGCAGATAGTGAGCTAGCTCTTTCATTTCTTCCCCAGCGTTCATGTATAAAAATTGATTATATCATAACATGTTGTCCCATGTTCTAATGTTGATATAGTCTCCAGAATCTGCAATAGATATTTAAGTGTAAACACTTCTATGCGACACTTGTTCACACGGGACTATTGGAGCCGGATGTGGATAGTCCAAGAAAATATCCTGGCTTGCAACATTCGCCTCCTCTGTGGTGGCAAGTCATCGGCTTGGAACACCAGATCGGTATCGCAAATTCTAAAGACAGCCATCAGATAGCAATGGACGGTTTATCCTTCTAGAGAGCAAGCAATCACAAGAAACATGAGCGTTGCACAAAATTTGGTTCGCTTATCTCTGAGTCGTGCTCGAGGTGACAACACCGCCGATTGTCCAACCTTGTATGAGCTTCTTAGTCAATTGGGGCAAGGGGGATGTGCGGACACCCGTGATAGGATCTGCTCACTACGTGGGCTGTTCCTCGAAGGGCCAAACCTACAAGTCGACTATCTCATTAGTACTCCTGCCCTTTTCTTCAACGTTCTATTAGCACTTGAACGCAAAAGAGGATACCGTGACTGCCTAGTCTTAAGGCATGCTCTGAGCCTCACCCATCAGGATCTAGAGAACTACTGGACTAGTAATAAGCGGCATAACAGTAACTTTGAGAATATCACGATCCACTTGGCGGAACTCAAGTCGATCAAGGAATGGAGCAACCCACTAGCTCCAGAAATCGACTTTACTCCCTTACATGACGAAATTAGATCCAGTGATTATATTTGAGAGTTTGCACGCATGCTGCACCTCAGCCACGCACTTATTCTAAGAGATGATTCTAGTTCTGTTAAGGATGCGACAGGAACAATGACATGTGTCGCATTAGGACTGACTCATCAGCTCCAATGGTCCTATAATGGGCCTTATCGCGCATACTGCCCACATCTCTGACTCAGCGTATTTCCTTGGGAGTCATTCCAACCCGCTACAGTAAGGAAGCAAAGTTGGGGGCCATCATCGTCTTCACTAACCATTCATATCAGCCCATCCATGCTACTCTTCCTTATCAGGTGGTTTGATATCACTGCCAATTTGTATAAGTGTAATGGCGGCGTGTATAGCAACGGGAATGAATCTCCGTTCTCAGAACGATCGTACTGGAAGATCACTGGGCATACAGCGATACGTCGCCCGCTCCGATCCCAACCGCTGCATTTTCCCACCATCCATCTCAAGAATTCGATCAAGGCTACAATTCTTGAGACTCTGACATTGGAAGCCAGTAGGATTATTCCGTGCGACTGTGAGCCAACAGCAGATTATTCTGGAACATCTACGATGAGTGGCCGTGAACACTGGTGTTCTAACCATATCCACTATTGGTGGAGACGCCGAGTGCGATGTTGCTTCATGATCTCAGACGATGGGGGCCCGCCGGATCCTCCCACCAGGGTGCAGCGATGTTTACATTATGATCAAACGTCATCATCATCCTCTTCCCTTCATTCGTCAAGGCTACTCTGGCAACCAGAACCCGGAACCGGTTGCACTCCCTGTAAGCATGAATATGTATCTAGGCGGTATGCCGGTGGTTGTGCGTCACGACTTCTTGAGGATTTGAGTATGACATTTCGAATGGCATGACGGAGACAGTGTATACTAGAAAGCGCCCTTCAGCCCTTTAGACAGCTGCTAGCATAGAAAAAGCGAAAGCATTCTTTGTACATGTTGATCATTGTTGAGCAATGTCTCACTCGATAGAAGTTGAAGTCGTTCAAAAAGCTTGTTTCGTGGTGTTTCAACATTTGTAAACATGATCTGTGATCTGCCGTGCATGACAGTCTAGGCACATGCAAGGCACCAACGGAGTTTGCTGGAAAATTGGTCGAATAATAGAGAGCTTTTCAGCGTTTGCCAAAATTCGTAACATGTTAGCGTAGAAATCGGGTTTCACATAGAAAGAATCTCCGGCTCGTATGTGGCAGAACATGATGCAACAGTGGCGGTGGTGCCCATTGCCTTGAGCGTGCTCGCTCGCTTCTGCGACCCAAACGCCGAGTCAGTTGGAAACAGGGACCCAACGTGACCCTTAACACCACCACCTACTCACCTACACCAACTGGCCCGCATAAAGGTGCCCAAGAGCAGTACCGAACGCGCAAACCTTCGATCGGCACAGCTCGTCAGCCCACCATGTCGTCTTACCTCAATAATCTCCTCACCAACACGACATCGCGCTACAACAACCTGCGACGACAAATCCTATCCGACGAGGCAGATGGCGATACAGAAGACGACTCGCACCTCTCGCGAGTACTTCGCGCATATTATACGGAAAAGGGCAGGCCCTTTCCCCAATGGCTTCCACCAGACCCAAAGGGCCCTCAGCCCACAACTCCGACGCAGTTCGCATCTTCTTCGTCGCTGCGACAACAGGGACAAGCACCAATGGGCAGAGGAGGTGGAGGACTCAGCGATCTGTGGGATACTCCTGCGCCGCAACAGCAGGCACAAGAACCACTGTCGCTCCGCCGAAGTGCAGGGGGACGTGGCGGAGGAGGGCGCCCGATGCAAGGCCGACCCATGGGCAACTCCTTGACGCCAGAGCCTCAAGTACAGGGACGGCCATTACCAAGTCAAAGGGCTGGTAGCTACCAGAGTTCGGTAGGAGGACGTTCTCAGGCCGAGTCTTCATCACCACCACCAAGCGCAGGAGGGGGCACATCCGCGCAGGAAAGGCTCAAGGCCAGGCTATGGGGGAGGTCACAGAGCCCAGCGCAGCGCGGACCAGCTTCAGATTCTGGCAGCGCCAATCCGTCTAGCCCGCGCAGCCCATACGACCAAGGAGGGCGAGCACCATACCCGGAAGAGCGAAGCAACAGCTATGGAAGTAATGGCAGCGCTGGTGGAAGGCAGCAGGGCTATTCTGGCATGTCGGCAAACTCGCCTTGGACTGGCAATGCCGATCCGTATGCGCCACAGAGTGGAGGAGGATACGGGGGAAATGCACCGCCACGCGGACCACAGGGCGGACGTATGGGCCTGCCGAGTGGACCGCGCATGCGCTAAAGGCCTTTTAAATTCTTGGTGGGTTGAGCATGGCGTAACGGAGTGGTTGTTGGTACTCACTGGGAAGGCAAGCATGGGTCTGTAGACATTTGGCAACATAGTTCAAGTTTACTGTACAGGCAGGTCCTTAATAATATCGATCTATTCAACACAGGGACATATCAAAACACCGATTTCAGTTTTCGATTGTTCGCGCGCACCGTGTCGTTGTCCAGGTTGTGCTACCACTACCACCACCACCACCTGATTCGATGAGGGGCGACGGTAGCGGCGACGCGTTCCCCGCGCACAGCCACACTCGTCATCCGGCGAGCTGAGCCTAGCCTGCAAGCATCATCTGCGACTATACGCCGCCGTCCGAGCATGTGTACCAGTTTGCCCAATACCTAGGTTATCTTCTACATACTCGCCAGCATCTTGGACCTGCACACAAATCTCGCTCCACATCTAGTGCCACTGTATAACCCTGGTGGTCTTATCGCCCCGCATGGCTTCCCAAGCAGAGGCGCCACCCTCTCCAACCGCGAGCTTCTATGATATGAGTGATGATGAAGAGGGCGAGTACAACACAATTCGACATACTAGCAGTGGCAAAGGCGTAAAGTTGCTGTATACAAAGAGCAAAGTTCGCACAACGACGTGTACATTTGGCCATCTGCAGACTGTACTAACACGCATAGGTATACGTACATCCCTCGCCCTCGTCTAAAGACAACATCCCTGGCTTCATTGCCCTCATACAACAAAAGTCAACCCGCTCCCCCAACGATGCACGCCCTACTTCGTCCTCGTCTGCTCGAAGCGTCAGCGCGTCCTCACTACTCCTTTGCTGGATACCAGAGTCGAGCCTCGGCGATGCATACGATACCTACGTCAAGGTTGATCTATCAGACTCCTCATCACCACCTAAACAGTCATATTTGGTGCCACCACCTCCCCCACCTTCCACACACTCTGTAATTCCCGGGTATGCATTTGCACTACCCGTCAGCGAGATATATTCGGTCTTGATACGACCACCAAGTATAGGATGGTGGTTTGGGAGCGTGGTTGTCAATACCCGTGCGGGTGACAGTTTTCCTGCGCTATTCTTTCATGACAGCGAGTGCCAGTCCACTATTATGCAAAGGAAGAAGCTCGCAAAGGAGAGCTTTGATCCGTTCGGTGATGGAGGTGGCATGTTCTGGGGCGGCGACGAGGTACTCAGATGGCTCAAACGATACGTCACAGTCGAGCGGTCGGGAGCCGACCCGAGTATATATCTCATCGACCCCTCTGAAGAAGACAAGAAGTCATTCGGAAAAGATGTGGCGCCGAGGAAGAGCACCGAGGGTCAAGCAGGCGCATCGTCTTCGCAACAAGGCGGACAAAGAGACGGAGCTATGGATCCAGTAACAAAGGCGCTCAAAGAGGCGAGATGGAATTTCCTCGAAAAGCTCAGCCAAGTCACTACATTTACAAGAAGGACTGCACAAGCCGTTGCAGACAACCCCAAGATCCCCCCTCAGGTTAGGCGCTTGATTCAGAATCCAGAGGTGCAGACTTTGCAGGAAGAGTTCGACAGTGCACGGTTATATTTGGCGAGGTGGGCTATGGGCATCGCCGAGCAAAGTGAACGAGAGCGAAACCAGCGCATATGGACAGCCAAAGACGTCTTGGCCATGGAGGAAAGCGACGTCGGCGACTTCGAGATTCTAGACATGGACAAGATGACTATGGCCGATCGAAGAAAACCAGTCACCTTGGAAGAGTGGATGGGCTTTTTTGATTCCAAGGGACGGCTGCAGTTAATGCCAGACGAAGTCAAGGACCGTATCTTTCACGGTGGCCTAGATCCCGACGACGGCGTACGCAAGGAGGCATGGCTATTTCTCCTGGGTGTCTACAAATGGGAAAGCTCAGAGGAAGAGCGACGCGCCCACATCAATAGCCTTCGCGACGAGTACATTCGACTCAAAGGCGCCTGGTGGGAGCGGATGGCTGAAGGTCAGCACACCCTAGAGCAAGAAGAGTGGTGGAGAGAGCAAAAGAACCGGATAGGTTAGTTCTAGTGTTTACATTCGCTCGCTTGAATATTCACTGACTTTCCCCATTCTATGGGGTCCGTTGTGTAGAGAAAGATGTACATCGCACAGATCGAAATATCCCCATCTTTGCTGGCGAGGATATCCCCCATCCTGACCCTGACTCTCCATTTGCAGATGTTGGCACGAACGTCCATTTGGAGCAGATGAAGGATATGCTGCTTACCTACAACGAATACAACAAAGGTCTCGGCTACGTACAAGGCATGAGCGATCTGCTCGCACCCATTTACGCAGTCATGCAAGACGATGCAGTTGCTTTCTGGAGCTTTGTGGGATTCATGGACCGCATGGTGTGTTTTCCAATAAATACGGAACATTGGAACATAGGGGCTAATTATGAAATAGGAGCGAAACTTCTTACGAGACCAGTCTGGGATGCGCAAGCAACTCATGACTCTTGACCATCTTGTACAACTCATGGATCCTAAGCTGTACCTGCACCTTCAGTCAGCGGAATCGACCAACTTCTTTTTCTTCTTCCGCATGCTACTTGTTTGGTATAAGCGAGAGTTCGAATGGGCAGATGTTTTGCGATTATGGGAGTCCCTATGGACCGACTACCTAAGCAGCAACTTCCATATCTTCATTGCATTGGCTATACTGGAAAAGCATCGGGAGATTATCATGGCGCATCTCAAGCACTTTGACGAGGTGCTTAAATATGGTAAGTGAAATGGCCCCTGAAGAAGCCCGTCTTTGCGCTCTGCAGACACTGACATTGTTGTAGTCAATGAACTTTCCGGTACTATGGACCTGGAGTCAACACTCGTCCGCGCCGAGTCTCTGTTCAAGAGATTCCAGCGAACAGTAGAAACTATTGACAAAAAGGGAAACTTTCCCTCGGCACCACAAGCGAGGCAACGGAAGCCAGCCACTGGGGTGGCTGGGGGTTCAGGCTCCTCAACATCGACCAACCAAGCGACGACCTCTGGTACCGATAAAGGCAAGCAGGTTGGTGGGGATGAACAAGAGGCGAGAGTGATCAGTCCAGAACTCCGTGCATTGTTAAGTCGAAAAGTAGAGAAGCTCGATAAAGATAAGACGTCAGAGCAGGGTAATGGCGTTGGCAAGTAGGCATGGTGGAGGATTGTTATCATTAATTCACGAGTGGCGTTATGGGATGGCTGGATAGTTTTGGGAATACATCGGGGCATTCACTGCGGCTGGCGCGTTTGATAGGCTAATTCAGAAACGCCATTGATGATATCGTATCTCCACGTTCATTGCGCACCCCGCACTTCATCTTTCGTCATCACGTGGTGCCACGTCTGCCCTCATGCATCATGTTTTTATGTTTCATTTTCAAGAATATACCTGCTGCGTCCTGACCGCGTTTTCACCTTCAATCAAAATCGGTTGCGCGGCTGTCGCTCATGGGCCTGACTCGCGCGTTCCGTTTTCTCCAAACAGTAGCCTAACACTTCACAACTTTATTAATCACCAACGCTACACTTGTATGATATGAACAAACCGCGTGCGGCTGCACCCTTTTCACTTCATGAAGAGAGATACCGTGCCAGTGAAACCCTCAATGAACTATATCAATCGCTTCATCAACCGGCACTTGTCGCCGCGTCCGCGTACACAACGACCCTCTCAGCCGCCGAAACCCCTAGCGAGCTCCCATCACCAACAAAGGATACGCTTGCGCCCTCATTCTCACCACAAGCACAAGCGACGCAAACGCCGCCGGGAGATGACGGCTTTCAAGGGACCTTGGTCTAGCGACCTTGATTCATTCAAGAAGTTGGTGCACTCGATACCAGAGCAGTACAAGCCCTCTTTCGCTACTTCCTCAAAGGCAACGCTCGACAAGATTTGCGATCCAGGCGTGCTACATGTCTGGGAGTCGAACTCTGACGTCGACAGCTTGCTACAGCTCGCCTCAATCATTGCTAAGCTCTGCAATCTTGGAGTGCGCAAGAACGCCGGCGCGAATCCTAAGGATGGCTGTATGGTAATTATCGCTGAAGAGAACAGCAGTGGGAGCAACTTTAGTCGAATCTGCGAGTATGTTGGTTACTTGACGGGAGCCAAATCACGGAACCACCTCGAAGACACTGTTGCCGCGTATGGCAAGATTGTTGTGGTCAGGGGCTGGGACAACAGTGTACTGAGTGGGCAGCGTGAGGCGCTTGAGAAGACTGTCCGACGAATCAACATAGCGATTGAGCGTGTCTTGAAGATGGGAAAGTTTGAAGGCAAGAAGAGGAAGATTGTGTGGCATCACAATGCAGTCATACCCTTCTTGTTGCATTGGATCAACACCACGACACCGGCCTTGCGCTTGACCATATCTGCGATTACCATCACTGGCTCACTGGACTTCTCCACTGGCATTGGACCCTCTATTGCCGGTCGCGCAAACAAGGTACCTGACCTCGAGCGCCTAGAACAGTATGCGAAGAAGCTTGGCGTTCCAGTTGTCTTTCTCGACTCGTCGTCACAGCTCATCAACTTTGACTATTTGGGTACATACATGTACTACTACGCCTACTACATCAACACCTTCCTACCTTCCTCACTATCTCGACCTCACCTCGAGAAAGCTCAGGACGAACTCGTCACCTTTGCATTCAGACTCCGCGCAGCCAGCGAAGCCAAGTACGGCATCGAGGCAGTCAAAATGGTACAAAAGTACCTGGACCCACGCACCGCCAAACAATGGGCACACAACTGCATCAACAAAGACAGCTACGAGAAATCCAAATGCCGCGCCGCCGGCAAAGACGAATCAATCCACCACGCCGTCCAACTTGCCGACTGCCCCTTCGCCCGCTTCTCCCCGACCCCCGGCGTCCCTGCCTTCGCGCGCCTCGCGGTCGGCCCAGCCTCCACCTCGACAAAAGACCACTACACCGCCGCCCCCGTCAGCATCGCATTCCGAAAATCGCAATTCCGCCCCGCCAGCCCATCAACCTTCTACATCCTCATCCCGCAAGCCAGTCAGGACCTCGAAAAAGTCACAAACCGCATCCAAGGCCTCATGATGGCGGTCCTCGAGCGCGTCCGCCGCGAAAAAGGTAACCCGGTGCTCGGCGACGCCGAGAAGAGCATGTGGCGCGATGTCGTCAAAGCGTGTAGCTGGGCGCTTGATGGAAGTGAGGAGAAGATGCCAAAGGAGATGGTGCGCAAGGTGCGGTTTGTGAAGCAGAAACTCAAGTCCGGGACGTGGGGGTATGCGGTTAATGCTCCGGCCACTAACGCTGATGCTGCGGGTGGAGCAGCGAGCAATGGGGCCGTGCAGCAGGGCGTTGAGATGAATCGACCGTATGCGTTTGATCAGGGCAAGGGGCAGAGTGCTACGCCGGGGTATTATCAGGGTGGCGTACAGCATGTGCTTCAGGCGCCGTTGGATGGCGCTGTTCAGGTTGCGCCTGCGCAGGTTTATCCTAGTGTTGGGCTTGGAGGGCTTCGCGGGAGTGGGCGCGGGTTTACTTGACATATTGCTTTCTTTTGTTTTAAAGGTATGCTGGCATTGCAGTTGTTTCCTTTTTCCCCTTCTTTCCTTCTTCCTTCTTGTTTACACTTTTAGCGTTGTCGGACATGCATGAGCATTGAGCATGTGGAGTTTAGGTCATGACCTGACGATCAGATGATGCATGGATGGGTATATATCTTATGAGTAATGATACTTATGATTGAGTATGTTCTAAGCATAATACCGCTTTCTGTGTGCTGGTAATGAAAACGGCAGAGTGAAGAAGTGTAGTCGAGTATATTTATTTGGTAGTGTTTTTTTTGTTGAATTGGTCTGCTTTCTATATTTTGTCGATACTCATTTTGAGGGCTGGCATGTACTAAGAGTATACTATTGAATAGTGCTGATTTTTAGGCGTTGTAATTCATTGCACCTAACCGTATCATCATCTATTCCGTGTCTAGTATCCTCGTCTTGACATTGTACATGGACTGTACAGCAATCCTTTACTGCTATGGTAGAGGGATACCACAGACGTTCTCACTCATTCAGGACTTTTGCAAAAGATAACCATGAGGGAGTAAATTATGCTAGAATTACAGGATCTTTGTGTATTCAAAAGAAGCTAGATACAAATATACGTGATATCTTGGGGTATGGATCTCCAATGCAAACACTTGAACCTAGAGCAGGTCCTCTGTTGGCGGAATATGGGCTTCCCGTCTCTCCTGGCTATCTACATCTTGTTCAGCCTCATTTCTATGTCGCCCAGCATTATTTCCTCCTCGTTCTGCATTAGTTTGAGCTGCAGTTAATATCGAACCGTATGTGGATGCTGAGATCCATATTGCTCTGCCAGTCCATTGTATGCTTGTCGGTATAGCTTCGCTGCTTCCACGTATCGATGAAGTCCGTGCAAAGCTTGGGCGAGATGGTAGGTACGCATCAGTGTATGGGGATGGCGCTCCCGGTAGATATTCCTAATACTTGCCGACATAACTTCTCTGATTCCCCATACCTACCTTGAGCATATAGAATTTGTGGCATATCACTCATAATACGCAGCGTTAAGTAATGCTTCTCCCCTAGCTTTTTCTTATACTCCTCTAGAACTTCTTGATAGAGCTTTTCTACCTCGCTGTACCTGTTCTGACGAGACATTAATAAAGCTAGGTCTCTTATAGTTGACAGCATTGAGTGATGCTTCTCTCCTAGCTCTTTCTTATACCCCTCTAGAGCTTTCTGATAAAGATTTTCGGCCTTATCGTACTTGTCTTGAGAACACAACGATGATGCCAAATTTGCCATTTGCTCCAACGTACTGGGGTGGTTCTCTCCTAGCGCCTTCATGCTCGCTTCCAGTGCTTGCCGGTTGAGTTTTATTGCCTCTTCGTGCCTATCTTGACACCGAAAAATTAGCGCTAACTGTGTCATTGTATACAGAGTTTCCCTGTCACTGGGACCCAAAATCTTCTCCTCAACAGCTAGTGTCTTTGCTGTAATCTGTGCTGCAGTAGTACAGTCCTCTTTTTGATATAGATAAAACGCTGCATTTCTCAGCACCTGGGCCCATGACGGTAATATCTCTCGAGTAGCTGGTGTGTTGTGAAAAAGTGGTTCCACGTGCGGAAACAACTGCTGCCACTTTTCCCAGTCTTCATACGACCCAGCTGGGAAATCTTTCTCCATCAGCTTTACAAATTCTCCTTCCCATCGCTCTGCATCACCATAGGATGACAGCCATGCTCGCGTGCTGAATTGCATTAGAGCGTGCATCTCGCATGTATTGTTTGCGGTCGTTGTTACCAAGGAGTATGCTTGTAAAGTAGCCAGGTCCTCGCCAAACCCGCAATCATCATCATCATCATCATCATCTTCTGCGACAGTTACCCTTACTGTGTACTTTCTGAATCGCCACAATATCCACTCTGGTATTCCTTGTGGGCTGAAGTAGCTCATGAGCGACAATAGGTCAGCTGCCGATGGCCGTTCGTAGCGGATCTGGTCGAACGACATCTGCCAGGTAGTCAATATCGAGCTTGAGGCACTCTCATCTCGACGCAACTCGACTACATCTCACTTCAGCAAACACTCTCGTTTCTTGTCGTTTTTCTGAAAATCGTGTAGATAGCGTGCCACTGTCATGTTTGCACATCGATTCATGTATGTAGCCGCCTGGATGATGGCAAGAGGTATACAGTTGAGTGCGTCTAATAGTTCTAGAGCGCTCTCTTCAAGGCGTGGATTGCATAGTTTGTTGCGCAGCAGCTGGAGGCCCTCATCTTTGCTAATAGCAAGCACTTCGCACATCTTGTTGTGATCACCCACTAAGCCGTAAACTGCATCTTTGCTCCGCGACGTGACCAGTGTTGTTCCATTGCGACTCGGAGGGAGGTAGGTGGTTAGAGAAGCACGGGTGTCAGTGTCTTTCTTACGCCGCTTGCATTTCAGGGATGGGAAAAAAGCCTCTACATCGTCAACATTGTCCAAGACCATGAACCATTGCCCATTTGTCTCATCCCGCAACCAGTCTCTAACCAGTTTCTAACCAGCTGTAACACGTTCACTTTGGGGTCGTCCCTGCCCGGCAGCTGTAACCGGTCTGCGATATCTTTATACGCTTCCTCGAACCAGGCGGGGGTATTAGCATGCACCCAAAAAACAAATGTCTGCGGGCTCGTATTGCGGATGCTATGGGTGTATTGTATCGCGATCTGCGATTTGCTACGACATTTCAATGTGTTGATACTACAATAAGCCTACAATATATCAACATACCCTACTCTGCCAAGACCCATCAGCGCTGCTTGCGCTCCGTTTCCCGCGCACTTGTCGCGTACCCATGCGAGAATATCGGGCCTGTCAACATAGTCTGGATCTGGCGCAAAAGGCACCATGGAGAAAGGTTCGAGCTGGCGACGAGGTGCTGGCAGAGCATTATCCGCTCTATCAGGCCCAAAGTTGAAGTTCATTGTCCCACCAGGTCCACAGTGTGGAGCTGGGATAGCGATGTGAGCTTCCATGGGCCCGTGGAAAGTGCTGGCCATGGCGAGGTGGAAAGGTGACTTTGTAAGACTTTGTACTCGGAGAGAGGTAAGGAGAGGAATCAGAGACGACTTGTAGCTAAGCTGCCTGGATAGGAATGTGCCAAGCGAGTATCAGTCTCAGCCTTGTGCACTTCAAGTTCTGCAATGTCAAGTACTTCCTGCTTCTATGCTATGTTTTCTTGTGCTAACTATTGAATCTGGTTCATTTAATATGCGCCTTCTATGACGCAACGGCCATGGCGGATACATCCTGCAATAATTTATGGGGCAGACCGTTCCCCGTTACGCCATCTTGTCTCACACCTGGGGGCCAGATCATGACGAAGTCACCTTCACAGATCTCGGCAAAGACATAGACACATACACTTCCAAGCCAGGTTACAAAAAGCTACAGTTCTGTGCAGATCAGGCGGCCAAAAATGGTCTCTGCTATTTCTGAATAGATACCTGCTGCATCGACAAATCGAGCAGTGCAGAGCTCACCGAAGCAATCAACTCTATGTTTGCCTGGTACCGCGACGCTGCTCGATGCTATGTCTATCTTTCTGACGTTTCAGCCGGCACCCCAATTAGTGGATCATCAGACCAACAAGAATGGTACCCTGCTTTCCAGCAAAGCAGATGGATGGCGAGAGGGTGGACGCTTCAAGAGCTATTGACTCCCGCATCTGTTAAATTCTTCTCAGTCGAAGGACATCGACTCGGTAACAGATACTCGCTTTTGCAGGAACTCCACAGTATCATTGGCATAAGCATCAAAGCTCTTCAAGGGGGTTCATTGGACAGATTCAGCGTTGAAGAGCGCCTGTCGTGGGTGGGACGACGGCAGACGAAGCACGAAGAAGACATGGCATATTCACTTCTGGGTATCTTTGATGTACATATGCCACTTATATATGGGGAAGGTCGGAAGAAGTCCTTTGCCCGACTGCGCAGGGAGATCAACTTATCCGCAAATGGAGGGCCTTTGGATATACCTCAGAGCAACATCCCAAAAGACCAAAACCAAGCGTCCATGATGTACAATACACCTGTATTCAATGGGCTTATATCAGGCCATTATGTGGTACCAGGAACTCATGTCACAGGCGGTACAGTCAACTTTAACTTTGGCAAAGAACGTGATGTTTGCCGTTGAAAGAGAAAATCAAGTCTAAGGTCTAGAAATGATACAATCACACACTATATACAACCTGATATTCATGTTTGTAGAATGAAGAATACTTGAAGGTCATTAGGCCTAGTGCGTCGCTCGCTGAGCAAAGACACAATAGAGAATTCATTTGAGCTAGATAGACAGGTAGCAATTATAAGATAGTAATTCATGGTTCTGAAGAAATTCCGGTTGCCTAGCCCGATCATCCGTTTGTATCGTCCGACTAGGGCGTTGTTGATTTGGGAAACATTGGCCTGGTCTAAGTCGTCGACTAATGGTAGTGTTTGGAGCGCCGCCTCATTGATAAAAGCTTACCGTAATGCATTCAAGCTCCTCAAGATCTCTTCGTAGCCATCTACAGTGGCAGGGTCGGAGCTATAATCTCCTCTTATCTTGAGACACCACGTCAGCCAGGCACGGAACTCATCCCCAGTACTTTCCACCGCTGGATATCGTCCATACACATCCACGTCTTCGATGATAGTGCGCCAAATTGCTTCAATATTGGATTGGCCATTATTGTATACGGATGGAGACTCTTTTAAAAATCTTCGAAATCGGTCATATCACTGCGGTGGTTTCGACAGAGCCTACTGTAGGGATTAAGACGAACATGTCCTCTGTGCCAGTGATGAGTTATAAGGGGCGATGCAGCCCCGGTGCAATAATACAATAGGACACATGCCTCGTGCACTGAAGTCAAGAACCTAACTCCATTTGAGAGGCTCCAGTCTCTGCGTTCCTCATTGGCAAGACCGAGCACAGAATGATAACAAGACAATATATGGGAGGCTCAGAAGCAGATGACGAGCTACCGCGGCCAAGGATGTAAGTTCGTCTTGGCTATAGTCGACATTGTACAAACTTCCTGTAGCGTTGGTAAGAGACTTAAGAATGCCTAGCGAGAGGAAAATGAGGTCTCTTGGTTTTGATGCTTGCTTCCATCGAGTACGTGGCATCATCAAGATAATCCATGATTCGGGAGGCACAGTGCCGTATCCTGTAACTAGCAATTTCCGATCATCAACCGATAGCTTGCGGTCGACAATGGTTTCCTTGGATTCGATTTGAACGAGTATGGGGTTTGCGAGCTGACTTGAGTGCGTGTTGAGTTTTGATATGTAGCCGTACCAGTGTGCGCATGTACGGAGGGGTGAAGTGATGATCTCCGCACATGATGAGAAGATCTTTCGCAGAGATGGACTCTTATATAACCCACATGTGCCTGAACCGGCCTCGACGGTAGAGTCTCGTCTATGCTCTCCAGGCATCCTCAGCTGACGTGAGAGTCCCTAGAATCTTCCAAAGCCGAGACTCTCCTGGGCTCAAGCGGTAGAGCTCGTCAATAAGTGGTGACGCGCTTGGACCGAGCTCCCCATTCCCGGTAAGTTCAGCCAACGGCTTTTCTATCTGCCGATGGAGATGGAGGCATCGTTCGGTTTCCTCGTCACTTTTCTCCAGCCATATAATGACGCGATGTGCGGCCGCGTAGATCTTTGCCATTATTGCGACTTGAACATTGACTTCTTTTATGTCTTTCTGGTTGATGCAAGTCATATCATTCCAAAGATACGAGTCTAAAAACCGAATGACCAATGTTTGGAGGGCCTTAAAAAGATTATAGGTTGACTGAACTTTATTTCTATTATAGTTTACGATCTAGTGCTTGGCGTTGAAGTCGTTATATAACGGCGTCTCAGGGTGTTCATCAGGAAATGGGCTCCTCCAGGTGTAAAACAGGACCTGGAATTTTGGAGCATCTTCAATGTTGAAGACTTCAAGATTGACGGTCAGGTCATTCAAGACTGGTCTTTGTCGATGTAGGAAGAGTAGCTGAACCTGGGATGCCGCATTATCAAGGGTCGGTCTCCAAGCATGAGCTTTTGCAATTGCTCCGATCAACGCATCGCCAAAATTGATTTCGGTTAATCTAAGATTTCGAGAATGTGAACTCCGAGAGCAAGATATATATCAAGTCGAGCCGTTGGTGACATATGACCCGAATCTCCTATTTGAATATGACTACCAACTCCATGGCTCAGAACCTGGGAGCCATCCATTTCTCCACGTACCTTATGGAAGAATTCTTGTGTATCCGGTCACACAAATGCATTTAAAAGGAAACGTTTAATACGCCCTGGGTAAAAGCCTTCTCAGTCTCATCAAACTATCCGAGGTAGTGTAACATCACAGCTTGTTAGGCAGTGCTCTTTGCCCTGACAAGAGCAGCTACCAAAAAAATGTGGAAAAAGAGAACCTACTAGTGAAAGAGTAGTTAGGGAAGGAACAATTTTGAGAGAGTAACTACTGTGGAATCAAAAGGATATAGGATGTGATGTTCAACAAGATTTTCAGGGTAGCAATAGCACTAATGCTAGAATTTATCCGGTTTTCCACAACAGTGACTAGACTACAGTTTAGTCAACAAATATGTTTACTAGAGAGATCAGTATTGATTCTGACTTTGAGTGGAGTTGAGAATGTCCCATGCTAGATACCACCGCTACAACAAGATCTGAATTCCTGAAGTTCACCCGAATAACCTAGGTAGATAGGAGTAACATCGGGTCTTAACTACGGATCTATTACAAGTAGTTACGCCTCTTCAAACTACAGCAATCCATGGTGAGAGAAGTTCCCCAAGAAATGCTGATATCTACATACCTAGCGCGCGTGTTATTTCGTAGGAACACCATTGTAGGTCCCGAACTTGTGCGAATGCGCAGTTGAAGCGCGAGTCTGTGTTTTGTTCCTTTGGCAGCAACTCGTTCAATGAATGAATTCATTACACACAATGCATTGTGTAGATATTCTTTTCAATTCTTTCCAGTTCCCTGCAGTACTCTAATGGGACACGGACAATGCCCAGTTTCTTTGACTTCCTATTGTTTGATCAATAGCAACCATGAAACCCAGCAAAATAGTATCTGAAATTGAGTAAAGAAGTTTGTTTTCTAGATTTATCCTAGTAATAGTGTCTCCAAAAAGACGCCATGCTCCCCTTCATCGCCTCGTCATACAGGTGCCGATATTTCCACAATCCTTTTCGACAATATCTCCGCGCTGCACTTTTGGCACCAGTATACGAAATTGACAACAAAGACTGAGATATGGCGAGAGAGGGCCCAGAACAACGCAAACAGCGCCTCATAGCTAACGGCATCAGCAAGAAATGGGACATCAAGCGGCGAAGTAGACGGCCTCGGGGTATCACAAACACTGGCAACGACTGCTATCGCAATGCAACACTGCAGCCATTCTTCCACTTTCCCCGCTTCGTCAATTGGATCAAGCAACACAAGTCTGGCGGTGGAAAATGGCCTTGCAATCCTACTGATAGAAATCGAAGCCTTGACTTTCTCGATGCCATGACGCAGGGCATTCTTCGAAACGAAAGCTACAAGAACATGGATCCAGTACAGAGAGCTGCTTATGATAGAAATCCGAATGGTGGCACAATTCGACCTTCAGATATGGAAAAACATGATCTAAAACATTACAGCGGATGCCTTCCTTGTCTATTGAAGGCGGTTATCAAAGACTATTGGAGTGATGAGATGGTCGACAACACTGCGCCATACCATCCCCAACCTTTTCCGTATAGTCACGATTCATTGTTCAAATTGTACCAACTTTTCCAGCGCCAATTCTGCGAAAACCCAGATGGGTTTTCTGAGGAGCTTAACGAGCTACGAAGAAATAACCCGTCTATGAGCCAAGTGGCAATCGACCGACATACCCGCTCAGAAAGGCGCAGTAACATGACTGCACAGCAAGATGCCGACGAACTGGCCGTACGGATATGGGATGGCATTGAATCGAGCTTCAACCTCGAGTAAGTATTTCCCATCACCCATTCCCATTCCAAACTAACAAACGAAAAAGAACAGCAGACGGCCGCCACCGATCCTCCCAATTCACCTCTCTCTTCAAACTAACCTACACAATCTCCAACACCTGTACCACCTGCCACACAACAAACACCCTCAACCCCGAACATGGCATCGGCTTCACCCTCGATCCCCTCCAACAAGACCCGGACACCATCTCCGCAGCCATATCCCGCACCCTAAACTACGACTTCGACCCAGGCATTCCCTGCAACGCCTGCCGTGCGCCCCTGACCTACGCCAAACGCACAACCCTCAATGCAACACCAGAGTACCTGCGCATCGGCCTAAAACTAACCCGCATCGACCCCCTCACGGGCTCCAAACAGAAAATCATGAATCCCATCGGTATAGATGAGACGCTTGATTTAACACCTTACATGGCAAATCAAGACGCAGATGCCGAGCCTGTAGTTTATAAATTGCACTCTGTGATATACCACTCTGGGCAGGAAATTACAGCAGGGCACTATATAGCTGGTGTCAGTGGCGCGCGGATGCTAGGGCAGAAGCCTCCGTCACCACTGTTTCTGGTGGATGATGGGGTGGTGAGGGGATGGCATGCGAGGAATGTTATGGCGAAGAATCCTATTCATCCAGGGTCTGGGAGGTTCGATGCGGTGGCGGTTTGGTATGAGATTGTGCCGGTTGGTAGGGACAGGCTGCCAAGGGGGTTTTCGGCGGCGGATAGGTTGTGTTTGGGGGAGGGTAGAAGGATTGTGGGTGAGTTGGGGAGGGGGAAGAGGGGGAGGGGGAAGAGGGGGAGGGGGAAGAGGGGGAGGGAGTAATGTTAGTGAGAGGGTGGGCAGGGTTTAGACTTGGGGAAAGTGAGGAAGGGGAATTTTCAGTAGAGATGTAATAGGGTGATGAATGTTGCGTGGGGATTTTGAAAGTAGTATAGCATTTGTATTGCATTTAGCACGCTGTAATGAGAAAGAAGATTGTATCATGGATACCAAGTTTTGCTCGAAACCTCTTTCGCATCTGAACGAATTGATCAAATGTCGTTCAGAAAACTTACCTCATAAATGCAGCCATTTCGCCAAGATATCTGCTCGGTGATTGAAATTCTGAGATGATCACAGTGTAGGAAAGAACGCGTGTTTCATACTAGAAAAAGAGATAAGTAATTGACTACTAACGGTCCGCATTTTCACATTTCTGACCATATGCACTATACACCAATTCTGCATGTGGGAACAAAGTGGAAATCATATAAACTTTGAAAGCCTCTAGATTGGGTACAGGGAGGACTATTATGACAGCGACTTCCGCTCGGATGGCTTTCGATCTTGTCATGTGACACAGACAGTACCAAGCGGGAATTTGACCAAAAGAAAATGTAGTATCGGTATTGGTATGATTGCTGTGAAGCTCCTAATCAGGTTATTTACTCGTCGTTGATCTTCTGGTTAGTTGGCACGTCCTTCTCAGACTTGCTCTGGATCAGCATTCCCTTGTAACCAGTAATGGGCTCACTTCCTTGAGACTGCAAAGTGTCAGTACCGTCACAGACGAATTGAGGCTCTCAAAATAGCAAAGTTACGTACCTTCAAGTACTCCTCAGAAGCCTCTTGCCATTCCTTGGTCATGGTACGGGGTCGGACAGGGTTGGCAAACATGCGGGTCATGGCAAAGATGGCAATGGCACCGGCAATGACGGCGGAAGAGAGGAGGAAGACGTTGCGGCCCTCATCCGGAGGCGGGGGTCGGCGAGGACCGTGAGGTCCAAAAGCAATGTAGTAGGCTGTAAAAAGAAAACACAGTCAGCACAAAGCCTTCATGATGATTTCCAGTGCTTTGGGATGACTTCAGGTTGGGCACACCAAATGCCGCGGGCCAAGTTCGGCTATCTCGATCAAAACAAGAGATACGTCATACAAGGCCATGCAGCATCCAGTTACGCGAAATAGCGAGGTACGTACCAGCTTTCTTTTCTTGCATGGTCAACTCCTTCCAGTCAGTCTTCATGCGGTCCCTAAGCGTCATCCACAGATCGGCCTGCTCCTGAGGGGGCATATCCTCCCATCGCTTCTCAATGTTGGCGAGCGTCGGGTTGGAGATGGCGTGTGCCTGGCGGGACTGCTGAAGCTGGCAAGCTACCGGGGCAGCTCTGGGGAAAGCTGTGCGTGTCGCGGCGGACGGAATGACGATAGTCGAGCTCCTCGAAGCGCGGGCGATAGACGAGCGAAACATGGCGGCGGGTGGAGTGGAGAGTGTCGGAAGATGCAAAAGAAAGGAGGGAAATTCCCGTCGAGGGACCTAGAGGTGCCAATGGATCGTGGTGGTGATGGAGTCGAAGGTGGGCCAGGAGAGCTGTCTTGCAAAATGCGGTTTGCGAGAGGAACGCCAAGGTGGTGGAACGATCATTTCGCTGTGGCCCGAGCGCCTCATCGACCAATGAGGGTTTCAGTGTTAGCATTTCGAGCGACTTGCCCCAGCTTCGCCATATATCATTGCAACGGCTTTTGTGCATCGTAATGAGGCTCAAATGCACATGGATACGAGGCGAGAGAGGCCATGGATTCTCAAGGGCTTGTGTTGCGAGCTCTTACCGCGATTGCCGAGCAGTCCTCGATTTGACAATGGATCAAGCGAGACATGCCACATCTTCGCTTTACAGGGCGATAAGGCACGAGACAAAGATGTACCCGTCCAAGCTATGTAGGGGTAAAGCGATTTATCTATTGTACTTTGCATGGAACTCACATAGTCGCTTCCCCTTTACCCTATTGTTGGGTACCTCAGTGAGCATATAACCTGTGTACGAAACGCTCGCAAATTCGCTCAATGGCGGGGTAGCAAGCCCAAATACAACATAGAGCAGCCTGTACCTCCTCCAAAACCACAGCACGGAGCATTATGAGTACAAGCTAGAGTCTGTCGATAAGCTTTTAGGTTTTGCCGGAAAGCATTGCAATCAACGTTTCCTGCCCATGTGCAAGCGTCGCAGATCCCATATGGTGCCAGTGATAGGAGTAGTCGAGCTGCACTGCTGCACTGAATTGATCTACCACCTTCAAAGTGTTACCAAGCGTTCATGGTTGTTGCTAAAAGATGTTCTCAAGTCACCTAGCCTTTGTATTTCAAAACCCTGCCGACGGCAACGTCCTATAGAGGTGCACGACCAGATAGCAATCCCGTGATCGGAGCAGAGGCGGGACAAGCGCTACTAGTATGCCACAAAAGCTCCGAGCTCGAGCTTAAAGCTCCGGCTTCAAACAAAGCTCCAACTCCAGCGCCAATATGCTTTCGCACCCCAGCTCTTGAATGCAGTAACTTCGATTTGCAGCGAATCACCATAACACCGGACGGCGGCAGCGTGGCGGGCTTCAGGACCCCTAAAACATAATGCAATATGCGTATCGAACCCCGTCCCGGCCGCGGATACGCCACGCCTCATCCTAACCCAAGGTCGGCTTTGGCTGGTGGGGAGAGTCTCGGTGGTCACACATAATGTTCGCCTCGCCTCCCCACGAACCGGTGATCCGTTGTGGCCGTGCTGCACTCTTGGTTTTGCCTTATCGAATGACCAACAAAAGCTTTTGCCCATGACGGCGGCGGCGGCCAGCTGTGCCGCGTAAACGTGCTTTTGACCACTCGCTCTGATTACAAGATCCACGTACACTTCTTTCGTAAGCGTTTCGCTTCAATGATTGCGCAGCGCGGCGTGGCGTGCCTTCACCGGCGTCTAGCCACAGGCCGTTATATTGCTATGCGGCATATGCATGAGGCTGTAAGTTTCACGACAGCATCAAGGTACTTGGCGTCGGGCTACGAGCATGTCGCGAGGTGGTTGATGTAGCATTGGCTAGTGTACCACTTGACCAAAAGGTACTCAGGCTGACCTTCACGCCCTCCGGTGCACTCCGCGGCCTCGAATTCTGACTACCTTTGGCCGAGGTTGCGATTCCTCTGCCGTATCTGACAATAATCCAACCGGCCGGATGTGTGCGAGGGAGCAAAGCGTGTAATTGGGTCTAGGCGTGAGCTGCATGTCCGATTGCAGAAAAAGAACGACTAAAACTCTGTGACGTCCTCAGGGCTGGTAGCTATTTAGCTTGCCCCTCCCTCACCCCACCTAGCTCAAACCCAACAAAACACAGCACCGACCACAAAAATCTGCCTCTCACCACCTGCTCGTCACCTCTTCTCATATATAAAGCAGTGAGCTCAGCCTGATCTCCATTCCTCAATTCAAGTCTATTAACTCTCTCACAGCATCACTCTCAGTTCAACATGGTCGTCAAGGTATGCTCCATTGTGTACCCCGCCTGACCCAGACGCATGCCATTGACACATCTTCACAGGTTGGTATCAACGGCTTCGGTCGCATTGGCCGTATCGTCTTCCGCAATGCGTAAGTACCCTTGGGATTTATCCCATTCACGCATATTAAAGCTGACCCTGTGTCTCAGCATCGAGCACAACGACGTCGACATTGTCGCCGTAAACGACCCTTTCATCGAGCCCCACTACGCTGTAAGCACCCCCTCAATCCAGAACCTTTCACCAGAGCAAGCGTTTGCTTCGGCCTGATGCACTGGTATCATTCCTTTGATGGAACTATGCAGACTGACGTATACACAGGCATACATGCTCAAGTATGACAGCACACACGGCCAGTTCAAGGGTGACATCAAGGTTGACGGCAACAACCTGACCGTCAACGGCAAGACTATCCGTTTCCACATGGAGAAGGACCCCGCCAACATTCCATGGAGCGAGACTGGCGCTTACTACGTCGTCGAGTCTACCGGTGTCTTCACCACCACTGAGAAGGCCAAGGCCCACTTGAAGGGCGGAGCCAAGAAGGTTGTCATCTCCGCTCCCTCTGCTGATGCTCCCATGTTCGTCATGGGTGTCAACCACGAGACCTACAAGCCCGACATTGAGGTTCTCTCCAACGCCTCTTGCACAACCAACTGCTTGGCTCCTCTCGCCAAGGTCATCCACGACAAGTACACCATCATTGAGGGTCTCATGACCACCATCCACTCATACACTGCCACCCAGAAGGTCGTTGACGGCCCTTCCGCAAAGGACTGGCGTGGTGGACGTACTGCTGCTCAGAACATCATTCCTAGCAGCACTGGTGCCGCCAAGGCTGTCGGCAAGGTTATTCCCGAGCTTAACGGTAAGCTCACTGGTATGGCCATGCGTGTCCCTACCGCCAATGTCTCGGTTGTCGACTTGACTGTTCGCATCGAGAAGGGTGCTTCCTACGACGAGATCAAGCAGGCCGTCAAGGAGGCTTCTGAGGGCTCGCTCAACGGTAAGTCTTTTCCCATAAGCAACTTGCGTACACAAGCTAATGCAATACAGGTATCCTTGGTTACACCGAGGACGACATTGTTTCCACTGACTTGAACGGTGACAACCGCTCCTCCATCTTCGACGCCAAGGCTGGTATCTCCCTCAATAAGAACTTCGTCAAGCTCGTCTCCTGGTACGACAACGAGTGGGGTTACTCTCGCCGTGTCCTCGACCTTCTGGTCTACATTGCCAAGATTGACGGCAACGCTTAGGAGTCAGGACAGAGCAAGGCGACGCCTAAACTTTGAAACAAATCTTCATTACATCAAGGATCCGACAAATTCTCGGAACTTCTGGCTAGGCGCGGATTACGCGGGGATGAAAATAAGGGCTTAGCGAAGAACGTGTTATGCTAAACATGAAATCAATGAATAATAATTACCGCAACAACTGTCCACAAACACACATGCATACAAGGTGACGTTGAATCTTCCCCTCGGCCAGCTGCAAGATAGTGGAGCCGCCCCTCGCACTGCGTTTTCTAGCGTTCCCTCACAAGCTAGTTCCCGAGGTATAGCTACCACGCGGAGAAGTTCGTCTCACCCCCATGCGAACGATGTATTTGCGGATCCTCTTTCCCGCTTTCTATTTTCATATCCTAAGCCTCGGGAATGCGTTCTGGACCGGGTTCCGAAATCTGGCGAGAAAGAAGCGGGGGAAGTCGGGTGGCCAACGCGGCTTTTGTGAGAGCCTGGATACTGTCGGCTATACTCTAAAATCGACACTCGACAGCTACTAAGCAGTTCCTGTTTATGTAACTGTATCTTTCCTCCAATCTAAACTGGCGCAATAGACTTGTTTTTTGTCCTACAAAGGTACAATATTGTTATACAAAATCCCACAAACTTGGATACTACTCCCAAATATAGTCATGTCTAGAGCCTGAGAGAAAGAAAATAATTGCGTACTTCAAGTGATTTCAATCTGGATTAGATGTGCTAGGGAGACAGCACGATACAACTAGCTCTAGCTTGTATGGTCTCTGGGGAGCAAACGCGACACGTGTCCGTTGCCTACCCTAATAGCATGGACATATGAAATGTATCCGCTACTCATGAGGAGAGACTCGAGGAATAGAGCTGCAACTCAAAACTGTGACGAATAGGGACTAATTGCACAATCCTTACCCAAAAAAAGCAACATTGCATAGTTACCTAAAACGTTCCTTCATGAAGATCGAATATGGTAGCACTGCGTTGATTGCATAGCCATGAGACACGTGGTTTTATGAATGAATAGTACTTAGAGTACTAGCTCGAAAAATATAGAAGCTCAAGTCTATAGTTAGCATAACGTAGTAATACCATAATTGAGAATGAAAGGGCATTTTGCGTATGGCGCTAAATAACTTGGCGTCGCTTAGTCACGCGATAAACCTTGGCCATCTATGGAACCTGCCATGCAGCGCTCCACTTTATCCCCTACTATCAAAAACGACATCACCTAATCCTGGTTGAAGAAAGGTGTAATCAACCGATGCCTTACTTGCGATAGTTGCAGCCATATTAGCGCTTTATTCGGAGACAGAAATTGGTACATGAAGCTCCCGAGTGTCGCTCGACTTTGAACGCGATATGATTATCAGCCATCAAGAGCTGCAGCGGCGAATCAACTTTACTAACAATTTTGCAGACGCCACCCATCCAAAGCTGTGACTGCTACGAAATCAAAACTGTTAGCAACTTTACCGTACAGTGGGCTGCGGTCTCTAGCTCGATGCGGTAGCAAGATCTTCTAGTGAGTATTCGTTTCTTGAGCATCAGAGGATTTCTTTTACTTCACCCCACTTCTTCCAACTACTGATTCTAGAGAAACAAGACTAGCGCTGTACGTCTTCACTCATGTCTCTAGCTACTGTCTTGCGTCTGCTGGAAAATGTCTCAGCTTCCTTGGCTACGCATGACATTAAAAAGGACCAAGACTCTCATTATTTCCCTGAAATTTCTTTTTCCATTCATGAGACCACCTCTATCAACTTATGCGGTTCTTTGTTTAGCATAGTTTCTATACTAACATACCTACCTAGCTGCCGGCCCGCGAGTGTGAAGCGAGGCTTACCAGCCCGCTCCGCCGTCCATCAAATCAAGTCATGGATGACGAAGACTTCCCGATGGGGGAAGACTCAATAATTATCTCCACAGAGCCAAACGGTGACCATGCACCAGAAACAATCGTTACTTCTAAAATCTTTGGCAGTAGTAAGGGCCCACCGCTGTCCAAACAAGAGCAACTACCCTTCCATAGTCCATCCAAAGGTCCATTGTTGCAGCCGAATATACATCGAAGTAATCCCGGATCCCACCGAACGACTAAATCGCCTAGTAGCTGGTCAGATAAGATGAATGCATCGAGACTGACTCCAGCTCAACAGTCCAGCCCGCAAGTCCGCGTACCTCCTAAGCCACGTTCTACACTTATTTACCCAACGTCAAAAACGGGACTCGTTTACGACCCTCGTATGCGATTTCATGCCGAACTCCCAGATATGAACATCAACCCAGACGACATTCATCCTGAAGACCCTCGGCGTATCCATTCGATTTTTGAGGAGCTCAAGCAGGCTGGTCTAGTGGCTTCTAGCACTTCAGAAGAAGACAAAGAAGATCACTGTTGGAGAATTGCGGCACGATTTGCCACAAGACCTGAGATACTGCTCATTCATACTGAAGAACATTACGACCTTGTGGAGTCATTCCAAAGTAAGTTTCGACTATCCTCGGTCTGATTGAATCATAATTAACCGTTTGGCAAGATATGACCTCAGACGAGTTAAAATTCGAAGCTGAGCGGCTTGATTCAATCTATCTCAACAACTCGACCTACGAATGTGCTAAGCTCGCAGCCGGTGGTGCTATTGAAGCTTGTAAAGCGGTAGTACAGGGAGCTGTGCGCAACGCCATTGCTATCATCCGCCCTCCCGGACACCATGCGGAAAGCGATCAACCGTCAGGATTCTGCATCTTCAACAATGTTCCAATCGCTGCCCGTGTGTGTCAGAATGCTTATCCAGAAACTTGTCGCAAAGTCTTGATTTTGGACTGGGATGTACACCACGGCAACGGCATACAACATGCTTTCTACGATGACCCCAATGTCCTTTACATATCGCTGCATGTTTTCAAGGATGGAACTTTCTATCCTAATCTACCCGACGGCAACCTCGACTATTGCGGTGAAGGCCGTGGCGAAGGAAAAAATGTGAATATTCCATGGGCAGAACATGGGATGGGCGATTCAGAATACCTTTACGCTTTCCAGCAAGTCGTTATGCCGATCGCTACAGAATTTAACCCCGATCTTGTCATCATTTCAGCTGGGTTTGATGCAGCCGAGGGCGACTTATTGGGTGGGTGTTTTGTTACGCCTGCATGCTATGGTCACATGACACATATGCTTATGAGCCTAGCCAAGGGAAAGCTCGTTGTATGTCTCGAAGGTGGTTATAATCTGCGGTCGATTGCACGCTCTGCGCTAGCGGTAACCAAAGTTCTCATGCTAGAGCCTCCGGATCGCTTGCGTGATGACCTTCCAGCACCAAAGGATAGCGCTGTATACATTGTAGAGAACGTCAAACGTCAGCATTCAAAGTATTGGAAGTCGCTTTATCCGAAACACCTGGATAAAACAGACCCTGGATACCAGGATGCGTACCGGTTTCACGAAATCATCCGAGAATGGCAGAGTCAACGTCTAGCTGCAGAGCACTCGATGGTTCCCCTTCCTCCCCTTCAGATCAATAAAGCTGGCTTGGCACAGACGTTTGAGCACAATATCATCGCCACGTAAGTGCTGCACAATATTCGTGAACGTTTGTACTTACCTATGATAGACCGAAGTTCATGGAGCAATATCCCCTACTTGTGATATTTCATGACCCACCGAGTCTCCAAGACCACTCTGATCCCATGTCTGGCAAGAGAGAGCTACACAATACATGGCTCGTAAGTACAACGACAGTCTTGTACTGTGTAATGGCTGACTTTGGACTGAAGACTGATGTTACCAAGAGGTACATTGATTGGGCCATCGAAAATGACTTCCAGGTCATTGACGTTAATATTCCCAGAGTGGTAGCAGTTGAGGATGTGAGTTTCCACAAGTCTTCAGTATCAAAGCCTGCTAACGTAAGCTAGCCGAACATTGGTTTCACAAAATCAGACAACTCGGTGGTTCGTGCGCAGCAAACACGTGAGCTCGCGAGCTATCTATGGGATAACTATATTGAGTAAATCAGTCATATAACCGTTTCGTGTATCTGTTAACGTAAGTCTAGGCCGAACGAAGCGACACAAGTCTTCCTAATGGGCGTCGGTGATGCCTATCTCGGACTTGTAGATTTGCTTAGCCACAACGGTAAGCTTTACTCCATGGTATTGAGATTTCAGCCACTGAGTCTGTAGAAAATTGCACCGATCCCGATAGTCCGGTCGAGTGTCTTATCGGTTTTGTGGCTGAAACAACGATTCAGTCGATAAAGCGAGCGACAGACGACACCATCTCCAGTTGGTACTACTCGGTGAGCAACACTCAACCTCGGGGCTGTATCATATCTGACAATTGCAGCATTCAATGATATTCGTAAAGAATAGTCACTTTGTTTGGGACCCGAGCCGCCAACGTAAGATGCGCAAGAAGCTCGGAAATCTTATAAAGTCATCTCAGGATACACTAGATGACATGTTGGAGCAGCATTTGGAAGAAGTACAGGAACTGCTTTTGGAGAAAAAGAGCGAGTTCGAAGAGATGAATGATATATCAAGTCGTACTGACGAGGGACCGCAGACCACAGCCATGGGACTGCAGAGTTCACCCCTCCCAAGAGCCCCTTACGATTCGAAGAGATTTGAGCCCAGCGCCAGACAAGAAAACACGGTCAATGCACTGAAAAGCCCTAAGATGCCAGCGGTTGGTCTGTTCGCCGTAAGTCCCAAGACTTCAGGGACCAGAAGTCCTATGAAAAGACCGTCTTCATAAGCAGGCGGTGCTTGATCGGCGGATGGCGCTGCTCGGGATTTGTCTTTGTTCTCTGCATGGCATGGCGTTTGATTTCTCTCATAGGATGCTGTCGTACCTCTGGGATACCCAACCCCAATTCATTTGTATCATCTGTATCATGGAACTGAGCTCGATCTTCGATTCTTGGGCAAACATACTGCACTATAATAGTCTGTAGAAAGCAAGCATCCGGCTGGTAGTTAGCCTTATGGGGAAGGCGCCAGCATGCACTTCACCGCCTCATTCAACTGCCGAGTCTCACTCACTCACACATGTTGGTTGATAAGATGGACAATGTTGGTAAAAACTCCTGTTTCGACCCTGCGGCGTGGACTTCGCTTGCTGATCATTAGTACGAACGGCCACACCCCTACATCTACTTTCCCCGCTTTCACGTGTTCTTTCAACCACTGTCTCGGTCCTCCCAGCGCATACATCAATACATACGCCTCGCAGCGCTATCCTGGAGCACGATGCTGAGCTCAGCCTGCCCAATGCGCCAAGGCGATAGATCCACCTTCCTTGGCACAGATTAAAGTTAGGCTAGGCTCACTCAGTGCTGGTGGCTCAGAATCCTTAACGCTCATTCCTTGACGACAACTCAGCTCGCTCCACTAACCCAACTCACGCGAAAGTAGGGACAGCCACAAACCGCCCAGGCCTTCTCCCTATCCTTGCTTGCAGAGGCAAGTGCGGGCTGTGGGCGAACCTGTCAAGGGCATTGCCGTGCAACACACTCGGAAACCCTTGAAGCAGAATAAGGAATAAGGGATGAGGTTCTCAAAATACCTACGCGGCGCGTAGTGGGTGGGGAGGGGATCCGAAAATAGTTCTCAACTTAGCCTCACCACTCCCCACATTTACACATGTTGACCCTCCATTTCAAGCATCCTTCCAGTGTGTTGCTGACAGCTGACGGAGAGCCCCGCTGTTACCGGCCAGCATGTCCTGCCGTTACTGCACGCCTCAAAGGTGCCTCGAACAGCTCTGGGCAAGGGCAATCCTGCAAGATTACCACCAAGGGAGGTGATGATTGGTGACGTGTGAACAACAAAGAGTGCTTAGGGTGGTGGCCCTAAGGCGCTGACCTATTGCCTTGACTAGTATCCAAAATGTGGCTGGCGGGCTGAGGTTGGCGTGATGGATCTAGGGCTAGATCGTGCCTCAAGGTTGAGCTCAGCCGTATAGGCTACTTTCCCATTGTTCCCCCCCTCGTAACTCGTTTCTACCTTCTTACTCTTCTGAAAATACATTGCTTTACTACTAACGGCCAGGAGCGCGAGTCGAATGCGATTGGTCTTTGAAATCAGGCCTACAACTAGAAACGGCACGCTGAGGTACTTTGATATTTGTATCCGTCACGCTAATATATGATCCCTCAAAATGAGGCTCACATCCACCGCAAGGCTGGCAATTGCTGCTAGTCAACTGCTCGTTTCCCCAGCTGTAGCACAGATCGACAATATCATGACAAGCATAGTGGGGAACCCGACTACATCATCAGCACCGTCACAGCCAACACCATCAAGAGAACCAAAGGTCCACCTGATCAAAGCCGGTGCGGGAGGCTTCAAGTTCACGCCGCAAGAGATTCACAATGTATCAGTCGGTGACATTGTCAGCTGGGAATTCTATCCGCCTGATCACTCAGTTGCAAGAGCAGAGTTTGGTTCAGCATGTGTACCCTATGAGGAGACGGGGAAGGGCAAAGTAGGCTTCTGGTCTGAAACGCAATGGGTCAACGACACAAGCCAGGTTTGTCTTTTGTAGATATGCGAAGATGTTTAAGAAGGGCTAACATTTTGGTAGATTACATACTTCAACATTACCATTAACTCGACAGAACCGATATTCTATTACTGTGCAGCACCGAAAAGCTGTATTGGAGAGCATATGGTCGGTGTCATCAACCCCAACTCAACACAGACGTTGGCATCACAGGTACAGGCTGCAGCCGCAGCAGACTTCCAAATAGCGCCTGGTGAGCCAATTCCCGCCGAGGCCTCGTCATCGGCAACATCTACACCAGCTAGCAATGGAAACAATGGCAGTCACAAACTGTCGAGCGGAGCCATTGCCGGCATAGTGGTAGGTGGTGTTGCTTTCTTAGCCTTGTGCGCAGCTCTGTTCTTCTTTGTTGGTCGTTCCAACTCGCTGAAGAGGACAATCAAACACCATAATGCGACGAACAATTTGGATCCACACATGAGCCAATACGGTGGTGCTGGAGCGAGGTATGGCGATGGAGGACTTGCGTCACCCGGCTTCGCACCGGCCCGGCCTGGATATGCGACGCCGCCGCCAGGCCATCTCGGCGATCATGGATATGGCTCGCCGCCCCAATATGGCCAACACGGTGTGGGAGAAGCGCACCCGGGTGGATGGACGAGCCCGATAGCGCACCAAGGACACCTGAGCATGATGAGCAGTACGAGCGGCATGAGCCAGGCGCAGTAAGTTATGAGACCAAGTCTGTGAGTGTAAATGCATGCTGACGCTCGTCTTTTTTCTCCTAGACTCGACCAATTGAAGTATGCGCACATGAGCACACAAGCGGCGCCAGCAGAGCTACACAGTCCGCCGATTGGGCAGCAGGGCTTTTCAGCCGAGCTCGAGGCACCGGAGCACGTCAAAAGGACATGAAGGAAGAAAAGAGGGCCATGAAAAGGGAGCGGTTATTTGTATTGTTATTTTGCATGCGACCTTTGCGATACCAGCCATGTAAGGGTGAAGGGCAGATAAGCGGCGTTAGTTAGTGCAACCATGTGACGATTGAGATTTTTACAGGAAATAAGAGATGTGGTTGCGGGTGATGTGTTTGTAATTGACGTGGGTGGAGACGGGTGGGTCGGTGATGTGCCATAGTATAGTGTATAGTAGGTAATAGCAAGGCCAACTGCCTGGGCATTCGGGCATTCAGGCATTCAGGCATAGCTAGTGCCGAGACATGACTCCTGCCCTTGGTGCTATGTACGTAAGCATGGCATTTGTAATGGGAAACGGTGATGGGGGACAAGGAGGTTACTACGCGGAAAGGACTGCATGTTAGCGAGGAGCATGGGTAGATGACAACAGCAGCCAAGCGAGGCGGTTGGCTGGGTAGACAGGCTGCCATCTCCCCCGCTCGCCGCCCGTGTTGTGTGTGGTGGTGCATCGGAAAGTGCGGCAAAGAGGCGTGCAGTGTAAGTAGAGTAGTCCGAGGATTGATAGTAAGTAGTTATGTAAGAGTTGACCAGAGCAGGGCGTAAATATGTAAAGTATGTATGTATGTATGTATGTCGCCGTTGCCACAAGCATCTCTGAGTGTCGGCAGGGCGATCGGGCCTTCTTGGAGCGTAGTAGCCCGTTCGGACAGGCGTGCGAGACGTTGTCGAGTGAGGATGTGAGAATGGGCAACGTGCTCCGGCTACCTACGGGCTAGCGCGGGCTGGGCGGGGCTGGGGCTAGCAGCATCTTATCGCAGGGCAGGAACGACCATGGCACGAGCGATTATCTAATCGCATGCCGCACATGGGCCTTGGACTAACTACGCTGCCATGTTACTTACTAAGTAAGCACCTGTGGAGATGTTCACGCCCACACCCGCTGCAACGAGGAGCGAGCGAGCGAGCCGTCGACGGGCCCGCGGAACAGCAGCGAGAAAAAACGCCATGCAGGCGCATAAGGACATGGTTGTCAGTGGCATCAGGGCAGACATGACTAGCTGGGAGCAAATTCTCTAGCCCACAGTCGGAGCTAGGGGGCAGCGGCAGCTAACAAACAGTCGTCATCTTCCGGAAATTTTGGCCTGGACATGTTCCCTCCATGTCGCAGGTACGGCCCAGGCTCGTATCATTGGGCAACAAGCTGCTCTGTGGCCAATTGACAGACGAGGAGATCCCAAGACATGCGGTGAGAATTACTTTCTTGTTCGGCAACAGCTAGTCTCCTCGACTGCACCGCAACCCAGATGGGGGCGCCGCATTCGGCCTGTCAAGCGATGGTTGCCAGGCCTCACACTGGCAGCCTACTAAAGTCCCCAGACGTCACACGTGCGCCCCAGCTATCGCCTGAACGCCAGCCAAGCCCTACCTCACAGGACCGGCATCGCTACCCTCTGTTCTGGCATGCCGGATCAGGCCTTTGCCTTTGCCTCTGCCTTGCGCTGGCCTTGCGCTCCCCTTTTTCTTCTCCACGTTTTCCGCCAAAAATACCCTCCTGCCTCAACTGGGCCCGGCTATGATGCGCACACCCGTTGCCCGTCCTTGTCGTCTTCCTCCACCCTAGCATCCCGCTACCCGCTACCCGCTCCATCTCAGACATGATCACATCCTCGCCCACCATCTCGCAACCTCCCTCGCCCAACACCACCTTTCACACTCCCGCCCACCGCCCCTACCAGCATGCCTCGCGACGTACCTCCATCTCTTCGACCACACACTCCCCCCGCTTTGCCGTGACCAATCCAGCACAGCGGCGATTCGACGCGCCGCAAACGCCAAAGCCAACCGCCTGCCAACCCTCGCCCGTACCAGCCTTTGCGCCCTCACCCCAGAGCCGCAAGAGAAGCTACGCAGACCACGGCACCCAGTACACCCCGCCAGGATTTCCCCCCACCTACCGCCCTCCGCCCACCATTGACATCCACGCCCAAACTCTCACCGAGCCGGCCACCAGTACCACCACCACCACTATCGCCTCCACCATCGCCTCCACTGAGGACCACCCCACCATAAGCAACGCCATTGCTCCTGCTATAGACTCACAGAGTGTACCTGCAATCCCGCCCATACAGCGGGGCACCGCCCCCGCCGCGCCTGCAGTCACGGAGCCTCCAGAGCCTCAGCTGCGGGAACCTCCGCAGTCTGCTGCGCCCGCACGCAATGCCTTGGCCTCTGCTCGCCCCACGTCGCGCGATGGTGTGCCCCCTGTGGTAGAGCCTGGGTCCATTGCACCCGATGCAAGCACCGTCTTGCGCGTGCCTACTTCGCCAGCCAAAAGAGCCCGTCCTGAGGAACCCAATCTCAAAGTAATGCCCCTTCAGTATGAGACTTGCGATGTCAAGGACCTTGGTGTGCTTATTTCCGACATGCTCATGGAGTTGGTGCGCCTGAACGACGGCTATCCGTTGCGGGACGGTACTTTGACAAGGTTCCATTCAAGGTGCGTTTGCCCACGATTGATTGAGGCAACTCTTGCTGACCTTTTCTTTTCTACAGAGCACCCCCTGGCATATCCGTCCGCGACTATCTCTCCCGTCTTATCGTGCACGCGACCCTATCTCCGCCGATCCTCCTCTCCATGGTCTTCTACGTCGACAAGCTATGCGCCATGTACCCCGCCTTTACAATCAGCAGTCTGACTGTACATCGGTTTCTTATAACAGCTGCGACGGTTGCAGCCAAGGGCCTCAGTGATAGCTTTTGGACAAATAGCCTGTATGCAAGAGTCGGTGGAGTCAGCGTTCGTGAATTGGCGCTGCTGGAGCTCGAGTTTCTGAGGAAGCTGGACTGGCGGATAGTTCCCAAGCCGGAAGTTCTTGTAGACTACTACAAAGGCCTGGTCGACCGTGGGACTGGATACATCATGGAGAAGCAGCCAGAGTCGGCGTCTACCGCCAACTCCACCCAAGTCCCTCCTCCTAACGGATCGTCAGCCACGGGTATTCACACCAACGAATCAGGTGTATAATGATTGTGCGTATAACTGCCGCGCAACACTCTTGACACTGTGTGGTCCTATAGCGCTACTATGTGTGTGCTGTTCGGACTCCCGTCTGTCCCGCGAGTTGGCGTTCCTCACATTCGTGGGCTATCTTGTCCTTTTGGACTTGGAAATGCCTCGTGGTCACGTCTGTATGGGAGTCTCAAAGATAGACGGGTCGAACGATGAGCTGGCGACATGACTCGACAGCAGGGCATCTGACAGTGTATGTCCGCCCACGTGGAGCCCTATGAGACTCTGGAGGGCGCATTGCCGCATCGGTCGCAGGCTCATGCTTCCGAGGCAGACAATGGGCAGGCCATGTTTGGCCCCATGGCTTCCATTTCCCGCCCGTTCGTCACAGCATACATAGCTGCGGACGCCGGTAGCAGTCTCCGAAGCTGCACGGAACGAGTTTGGGAGTCTGGGCATTGATGGAGCGTGGCATGTGCAGGATACATAGGCAGTGTGATATCAGCTCCTGGCCTATGGCATGTATGATTGTACACGCTGCATGTCATGTGTGGTGGAATGGAGCAGCGGTTCTATTGGGTAGATAGCATCAGTCGTGGAATCAACCCCTCCTTTTGAGCTGAACGCCGATGGCGTGTTGTTGGAGCACTGAGTGAGCGCATCGTGGTCGAGCCGCTAAGGGCATCCCGTGAGTAACGTGGACGAATAAGAGAATGGGGTAAGCAGCACCCTAGTCAATCAGTCGGCCGCCCTGGTTCGGCAATGTGAGGCTAGCCGTCACATCTTCCAAGGCCGTCAGAACATGCCCTCGAACATGCCCGCTCTGACAGCGGAGATGTACACACAGATGTAAGGGCGTCAGGGAAGGGTTCGCAGAACGAAATGTGCGGCTTCCGGCGACTTCATCGGCTTAGCGACCATGACCTGACCTCTGGTCTTGAAAGTGAAACCCTCTCTCGCCCTCCACCCACCCCCACCCCCACTACATCCTCCACGCGTGTCCTGTCACGAAACCGCACCTAACAGGTCGTGTGCCGACGTATACCTCCAGAGCCTCGCGACCGAGACGTCTCCATCACGCCTCGCGGTAAACGCGTCCTGTTCCTGATCGAGACACGGCAGCGGTAGCATTGCGACTCTAGTACTATGAAGGTCAGTTGGTGATTGTTCCAGCGGGCGCGCCACATCTCCACCCTCGCCATGTTCCTCGCTTGCTACCAAGTCAAGTCTCACCTCCCCGGTATCGCCAGAAACACCCACCCCGCGTGCCCTGGCGGCCTGCCAACAGCGTCGCGACATGTTCCTAGACCCACCCAGTCCTTGACCACGCACTTACTTGCAAACAGAGTTGGATGTAGTCTGCTCACACAGAGTGCTATGCATAAGAGATGACATCTGAATACGCTCGCCGCGAGGTTAGCAAACGCCAGTATGATAGTCAATGGGGGGCGCGCCGTCCCGAACCGCCCTCGGCACCCTGTGCCCTGCCCTATGCCTTCCCTACTGAGCCGTTTCCGCAGCTCAACGACGACTTCAACCAGCTGCAGCTCACAAAGAGCTCAAGAACACGAACATCGCCCGTCGTCACCCGCACGCGCATCGCTAGACATGGCTCGCAGCCAAATCCCATTCGGCCCTCATCTAGTGGGGGCGAGGTTCACATGGTACCATACCAGAAGTTCTCGCCCTCTCGTCGCGCCGGGTCGTATTCCCACCCGACGCCCCTTGAAGACTTTCGCAAGTCGAGACGATGGCCGCCGAAAGGATACAGATCCGAGGATGCATTGGACCCAGCTGAAGCAGATGACCTCATCTGTGCAGGGGCATCCACTTTCAAGGGATATCGAGACGCTATAGCAAATGCACCAGATGGATACAATCGCTTTTACGCGGTTCTGGAAGCTGAGCACCAGAGCCGAACTGATCGCGCACACTTTCAGCAGCAGGCATACCGGGATATTTCGCTCAACATGACGGGCACGCGCGATGATCAATTCCCGTGGTCGTCTCATGAGTACCCGTGCATGGCTTATGCGTTTGGAAAGAGTGCGGGCACTACAACGCTCAACTATTGGGTGAGCAAGTCTGGAACAAGTCATGCCCCCATCAAGTTTGCTGGTGACGCCCAACCGCGAAAAATTAAGCTCTTGCAAATCCTCGACAGACTACAGAAGCTGGAAAGTGGACTCAATGAAGATGTCAGTCAACAACCGTGCGCCGGGTGCTTTTTCTCTGTTTGGTTCGTCTCCCTAACTTTGCTCTTAATAGGACCCGGAGGATCTGTACCACTATTTGTATACCACGCTCATCGAAGATCCAGAACGATACGATGAGGACCGCCGCCATATTCGTATTGATCAACAGATTACAGACCTCATTACTGTATTGAGCAATCCGCAGTGGATAGACTTTTCACAGCCTAGAAACCAGGTTGTGGCAAAGTTCTTTGATGCGCCCGATCAGCGTAAGAAGCAAGAGTTCTTCCATCAGCTGTTACTCTCTGTAGAGCTGTACCTCCGCATCCATTCCAAGGGGCATTCCGAAAAGTCCAAGCGCAAGCTGATTTCGCAGCTGCCTCCCATGATAACATGGGACCTAGCTGTGGCACAGCGATGGCTTGAGAATATGGAAATTACTAAAACGCGGACATCGTCCACGCAAAGTACGTTCAGCTTTGACCTCAAGAGTAAGAGTAGACAGATAGAAGCTCTGCGGATCTTTGCTGCGACCCTCAAGTGGCCCAACATGGATGAGATCGAGTACATTCTAGACGAGCGGGACCCGAATGAAAAGGCTGTCGAAGACAGGTCTGCAGATGCCATGTCGTGGTTTTCGGGTATTATTTTGCCAGGTCGTACACTACCGTGGCTCATCATGAACAGTTTGATCGACTGCGATCAGGATACTGGCGACGCTCTCAAGTACCTTACGCACATGCACCCGGCATCTGGATTCCAGTACCGTGCCAACACTTACTGGTCAGCCCAGTGTATTGTTGGTAAAGTCTTAGGAGCTGCGCGTGGGGTGAAGCAAATCGCAGGCTGGATTGGGCCATGCATCTACACCCCTGAACTCAAACGGACAGAGTGCGTCAAGATTAGGCAGCTTGAGTCTCCAGATCCAGTGCTCATACCGGTTGATGTTGAAAGTATGGATGATCGTACAAACCCTTTGGGAACAATAGAGGACAGTTATCCGATCGATGACTACGACATACCCATGCCGGATACGGAAGACGTCACAGATTTGATACGAATGGAGAAGCTCCGTTTTGTACCCATCAAAGAGCGACCAGAAGGGGGCCGGGGTGCTTCTGGCCCACCAATGGTCTTTGATGCTGCGATCTTATTCGCTTGTGGTGGCGAGAGCTGGCCGATGAAGCTACGGTACGACGTCAGTTTTATCAATGCCTTCCCTTGCCACCAAGGGCCTCATGGTACGAAGCAATTGCATATTCAAATTAATTATCTCATACTGACTTTACCCAGTGTTATTCTATGACTTCTCGTACAAAGCAATCAAAATCGATGAGGGCCTTGTGGACATTACAGATTGGGGTCTGCAATCCGGTCGCACGCCTCGACCTACCTCGTCCAAGTCATCACCTGGGAAGAAGGCACTAGCACTCATGAATGAGCAGAAGAAGAGCGCTCATGAGCAGGTTACGAATGTGCTGGCCATTGAGGCACTTGGTGTCAGTGACAACGAGGTATTTGCGAGAGCTTGGTGCGCCCACCATGGACACAGTGCTATTGTGGCGAATATCAAAGAGACATGCATGGCTTGTGCTATCAGAGAGGCATATGCGGCCTGTGTATCAGTCGTCATCCTTACGGAAGGCGGTGTTGTCAAGGAGAACGATACCGATCTCAGCATCCTTGACGATTTTTAACAGCAGGGTCTGGCTGGTAAACGGAGGAATTCTGGAGGGGGTATTGGGATGTTTACGGACTGGTGTTTTGGCATACATTTGAGGACTCATTCGAGGGTTTGCTTTGGTGCAACACCTACAACCGACATGCATGTTTCCTTTGTCCAGGGGCTGGGCAAGAACCCTGCACTGCTTAGGCGTGTATTATGAGCATGACTAGTGCGGCGTGGAATTAACGACTGTAATGATAACGCATGGAATTATGGAGTAAACGGTTATGATTGTATAGTCATGTCCAGTGAACGTACGTACTTGCTTTGCAGACACTCAGATTGATGGTAGTGATTAATTTCTCTCGTAGATAGAAGTGTTTCGTAGACACAAATTGGTCGGTATGGATCTGTTGAAGTCAAATGCATGTACAATGACAGTCAAGAAAGGTATGCTCGTAGAATGGACCAGTCACGTGCTGATAAGGCGTGTTATCGCCCTTGCGCTGACGTTTGCGGGACTGGGACGCGGCTATCTCATATCAATCAAACTTCGCTCACGACCACGTACTGCTACGCCGCGCAAAGAAGCCCATGCGACTTGGCAAGCTTCTCGCGCCATTTAGAAAGCAATCAGGGCCCTGCTGCATAAAATGCTGTGCAGGCAATGATAACCACTTGTCCGTTGCGCCTTCCCTACGCAACACTCCGACTAAGGTTGTGCTTTCTCAGTGAAGCGTTCATCATTGCCTCTCTCATCCTTGACGTACACTTGTACGACCACGACTAGGCCTCTTCGTGTAGGACTGCACGACAACTGTTAATCTGCGTCATCCCTTTACCAATTACCTGTTCGCTGGCCGTCGACGCCATGGGCCGTTCAACGATCCCTTCCGCACTCAGCGAGCTCTCCAACCCCACCACGCCCGAGGCACAAGTCGCAGCGTTACAAAGCCTGAAGAACGAACTTGTGGGACATGAGCAGAGAAAAGAGCTGGCTGTTACACATGGTATTGTGAAACCACTTGCCAGTTTGCTGCGAGCCGAGGCTAGGAAGGGCGGGAAGAGGCGAAGGAATGTCAGGAACGGGAACAGCTCTGGGCTGTTCGGTGACACAGCTGGGCTGGAAGAGTGGACAACCGAAGATGAATTAAGGTTCCAAGCCACGCTCGTCATCGGCAGTCTAGCGAATGGTGAGCGCGCAATGCAAAACATGAGATGAAAGAGCACCTTGGCTGATATATAAGACGTATAGGCGGACCAGCATTTGTTGCGCCACTGCTGGCTGGCGATGTACTACCTCCGTTACTTGAAGCACTACGACCAAGCGAAACACCTTCCAAACTCGTCACTGCGACCCTAAAGACGCTCAATCAGATTGTCGATGCCGTTGCGCAAGAGAAGCCATGGCTCGACATGCCAGGCTCGTCGAGGCCATGTCTTGCGACTGCCGTGAATGAGATTATATACACGAAATCGGCTGTTGAGAGTCTGTCTGAGATTTTGGCGCAAACAGCGGGCACCATGAAGGTCAACCAGCAGATAGAATCGGCTATACGACTGATTACAAAGACGTGTCGAGAAGACAGCC